ATTCTTCTGCATAGCTGTGCAATATTTCAGGTTTAAGAGGGGAACCAGGAATTGATGGTTTGCCTGGTTTGGACGGTCTCCAAGGAGAGCCTGGAGAACCTGGTAGGATTATTAATGGCATTCAGGGAGAAGCTGGACAAAAGGGTGAATATGGATTCAACGGAAATCGTGGTCTTCCAGGACTGGACGTGAGTTCTAATCATGATACTTACTCCTCTGCCATGCTATTTAAATTTATTTTTTGTGGTAGTAACAGATCAGATGATGCAATCTTGAGCTGCCATGTAGAATAATATTTTACTACATTAAACTTAAAAACTCTACATTAAAAATAAAATGACCTTTAAATCTTTGCATATTTAATACAAGTAATTACATTTCTTGTAGAAAAACTTTGGTATTTTGGCTTGTGGAGTTGCAACATCAAAATTTTTTGATTTATATGGTGAATGAATGACTGCAGTAAATAATGCTGAAATTGAAATAAATAAAAATTGATTTGTATCAGTTTGGTTTTTTATTTGTATTTAACAAATGTCAGGTATATAACGGAATTTGAGTGTATGTGCAGCTACTTTTACTAAATATCCATATCAGTTGATAGGAAATATTAAAGTACCTCTCGGTCAGTAATGTAAACAGTTGTATTTATAACGATTATGATTTCAGGGTCAAGCTGGTGATATAGGTTTAGAAGGACCAAAAGGAGCAGTTGGTGACAGAGGCTTACCAGGATACAGTGGATTTAAGGGTCAAAATGGAATTCCAGGAATTAAGGGTCTTTCTGGAAACCCAGGTCTGTCTGGTCTACCTGGACCCAAAGGAGGGAGAGGCAGTGAAGGAGAACCTGGAATATTTGGCAGACCAGGTAACTATATTTCCTTGCACTCAGTTGAATTAGCAAAGGAATACAGGATTCCTACATAATTTGTAAATACAGTGTGTAAAGCAGGAGAAGAAAGTAGACAGGCCTATAGCAACATGCCACTTCTGAGAACTAAACATATTTAGTAACATCGTAATTAATGTTACTGAATGATGGAAACAGCACTTTATACTTATTTAATTTTATGCCTTCAGTTACTGTTCTTTGACCTATCTGAGCTTTACCTGCATGAAAAGAAAGGAAATATCCACTTCTGAGATAGGAGTGTCGAAAAGGCAGGATTCTGTTCACCAACACTGACAGATGATGAAGACAATTGCTAATAGAGGGATCCTACAGCTTAAGGTTGGCTCAGATTTTCTTTTATTTATTGAGTTCCTGTTATATAAAGGGAGGGATAGAGAAGGAAAGTGAAGAAGTCCTCAGCAGATTTCGGTTGTCTCAAACCCAAGGCCATTTGAAAGGAAGTGCCTCAAATCTAGATCATAAAGTCCCCATGACAGGAAACATTAATTCCTAATTGAGAGTGTTTTGAATTTTCAGTTTCCAGCAGAAGCATATAAAAGAATTTCACCATTCTTGAGATCATGATACAGTTGTAATGTCATGCAGGACTGCCAGGGGATCCTGGACCAACAGGAGGCCGAGGTGTGCAAGGTTCAGAAGGGCCCAAGGGCCTGATTGGAGAACCTGGGTATACCCAGTATGCACCTGGCTCCAAGGGTGAATCTGGAGTACCAGGCCTGCATGGACTAAAGGGCTACCAAGGCATACGGGGTGAACCTGGTGTACCTGGACTGCCTGGGAAAGTGGTATGTTAAGAACAGTCAAGCAGCCAAGGAGTAACTTAATAAACATACACTTCTTTCATATGTATGTAAAAAATCAATAGATATAAAGATTCCTCAGAATTTAAAACTACAAGTTGGTTGATAAATGAGTTTGAAGTGAAGTTAACTGTACTACCTTGGAGTCCTCTAAATTTAAAACTGCAAATGTAATTGTTCATTAAAGTCTAAACTACCAACACTGTCAACATATTAAATCAAACATAAACTTAAAGAAACTTAATTCTTCAAAGCCCAGTAGTAATTAATTATACCATCTACTTAACAGTCTATAACTCTGCATTTTACCCACAAAGTGCATTTATGTGTTTCATATTATTCTCAGAATAAACAGCAATTATTTCCCTAACCAGTATTAACAAATTTATTTTTTGTAATGGAGAAGTGTTGTGTTTTCTTTGCAGCAGGAACTGAAATTTTAAACAGTACTTAGATGAGCGTTAGCTTCAAAAGGTTAACCTAATTTTTGGTAGACAATCTGAAAATATGCCAGTCAATTTGCTTAAAGCATCTAAAAATGTTTTGTATATTATTTCATTTGAGGATTCTATTCAATTTCCCATTAATATTTTTAACAGACATGTACACAGTTTCTCATTTCTGGATAAAAATTACAAAACGTATTTGCTAGGGGCCACTTGGTGAAATTGGTACTCCAGGGCTCCAAGGATTTACAGGAATTGGTGGAAGCCCAGGTTACCCAGGAGAACCCGGTCCTGCTGGTCTACCAGGTAAAGCATTTCATTTAGTGTCTCAGCTATGAAGTCTGCAAAATGTAGCTGTAGTTCTGTGCTACATTTGATAGTATTATATTCACAATGGTGGCAGGACTGTCTTTATTTGAATTATGAATAAACAGATTTCCATATTTAAGATATGAAGCTTTTATGGTGACTAAGTAGTCTTCTTTGATGCACAGTCAGTATTATTTTACATTTTAACTGAAATACCAAACACATTCACTTTTCTGAATAACTAAAGACACCAGGAAGTTTAAGATGTATTAAAACTAGCAAAAGTATATGAGCATTATAGCTGCAAACAGTATGTGAGTTAACATTCTTTTTGGGTTACTTTCATTCACACAGAATTAAAAATAAGAAAGCAATAGTCTTCATTCATTTATAGATCTTATTTGAAATTACCTCTCAAATTCCTCAGGATTACCAGGTTCAGATGCTGAACCTGGTGAAAAGGGAAGAGCTGGTTTTAATGGACACCCAGGAAGACCAGGGAGACCAGGTCAGAAGGGGGCTCCTGGTGTGTACGGGCCTGATGGGCCAAATGGAATACCAGGACGACCCGGTGGTGTAATCCATGGTCCTAAAGGAATACCAGGTCTTCCAGGTAAACCATTTTATTTAATGGATGGAATCATGATTGTGGAAGATCTGTATATGTGTACAATGGTAAAATTCCTTGAGTCTAATGAATATATCTTCTATGTCTTCTCAGGAACTTGATATATTATTTTCTTATCTAAAGCATTTAGATTTATGGCACAAACTAAAGCTGAAGAAGTATTGTCCTAGTCACAGTTACAATTTTATGATACTTATTCCCATTCAATGCCAGGCATTTGAATGCTAATCTAGTCCCATGGACCAAACAGCCATTCAAAAAATATAATCCAGAGTTTCAAATTAAGAAAAGAAACAGCCTCCTACTGAATGTAAAAACTAGTACATATTTCCACAAAATGAAAATTTTGTGATATTTAGATATCTGGCAGAAAAGAAGAAAAGGATTTTGATGACTGAACTAAAACTTTTGAGAGATTGTGTTTGCTTGAGTAACAGCTGCCATTTTTGACAGTGAATATATTAAAATAACCACTGTCCTGTAAAGGATGGCAGTTAATAACATATAACAAACTTCAATCAATAGTACATATATTTTAGGCTCACAGAGTTCGCAGACCGACCAATGTCACCTGATCTTTGTTGCATAACTGCTTTTTTGGAAAAATAATTACCCAATGGGACATTCTAAAACATGTAATAATAAGTAATATTATTTTGGATATTGATATTGTAATGTATTCATTATTCCAAAGGATCGCCTGGGTTGCCAGGAAGGCAAGGAAATCCAGGGATACCAGGACTTGATGGAGAGAATGGCATTCTAGGTCCCCAAGGAATTCGTGGCTCACCAGGACTGCCAGCATTAAGGTACAGTAAACAGCACAGTATGATTCAGGGTTTTCTTAAAACAGTTGTCTGTTATTTGGATGTTTATATGAGATTCAAATATTCAACATGGCACTCACAACAGCCTGTCACTGGACCGTACACAATCCAGTTCTTATCTCCACATTTTATTTCTCCATGATCCATTTAGCATTTTTCCCATCCACATTCACATCTCCTCCTTGAGGTATTCCTACCAAAACTTTATATGCATTTCTTTACCCCACTGCCCATGTTGTATGTACCACCCTTTTATTTTGTGATTCATAAACATAAACTCTTCTGTCAACCATAAGAGGTATGTGAAGATAATTTGGATTTTATTTTTGCCAATTATCTCTTTACACTTTAGTGTTTTACAGAATCTTGTGTCATTGTAGGTGTTCAGTTCATATTGCTGATCTGTTTAATGGTGTTCCTAATGAAAATTATGGTCTGTGGGTGTATTACTGACATTGTAAAGACAGCTGTGCAGTTTAATGGATAATCAACATTACTGGACACCCCTTCCTTCCTATTAATCCATTAAATTGATGGTTTCCTGTGATTGATTTAATGAGACCTGTGGGATAAACAAATTCCTATATACTACTTGGACCTGAGGTGAATTGCAAAAACGATTACAACATTTTTGAGTATTTATATTATTCAGCTTTAAGGGTGTGGCTGGAAATCCTGGGCCTCCTGGGTTAGAGGGAATTCCAGGACCAAAGGGAATTCAAGGAGATTCAGGAGTGAAAGGGCTTCCAGGATATGCAGGCAGGAAAGGAGAGAGAGGACTGCCAGGTATTAATGGTGCAACAGGACTGCCAGGTCTATCTGGTCACAGGGTAAGTGAATAATGAATATATAAATAAACTAACTGTATGGTGCATAGACCTTTAGAAGCTATGAGTTGTTCAGCTAATCAAGAAATTATCCAGTTTTATGGAATTTAAAAGTTGAAGATGGCTGTCATCTGGGTTATTGAGCTGTGCAGTCTGGTAGAGATAAACTTCCACCAGACTACATGGCGCAACAACCCAGAAGACAGCCATCTTCAGACTCTGCGCTGTGTAAACCTCAAATCCTACAACCTAAAAGTTAATTTCCATGAAGATGGCTGTCACTACCCTGAAGATTGAGGCAGCAAACACCCCTGAAACGTCGGAAACGTCCACCAGACTGCACAACGCAACAACCCAGAAGACAACCAACTTCATATCCACCACCATAAGAACCTGAAATCTCATCCATTTCCATGTTCACAAGAGCCTGCCACCAGCTTCTATCCTGAGCCAGATGAATTCAGTCTACATCTCCATACCCTAATTCTTTAAAATTCCATTTTAATACCATCTATCCATGCTTAGGTCTCCAAAATGGTGTCTGAATGAATGAAATAATTGTTTGAAATTATTGCAGCATAGTAACAGTGTACTGATAGGCCTGACACACTAAGGGCATAGATTTTAATCCTACAAAGATATTGCATTTTAGTGTCAGTTTTATCCTCTTCCGCTTGTCTGGTAAGTAAATTCTGTGGTTGTTAAACTTTTATTTCCAAACTCTTTTCGTGTTAGGTCTTCATCTCTTGTAACAATGTTTTATTGAAACGTATGTCTTGCAGGGAGAGAAAGGTGATCATGGCCACTCGTTTCCTCCCAGTAAAACTGTGCGTGGTATTCCTGGTGATGCAGGTCCACCTGGTGTTCCAGGTTAGTTGTTTTTTACACTCCCATGTGTTTATACAGTGACCATTTCTTCAAAATGGGTACAAACAACATGATTTAGTTTATGCATTCAGACTTTCGAGACTTTTTGGAGGTTCACTTGTGTGCTCAGCACTTTTTTAAACCAGAAATTTCTTTCATCTTTGATTACCAATGCAGATTAAGCCTGTCAGTAAAACAAACCATGTATTATCATCATAAAAACATCATTTTCCAGTTCTTCCAAATGTTCTGTGTTTCGGCATATGAATTCTAATCCAATGAACCAACAGAAGCAGCTGTGCCGGGTCTGTCATGATTCAATCATGTATATAGACCTACAAAGAAACACATTTTCTATTGCATATAACTATATGCATGCCAAAAGATGGAAGGAAAAAAAATGTTGGTTTCAATACATTCTGCTGTCATCGCTTTCTATTTTGTGGCATACCAGTATTAATGTATTTTTAGCTTTACTTGTTTCATAATGTATATATAAAGAAAGATGACTGAATTAGGAATGGAAAGCATCTAATAAATTTTAAATGTTAATAAACTTTGCATTTATTTCATGGGAATTTCACTGGAATTATTTATTTACCTCAGTGAGTTTGTCACATAATTATTGTGTTGCTTGTTGTGTTGGCATCACTGCACTAGCTTTCTTGTCTGTTTTTATTATATTGACAAGACTTTTAAAACTAATATTTTGTTCCAGGATTTAATGGTGGCCAGGGGCCAATGGGAAAACCCGGACGCGATGGACTTACAGGTTTTAAGGGAGATGATGGGATATCAGGACGTCCTGGTCTACCTGGGTTTCCAGGTCCAAAGGGTCAACCAGGGTTTTCAGGCAGGCCTGGGGCTACAGGGAACAAAGGACTCCCAGGTGAACTTTATTATGTATCTGTGCTTGCTACTTTTAATGAATCTCTGTTTTGTCTTACGGCACTTTTAAATTTTTGTTCTTATTTCTACAGTAACTAACTCCATGGTACAGCACCTCCCTTGAGCAATCAATATTTACTCAGTGCATAAAGGGATTTCTGGTTATGGAACCCGATGGTTCATCATCACCATGATCATAAATTTCAACTTTAAAAAATTTCTGCTGCCATTTAAATCCAGTTCAAATCTTTACAATCTATTTTTCTTTGATTCATTTTAATATAATTTTTCCATCTATGTGCAAGTCTGCCAAGTGGTCTCTTCCCTTGATACTTGTACAATAAAAATTTTATATAATTTATCTTTTCTTGCAGTTCTCAGTTTTTATGCTTCAATATTTCCCCAAATTTCTTGGTACTTGTTCATGACATAGATCCTACTAAATTTAAATGTGCTGTATACAGACTGCTGGTCAGATTTAAAGGAAAGAAACTCATGGTGGTTCAGCTAGGTACTTGAACGTATCAAGAAGAGAGCAAAGGTATAGCTAGAAATCAAACTTTTCATCCATCAACCTATATAAAACAGAAATGATGTAAGAAGAAATAGAAGAATCAACTGCAATGGTTATTTAGTATTAAAGATGACTGAGTTTCATGAAATTAAAATGACTGGGACAGAAGCAGGAACAGTCTATTTTAAGGTACTATTCCAGTATTTGCCTAGAGAAACTGAGGAAAATTTGGTTGAGATTCAAACCAGAAACTAGCTGAATGAGATTAAGAAGGCTTATTGTTTCAATGCTAATCTATTGTCTAAAGGTTTCTCACTCAATCTAGATGGAATAGTACTCGTTTTCCTGTCACTAGAAGAATGAGAAGGAAGAGGACGACGACAACAATAATAATAATGAGATGAAGGTTTACAACTTCAGCCACTTTATGCAGCAATCTTTAATATTCAAACGGAAAGTAAAAAGGCAGTGATTTTAGTTGATATAAATTCCTTCTTTATAGGTTTTGCTGGTTCTAGAGGTGACCCAGCACCACCAGGACCTCCTCCCAAGAGCCGAGGCTTTTTCTTTACAAGACATTCGCAGACTACACAGACACCAGCCTGTCCTAGAGGAACAATCAGGCTGTGGAATGGTTTCTCTCTCCTACATTTTCTGGGCAATGCCAAGGCACATGGCCAAGATCTGGGTATATACCACCTCTCTGTTTTGTATTTCAATATTAAATTCATTATAGGACTAGAATATGTCAACCTACACTTAAAATTTTATTTTCTGACTTTGGAATTTAAACAGCCAAACATTTTCACTGATGTAATTCTATAGTTATAAAGTTTGGCCCATTACTTTTTCTAGGATGACAAACATTTACATCTGTTTCATTTAAAGTCATCTGCTGCATGCTGCCATTTTTGCTAATTCAGAATTTCAAGTTGCAATCTATCATCCACTTATTTAAGCACTATTATTCTCTCTGTTGTCTCATATGGGTTAGAAGTTAAGGAGATATATTTTGTGCCCTGTGACCAACATTATGAACTCAAAAAATGCTCTTATATTAAAGAAACTAATAATATTGTTCTCTTCCATTTTTCACTTTTATAATTAAAATTAAAAGTGTACAGAAAAAAAATTCTCTCTACTGTCAGATATTAAAAGTTTTGGAACACTTATAAAAACAAATATTCAGCTTTGGAAACTCATGAACTCAAATCTTTCCACATTTCTTTAACACTTAAAACATGATGGCATATGTACGATACTTCCTTATACCATTCCTTTTCAACTATTCTTCTGCCTTATTTAGTTTGGGAGAAAAGATTAGCAAAACCAATCAAAATAGACTTTGGCACAAATTAAAAAAAAACAGCATTTTTTGTGTTACTTATATGACGTCTTTGATGTGGTCATTTCATAGGGGCACCTGGAAGCTGTTTACAGAGGTTCTCCACAATGCCTTTCATGTTCTGCAATATCAACAATGTTTGTGACTACTCAAGCAGAAATGACTATAGTTACTGGTTGAGCACAGATTATCCTATGCCTGCAATGATGACGCCAATTGGAGCAAACGACCTGAGGCAATACATATCAAGGTAAAATATGATGCAGTATACATTTTATGAGTGTGAATTGCTTTCAGTAAGGTTATTGTTAAAAAAAAAACACAAACTTATGCATGGACATGATACTATGAACTAAGTCTTCCTCACAGAGTTCGGAAACTAAACTAGTAAACACAGGAAAAGAAAGTAATGACAGAACACTTACAGCCTAAAAATCCAGATATTTCCCAGACTTCCGCAAAACCAGCCATAAATTCTCTGAGGTGAAGGAATCCTGAATAAAAGTGGCTACTTTCTGAACAGGTGCACTGTGTGTGAAGCACCAACTCGAGTGATTACAGTGCATAGTCAGTCAATACAACTGCCTGACTGTCCTGATGGCTGGGATCCACTCTGGAGGGGCTTCAGTTTCCTGATGGTAAGGAAGCATAATTATTCTATTAATTTTAATGTGACACAATATTTTGGAATGCTATAAAGTAATTTTATATATATATCTATATATTACTTTTAAATAAATTCTGAAACTACTTATTCAGTTTGTACACTGCCACCACCCCAGCCACTTCATCAAATGGTGAAGATCTGGAAACAGAAACAATAATATTGCCAGTTTTGGATGTGTGTAAATACGGTTCCTTACTTTCAAGGAATAACATAAGTTACAACTGACTGAAAACACTGTTCTCATGAAACTATTATATTTGGAACCAAGAAAACAGTAGTAAACAATTAAAGATTCCAAATAATGAGGAACTTTAACATTTTTATTAAGAATAAAATTGTTTTATTTAAGTCTATGATTATGGAACTATTGTTATCAGAACATACTACAGTACTTTTAATTCCTCAATTACAGCACACAGATGCTGGAGCTGAGGGCAGTGGTCAGTCTCTTGTTTCACCTGGTTCATGCCTCGAGAACTTCCGATCTACACCTTTCATAGAGTGCCATGGCATAGGTCGCTGTAACTACTTTACAACAGCTTATTCCTATTGGCTAGCTACCATAGAAGATCGGGAAATGTTCCGAAGACCAAGACAACAAACACTTAAAGCTGGAAGTCTTGAAACACGTGTAAGTCGCTGCACAGTTTGCATCAGACACAGGCGAGAAAGTCGTCTCAATATTCCTGATACAGGGGAAAACATACAACCACTTCGTACGCAACCTGGACTCCAAAATCGTGATTCCCGTTTCAGTCATCGCAATGGTTAAAAGATACTTTCAAAAATTACTTGTCTTCTAAGTGTGTTATGAGTGTCAACAGACAGATAACTTTAAAGAGGAAGTGAAAAAGGCCATTTTTTAGTCTGAATTTTTATGTCTTGTAGTAAATATATTATTTATTAACAAACAGTCTTAGTATCCTCAAAAATATGCATATTCTTTTCATTTTAAAACAGCATATTGTACTCAGGCCTGCAGCATAATTCAACACCATCATGGGCAACCTGAAATCTCTTATCTGTGAAACAGAAAAACCATTCTGCACATTTAATGTGTTTGTTTTGCTCTCTGTCAGATAAAAATTGAAAGTTAAAATTACTTTTAGTTGCATGAATTTAAAATTATTGAGCACCAGAATGACATTTTTCATGAATAGCAGAATGACATAATAGCTTATTAAAGTTTGCCATTTCAGAAACAAAAACATTCTTTTCAGGTACTAATTGCTTCAGTTGTATAATAAACGCTTTTAAGATTTGTTAGTTCTAAAGAATTATGAAGAAATATTTTGTCAACATATGAAGTAAGACTTTGCACAAATAGAAACTTGTCTTTCAAACATCCACTTTAACCTGACTGACCAAGCATAGATATTTGAGGTAGCAAAATTAGCATTTTTAAAGAGTAAAATGAATATAATATAAGAATGTTTTCAACAAACAATCACCATTTTACATAAAAGAAACATCAATGAGTATTACAGTTTCACATGATAAACACAGGCAATAATGCAACATGTGCATTTCAACACTGTACTAAAATTGCTTTGTTTTAAAGGAACAAAACCTCTGCAGTTTCTATGTTCATTCCACCAGCTTTTCTACTGATTCACTGCCACGAACTACTTCAACATTACTGTATTTAATGTGGTACACGTAAGCAACACATAAATATAGGGTTATGCTCTTACTTGTACAATTTTATATTGGAACACAGGTGTGTAATGTATTTCATGAAACTGAAGCTTTCAAAACAATTTTCTGATGCATCTTGGAATGGATTTATTGATAAGAAACATCATGTTCTAGTACTTTTTATGTTTAGCCTTTATAAGGCAAAAAAATAAAATACACTGCCATCTCACTGCCAGTTAATTATTAACCTAAACATGTCTGCAATATTAGGAGTTCCCATACTTTAATAATGCAACTTGATAATGTGATGTTACAATTTAAATCTATATCTTTGATAATTACTCAGTAATATAATTTTGATGTTTATATTACATGCCTTTTGTAAATGCCCTGTATCTTTTTACATTTATATAAGTACAATAATAATGTAACAGTTCTGAACTAAACTTAAAGAATGACCTCAGCTTTCTTAATCATGTTGAATTTTAATGAAATATAAATTGACAAGAACCAAGCAGAAACTAATTATGGTCAATACAATCTTCACAAAATTAGTAAATCATATACAATAAAATATTGAATACATCTTATTATCAACGAATCCAATAAATGTGTCCACTGTTGTAATAATATTATGTTGAATGCTTAGGTTGAAAGGAATTTGTAAAGAATGTGGGGTATATATTAGTGGCCTGTTTCTGGGTATTTACCTAGCTGAGGAAAGCCACGGAAAATATTAGTGAGAATATTCAGTCTCAAGTTTGAGAATGGAACCTATGAAGGAGTGATATCCACTGCAATGCACTGTTTATATTATTATTAAAGGGAAACTAATTCAGTACATTTTACCAAGAATGGCACAAAGAGCCACTGGATAGGAAATCAACCACCAGTCCTTTAATGTGTTCCTTTCCTGTCCTTTTATATAATGGCCAAAAACAAAGATAGCACCTATCTCAATACAGAATGGCCTTGCATGAGATAATGTTGTGACAAATGATAATTTTACGTTATGATTCTTATTTGAAATTTCAGCGACAGTGAAAAATTACTTAAAAATTAGTGTACTGAAATTTTAGTTCCCTATTCTAATTTTCGTGTGCTGCAAAACAACTTAACATCCCTAGTGTGACACAAGCAGCAAATGGTTGAAAACCACTGGTTTAAACAACCACAAAGAAAAGAGAATCCTATTTTTATAAAATCTTCATATCAGCCACACATCTGAGTAGCCCCTACCTGTTCTGAGTTCCATTCATATTTGCTACATGCCATAATTCTAACAGAATGAAGACTTCGTTCTCGGTACTATCACCGATAGATGCAGTTTTCTCAGCATTTCTACTATGGTATTCACAATTAACATGAATACACACAAAATAATCTCATATGGAATAATCAGGTTTTGGCAGTGCCACCTACCTGCAGACACACTTACCAGAATTTCATGCAGCATGATAACATTTGTATCGTAAAGAGATATAACAATTTTCTCAAACACTGTCCAAACTCCTATCATTTACCTGATGCCTGCTTCATTTTTAATACAATGCATACATCTAAGCAGCAAATGAGTGTCTTGTGTAAACAGAACACACCTTTTTAATGTCAACCCCAAGGATGCATTTGCTTGTTCTTGATTTGTTTTACACTTGGTCACATAACTGGACACTTCATGCACAAGAGAAATCTTTACAAGCGTCTGTGTATGGCATACTTTTATTCTAGATACATGCATTACCATTAAGTACATGATATATCTGAGGATGGAAATACAAGAACACAACTATAAGATACAAAAAAATAACCTTATAGCAATCTTCAAAACAAACAAATTGGTCTTCTTACATCAATGAAATCTTTGTACCATTCAACTCCTTCAAAAATAAATGTTATCTGCACAGGAGATCAGCGCACTAGAAAAATTAAACTACAAAGAATAACCAATGTACAAAAAATTATTCTACACTGACTGCATTATCTGAACTAGATATTTCCCAAAGGCAATCCATTCAGGAAATAGATTCTCTTTACATTCTTATGGACAAAATTCTATCCAATAAAGCAAATTTAAAGAGCATAGAAGGTTCTCACATAACCTGGGAGGTGAACTCCTGAACTTACAACTCATTTTCACTTATAATGAAGCAAGAATTTAATATAAATAATGATCCCAATTGTTTTTATATATTCAATGAACATAAACACCAGGATTGCCTAGCACAGAAAAAGTAAATAGTGGCCAGGTCTCCAATAGCAGCAGGATGATAAGATGCTAGTGACTTGTCACCTGATGATCCTTATAGTACCAATATCTGATGGGACAGAATAAGATAATTTTTTAAAACTTATATGTTTTGTTTGATAATATGATAAGAGCATAAATATTTTACTTACATTAGTAACCTTTTCAATAAAGATTAAAATATACAAAACAATAATTTTGCCTGTTGTTTTGTATGAGTTCGAAACATGATCTCTCACTCTGAGGGAGGAACATAGATTGCAGGTGTTTGAGGATGGTGTTGTGGAGGATATTTGGGCCCAGGAGAGAAGAGGATGGGGTATGGAGAAAACTGCATAATGATGAGCTTAAAAATTTGTACTCCTCCCCCAATACTGTCAGGGTGATTTAAATCAAGAAGAATGAGATGGGCAGGGCATGTGGCACGCATGGATACAGCAAGCGGTGTGCACTGGGTATTGGTCGGGAAGCCTAAGGGGAAGAGACTGCTGTGGAGACCTAGACATAGATGGGAGAATAATATCAAGCGGGATCTATGGGATATAGGAGTTGAAGGCAACTGGATTTTGTTAGCCCAGGACAGGAACTGGTGTACGGCCTTGGTTAATTTGGTGATGAACCTTCGGGTTCCATAAGCAATCTAGTTAGTAAACTTTTCAAATTCACGCATTGCAACACCACAAAGACAGAAGTGAACACTAATTTATAAACTCAATAGAACAATCATTTTTTAATAAACTAATAATATGCTCAGTTAGCCAAGAAATCCCATGCCTTTTATAGAACCTGATGGTTCAATGCCATGTTCACAAGATCATGTCATTGGCCCTTAATCTGACGCAGATGAATCTGCAACTCAACACTTGTGTCCAAATAGTAGTAGGGTTAAAAATGCAACTGTGTAAAAGTAAACTAAGTAGGCTACTATTTAAACATGCACAGTACCACTATTGTACCATAACATTTACCTCAAGTATCAGATGTTTCAATTTTGAAATGTATGTGCAGACCCCAGTGATCGCTTGGGAAACACTGAGTGCTGGTAACTTTCTCTATCCCCACCAAACCAAAATGAACTGGTGTAACTCTTTTTGGATGTGAATGTCGTATGTATGCTCGGTCAAAGCGACAACGAGGCTTGAACCTGCCAGGCATTTCCTTATTGCAGTTCCGTACCATATCCCATGTATATTGACATTCTTTACGTGAACCACATGAAATCCATAGGTCTTCAATGCCTGGTGGAATGCCTCCTGCAAGCTCCAGCTGTAAAATAAGGACCCACTAGGATGATAATACATTAGAAATTCTTTGAACATCAGTTCCCTAAACATATTGGCCACAGAACTTTTTTGTCTAAAAAATTAATAGACACGTGACTGGGAAAGTAAGGTGACTGTTCATGTGCACTATGCTGTTTTATAACACTATTCCTGTCTTACAGACATAAACCCACTCCAAGTCACCCACATGTGTGTTCATGCATGCACCTAGTAAACAAGATAAAGTGCAGCGTAATGTTCCTCCTACCTGACCTATGCATCTTGCCAACTTCTCATTCTGTGCCCATAATACTTGCCACCCTAAGAACCTGAAATATCACCTGCTCTGAAATTAGGCGTATAATACGGCAATTATATCACTCTTCACCTCTTTGTCTCTGAGATTCATGTCCCCAGATAGGAGTACTGTATTCTCTTCTGCGAAATCTTGTACAACCTTGAACGAATCTTTCAACTGCTTTATTCGCTCAGATGCATGATCCTTGGTACTCTCCAAGTGTGTGTTGACAAGTTGAAGTTTCAAGGAGCCAATATGTGCCTGAAATACAAATCAACTTCATAGGAGGGTTTTAAATCAGTTCATGAAGTTTCAGTATTCCTCAACACAAAGACAGAGAAAAGTAGAGTGCAATTAAGAAATTCATTAAACATTCTCTCATTATCCAACAGATATTTTTTGTTATGAGGTGCACCAAGCTAAAATATAATCCCTGACATTTTGAAACTTTTCTGTACTTCCACAACTGGAAAAAAATCTGATAAAACAAGTCTACAGGCCATCAACGCACGTAAAATGTAAAAGTTGGTAAAAGAAGAGGAGGAAGAAGGAAAAGTGTCTGCAGAACATTTTATTTTAAGGGTCAATTCCTTTTATAAGCAAATGAGGAAACCCACAAAATACCTGTCAGAATAGCGTGATGTGCCTGCAATCCAATGCAAGATCTCCCACACACAAAGCCAGCCACTGCATGCTTATGTTCAATGAAGGTACAAATAAGTAAAACGTTACTTGCAACAGACTCATGAATTTCATTACCTCAACAGTGAGGAGATTTCTCATCATCAGTGAGCCAGAATGTTCCGTGATCTTGTGAGAATCATAATACACAGTAAATCTGCGGAGAAGAGTGGCAATGAAGTAGCCATCTGTGTTGCCAGCAATGCACATGTACTCTGGCAGCTTGTTTTCAATGTAGGAGAATGTTTCTTGGATCACCTCTTGCAAGAATACTATATCTGGTTTCTCCCTAAGTTATCAAACAAAACACTCCATATACTGAACATGAACTTGAAATAAACAAAATTTCTTCAACACAAGTTGGTGTCTGTACCGCTCAGGTTAATTTATTTTGTTTGTGGTTTATTTAAGGGCAATTTCAACAGTTCAGATTACAGTTAAAAGTAAGGTCTGGGTAGTTAAATGCAATTTTTCTGAAACTTATGACAAAAGGATAATCTGTAACTGAAGCAAGTTTTATATTTTACAGTCAATGTATGTGTGTGTTGAAGTGTGGCACATACAACGTTAGCTAAAACTATAATTACATTTGATTCTTTCAAGCAATATCTTAACTTTAAGATGGCTGTCTTTTGGGTGGTTATGTCAGTCTGGTAGAAGGCATGATGGATGCACCTCTGAAATGTTGGTAAGCTTCTACTAGACTACATGTCATAACCACCCAAAAGACAGCCATCTTGATACTTGCCATCAAGAGAACCTCAAATTTCACAATAGCCCAGCACCCTCATAACTTGCATTACCACTTATTTTAACTGTTATTATAACACTATGCACTTGATTACATAATACTAAACACTTACATATAAATGATTTTGCACACAGCCTTGGTTCTTCGCTTTAAGTTGCGTTCATCCAAACCATCAAGGTTCCATGAAATAAAACTGAACTTTGAAGGAGGCTCACTTGTAGCCTGGTCGAGGCCTAATGCATTAACCATAGCTTTGCTACAAAACAAACAATAATATCAAATATAATACATAACAATTACCCTTTGAAGCTGAAGTTCCTGTAAAAAAATATTTAAGAATTCAGTCCATACCACAAAGAAAATACCACACTCCACCATTAAAAAGATCAAGTGGTTAATGCTGTATATATTAAGAACCATACACAACCCTTAAATACAAAATACAGAGTGCAGAACATGTAGTTATCACTCGGCTTTCAAAGATTAATATCTAAAGAAAAACAAAATTAGAACTGAGCAAAGGAAAAGAATCCATCATTATCTTTTAGAATTTCTCTCTCTCTCTACACCAGATGTAATTATTGTATTGCCATGATTTAGTCATCACAGCCTCATTTGTGAGAACAGGGTGCATAATTTTGAAGTGACAATGGCTTGGAAATTTCATAAGATTCAATCTACCTCTTGTTTTATATACTATATTCTATATATTCAGTGTTGAAAGATCCAATCACTCACTTGACATTGACAACTAGTTCTCCTTCATCTCCATCAGTCAAAAAACTTACTCCACCATTCTGAGTAGCTTCAAAGAATGCGTTTACCGATCTCTGCAAATGGAATTGAAATGTGACATATTACCAAAGGCATAAAACAAATGATGTCAATGAAAAAAGAATGGTGTCAAGGTAGTTTCCATTACCTGCACCAATGGAGGATGCACACAGCATAAAAAATATGGTTAATAAAAAAGATATTTTTCAACCCAAACTGCAGTGCTACAAGGTGGGGAAAAATGCCTAGTTCTTACCATATCACCTTTACAGATCAAGTCCTCTGCTCTCATTAAAATCTTGTCAATCTACTGTCTGGTCTTCCAACATTAACTTTATCCAACATGAACACTAATTAAAAAACACTTTAAGATACAACCATTTCCATTCTTCCACAATATTCCCAACATTTATTTCCTCACTTCAAAAGCCTACCTGTAATATTATTAATCTATCCTTATTTATCATTTGATCCCAGAGTGTTAACTTTTGCTATTGATCTCAGAGAACACATTTATACAGCTTTAATTCCTAATCTGTTATTTTCTGTTATTGCTCAAACTTCTGACCATTGTGCGAGGAGACGACCAGATATTTGATCGTTACTGTTTTCCCCTAATTTACCACATGCCACATTGGGTAAAAAATGTGAAGGAAGCCACAAGAAAAAATATGTATCACTGAATTTGTCAAACTGCCAAAGAACTGGAACATAACATGATTTAGTTTGGCAGATGAGCACAATATGCTTTTTAAAGTAACCTGAATGATAGTAGTGGTAAAATAATCAACAATGGACACAACATATAGAAATTTGTTTCCATCAAAATGTATAACTGGAGGACGCTGTAGTGGTAACCTCTAAGTTTTTACAACATGAACGTATTCCAAACAAAATGGAAGCATGCATTCCCTGATGTTAATCTGTGCTTCATCCTTTGAAGCAGAAGTTTGCTGAAATGTTATTTAAAAATTCAGTCTGTACATCAAATAAAAACAGTGTCTCCACTATAAGGATCAATTGGTTAATGTCAGTTAGGGAAACAATAGCTGTTTATTGAGAATCATACAAAACATACAGTGCATCAATCGTACATCATCTTACTTCAAGATCCCATTTTCTGTCCTGAAGATAGAACTGAGCGCATGCTTCATCCGTTCCTGTTACCTCTGCAAACTGCTCTGTCAACTTCTGGCATGTTTCACGGTCTGGTATATCAGGGTCCAGCTCACCTGACTGGCTCATTATGCAAATTTTTGTCAATGAGCAACTAGTAAAATCCTGTGAATCCAAAAAGTGACCTCTTAATTTATACTGGAAGAAAAAAAATCCCTTATATTTTGACCTTACCTTCCTACATTTATCATTAAAGACCATCATCGACCAGACTACACAGTGCAACAACCCAGAAGACAGAAATCTTTAAAGAATATCTTGTCATACAAACCTCAAATTTCTCAACACACTTCATTAAGATTACCCAAATGTAGACTGAAGTTTACAATTGATATATACAATATTGTAAAATATAACAGGGGCAAAGTATGCAAGCAATGGTACATAGTAAGGAACATCTGTATCCTTCCCAAGACACGACTTCCTTCGGAGGGAAAGTGAAGCTGGTGGTCACATGTCATAGATTTGCAGCATATAAAAGAACCTTACGAGCATGAACGAGATGTTTCGTAAGCAAAATTCAGTGGTCATTTCTCACCCATGTCTCTTCTGATTTGCTACTAGAGGGCTCTAGCAAACAAATCAGAAATGAGTAGAAATTGTGCCGAAGCAGCATGCTTGTCGCCTGCTTCTCTAAGGAACTAAAAGACTAATAAGACAAGTTGCCTTGGGACGGGGCAAGGACCCAATCCTTGTTAGGAAGATGATGATGATGATGTTGGTCATTATCTGTACAAATAATAGCCCCTTGGAAGAAAAATATGAAAATTTGTGCAAGGACATTTATATTTCTGATCTCAACAACAAATTATATCACAGCTGAAATATTGCAGATTTATTGTAAGGAGGGCCAAGACCACATTACAACACAATTTTTTTTACGTCAATCGAACATGTTTCCACCCTTTAAAGGGGGCATCATTGCTGCCTCAATATTTTAGAGTAACAGCCAACGTTAATAAACAATACCTTCCTTCAATCATCCTACTTACATTAATAAGTAACATAAATATTACAGACAAACTGTAAGTTATTACAATGGCAGGCTAACCAATGCAAAACCAGGTTCAAGATCCTTTCTTGTATAATGTTACAGCAATTAGAACCGCCCCTTTACTTGAAGGCATATATGAACATTACCTAAGAATTGCCTTTCTTATTAATATTCATTCCTTAGTCGAAACAACCAATGACAATTCCACCATTCATTATGATTCGTATTTACAACAGTTAACTTTCTGAAGACATTTCAGACTTCACATTTTACAAAAAAATATGGCTGAGGAACAAATGACGATCACCTATGTTGGAGGGAAACGTTGCGTCAGTTGCGGACTACACTGTCATCTACTGTTGATGAGACCAATACTTTGCAATACCATGTTAGCAGCGGTAGCTCAATCAGTAATTCACAGATTTTGAGCATGAAACGTCCGTACCAATTGCATGTACTGTCCAACATTTGATTAAAAGTTGAGAGATTAATTTAAAGTGTGTGTAGACGGATTGTGTATTATTTCTGGTTTCATAACTTAGTTCTTCATTTTTCCTTCATCACTATTTTCTTGTATGAAAAACGAACTCGATACAGTTAGGGATGATGACATGAATGAACAAATACAATGTGAACTGAATTCAAGGGGATGAATATCGACTTCCGTAAAAGCGGATAATTTATTAACTATATAAGCGACTATCAGCTTATCAAAATGGACTGTGCTCCACGTATTTAGAGAACATAATCACAACTTACACCGAATGTCACTTTCAGAATGGTATTCAAATGTGTGTGTGTGTGTGTTAAGTCCTGCCTGTAACTCCATTGGGCGGAGCCGGAACTACAAACATACGTAATCAGTTCTCTGTATTATGATCTGGTGTCCCGGATATTAGGCGAGTGAAGGACTCGAAGTCTGAAGTTCTCTGTTTCAATCCCAGGTGCGGGTGGCTAAAATCAGGAGTTGGTTCTAACAGTTTAAAAAGAATAGCGTTATTACAGAACTACAATGAGCTCAGACTTTATTCATCCTCGTCAAAATGTTATCACCGCTCGTAAGATAAGATTATAAGTCCTTTTCCTCGCCACTCAAAATATTAAGAAATTCTTTAACTCTTTGAACAACGAAAGAGAGAACGAGCTAAATTCAGTTCCTACGTCATAGAATACACAACGCCTCTCCATTACCAAAATCTGTTGGTGGATATTATTTATTCCCAGAAGTCAATGAAACCTACAAAAGGCATACACACTGTGTACAAACTATAGAGTTATTTAATGTTAAAGCAAGGGTTAAGTGTCATGTGTCCCTTTGTTTTAAACCCATTTGAATGCCCCAATACCTTTAATTCCCCTTAATATTTCGATAACTTCTTTGGCACATCTGCAACGCGTGTAGCCTAAACAGATCTGTGCCAGGATCTGACCCAGTGGTTGCAATTAGCTCTTTAATATATCTAGCCGTACCGGCCCTGCCTTTTTTACCTGAGGACGGAAACATACAGTTTCCAAAACGTTGTAAACAAAATGTAAAAAATCAGTAATATTAAACATGTGGTTCTCGTCTCTGATTCACCGACGGGTAAAACAGATTTTTCCGAGGACCGATTTCCTATCTTTTTCATGTTTTACTCTACAAATAATTATCTGTAAATCTAATCACTGCTAGGTAGATTTGTTGTGAGGATGTACGTAATATGTAAAACTGTTCTATTGGGCTTTACCCATCGTCTAAACCATAATAACAAAACTACAACGTTTCGGAAGCTGCTTTCTGCTTCCGTCTTCAAGTAAAAAGGGGGAAAGAGGATAAGAAACTTATCTGTTCGGATGAGTTAGCCTCAGACCTGGACTTCAGACCTCGTCCAGGTCTGAGGCTAGCTCAACCAGGGGTCACAAAAGATAAGTTTTCTGTCCTATTTCCCCCCTTTTCATCTTAAGACGGAAGCAGAAAGTAGCTTCCGAAACATTGTAGTTTTGATATTATGGTTTAGACAATGGATAAAGCCCAATAGAACAATTTTACATATTACAATGCACCCTTGTCAGAAACCTTCAGATTTCTTCCGGGATAATTTAATATTTCCAGTTATTTATATACGGAATCTTTGGACATACTAAACCACATTTTAACTAGAGATGTGGCTTACTCGTGTGGTTTAGGGTATTCCTGAATGGTTTCCTGCTTCGGGTATTCTAGCTGTCGTGTACATACGAAGCATTTAACAACAGGAAAGAAGGCGCTTTTTCCTGAGGGTCAGGGTTTTGTGCAGTATCGTCAATCGATACAAATCATTAATTAGGCTGGAGGTTTCACGACCTTGGTTCAATTCTCAGCAAGGACAGGCGTGTCTGTTTTCACCACATTCAGACCGTCTCTGGGGTCTACCAGACCTCCTATCGAAACCTCCATTCTCGGGATGAAAGAGGCCAGAGCATGAAGCTAAATCACTCCCCTCCCCTCTATGTAACTTTGAGAAATGCATAGATCTATATTTCCAATCTCTAATACATACGTCTTCATGGAGAGGTGTACTCAATAAAAATGTACGTCTTCTTTTTATAAAACAATTAAAATGACGGCCGTGGTAACTTCTAAGGGTGGAAAGGCAGTGTGGCGCTGTTCAAGGAGAATAAAAATGTGGCGTTTACCGCAACAATACGCCGAGACCGCATATACGTTCGTCAGCTGCCACACCGTAATGTCTGTTGACGCTCATTGGCGTCACATACGTTCCGCCCCTGCATAAAAGCGGGGAATAACAACTGTACATCTCTCGTAGTTCGCCTGCTGTCTTGTGACTAACATACCGAACTTTACAACCTGTTTGCCAGATCATAACAGTCTAATAGTTTTCCAACACGAGGAAATACGAAACTTGTAGTAAGTCGAAGCGTTTCTGGTATAATTAAATTCACCCAATACAACTTTACACAAAACATCAAAAACTTAATCTGAGTGGAATTAGCATGTTATTACCACAGGAATCCGCAAGACAGTCCTTTTTGTACTGCTTATGACTCTTGTTCAAAGTATCAAGGTCGGTTGTCGTCTGTTCATTCCGAGTACAATTGATGTTTATAAGAACAATGTCTGAATTTGAAAAGGGGCAGATGACAGTTTATCGTTAAAAAAGTGGCTCGTAGAAACAGTTTCGTACAAGACAGTAGTTATCATGGAACCAAAAGCTACATCACACTTCGCAAAGTTTAGAACCATCTTCCCGTCTACCATGTAAAATCCCAAAGATATAAAGATACAGTACTATAATTTTTACCTGGTGTTCTGTATGAGCGTGGAATTTGATTTCTTGCTATAAACGGAGAATACAGACAGATTAAGTATGTTTGAGAACAGCGCTGAGGAGAATAACTGAATACAATGCCCACTAATGATCAGGACGGTGGAGACGAAGAGATTCATTATTTATTCGCTACTCGTCACCAAACGTTGTTTGGATGAAGAAGGGAAAGTTCAGCGGAGCATATAGTAAACATTGGGGAGATGAGAAATTCTAGTGAAAGGACGACCATTTTAGAGATTAGAGGCGTAGATGGGAAGATAATATCAAAAGTGGACTGAATTCATCGAACTCAGGATCTGGTCTAGTAAAGGGCTTTCAGTGCAGTAGTACCATGTTTTCCACCAGATATCGGGATTACGAGAACAACAAGGCGCAATCTTGTGTAACGAATCTGAGGATGTTGCTCCATGTCTGGCAAGATACAGTCTGTCTTGTGTACGTCTTTCTACGGGACTTCCCTTCGGTGATATAGCAGGTTTAGAGGTTATGACCGCTAGATCTGACGGAGACCGACACCTTCTTTCTTTCTTTTTTGCATGAAGTATGCGAAGTAAATTTATCCATTAGCTTACTAGTTTATTCGTCTTTTCGTACGCATGTTCAATCAGTGAAACTACTAAATGGATTTTGATTAAATTTAGTATTGTGGAGTATACACTGAAATTATAGGGCGACTTTAATATAACAACTATTCTACAGTTAGTTACAATTGACATTAATATATTGTACCACAGAAAGGTTCATTTTACAAAATGTATACAGGAATAAATAATAGAACTAGTTACGTTCTTCAACTTTCGATTTTTAGAGACTGTTGATATGCGACGAAATGCAGTGAAAATAGTTTCTGACTGTGAACACTAAGCAAATGATGTGTCAAAAATATCGAATGAAAAATAATTATTTAATTCGTCTTACATAAGAGGATTCTCACACTTAAGGAAAAGGACTGAAAATACCCCAGTCGGGATTGAAACATATAGCGCAGATAATGAAACAAAGGTTATGTAGACAAATATTTCATGCATTTTTGCTATTAGTTTTGACACACAGCAGGATGGTATATTAAGATAAGATTTAAGAAGTCTCTACAACTGGAGGAAGACAATACTGGAAACTAGACGTAGTACAAGTAAAGCTCTGACATAATTAATTACTCGCCAAACGAACCGCGATTTACAGACATTTCCGGTGGTACTCGCCACTGCAATCCAATATCACAATTCTGCGTCATCTGCCAGTAAAACACTACTCAGAACACGAGGCCTAACTTCCTTCTGTAATAGCACAGAACATCCCCGTCTTACCACTGAAGACAGGTTATTACTCCGAGATGAATAATGCATATGTTGCAACAATTGTCGCCACCAACTGTTACCGATTTCCTACAGTTACGAACATAAACTCAACAGAGCAGGGTCAGTACTGAAACGATGGCCAAGAAATCCCCCATTATCGTGCCCAAAAACCCCATTCCTGGACACTAACCTGAGCCATATTCAGTCGACATCCACAAACCCTATTATTTTTAGATCCATTTTAGGCATACATTAACCTGCCTAAATCTCCCAAGATGCCTATTTCCGTGCAAATTAGCAACATTATACAATATACAATAAGTTCATTATGCAATTTTCTCCGCCATTCTGTTACTTCCTATCTCTTAGGTCTGATATTCTCTGCAACACACCTTTTTTTAGATATCTCAATCTAAACGATATTTCAGGTTCTCACGGCCGTGGGTTTTCTAGAGTGTTGCGCTATGTAGCCGTAGAAATATTGCCCTGATTATGGAGGCAGTAAGCACATCTCAAACGCTGCTCGTTTCTACGACTACACGGTGCAACAACCCAGGAGACAGCCATCTTTAACAGTCATGTTCGCCTATCGGAGGAGCGTAGCTAGCGATCTAATCCAGGCTCGGGAATTGTAATAGCCTGGATAAGACTGAATGAAGCCACAGAAAGACTTAGTATTATCTTATAACCCAGTATGTTGTAATAATAATGCTGACAGAGACTTCAGACCACATTCATAGAAAATTAACCACAAAATACGTCAGTCAGCAGGTACGAAAATGGCACATTTAGAACAAGGAAAAGCTGACGGAAATGATACAGTTCCTCTGGTAAGAGACTTGCGTTTCATCTGTGTTGAAATTACTCACGTCTTTACGAAGACGATCAAGAAGGAAATCCTGTTAACTTATTTGTTACAATTTAGAATTTTAGTATATGTAATTCCTTAAAAATTCGTCCTCTTTTACAGACCTACACAGCCATACGCTGGTCTTTTAAATTTTACGTACAGCCTACAAATACAAGTACAATTTAAATAGCGTCTATAAAGGTTAAAATCTCACCTAATAGGCCTATATAAAATCATTTCGTCTCTTCTGTTTTCCACGTTTCTGATCTGGTTATGGACCTACACGTCCTCAGCCGCATCGTGTACTAATTTAGAAGTACGTGGCTCTCATAGAAGGTTAAAATAATATCACTGTTTTAGTAAAGTTTGTTAAAATAACCTGTGAACAACAGGAAATTTCGATAGTATAAGAACAAATGCCAGTCAAATTGTGCAGTAACACCAGATACATTAGGCAAAGGAATAGTCTGTTATTTACAAGTTAAACCGGTTTGAATCTCGGACCGACTGTCTATCCTGACTGAGTTTTGTCGAGATTTCCCTGTATTCCTCCAGAAATATACCAAAAGATTACCTTCATGCTTCCTTACTAATCCTTCACGGATCACAGCTTCACATCATTTATTAGATCCTACATAACCCCTACACCTGATTCAGTATCGTTAAGTAATCTATTAGCGAATTCAGTTGCAGAATGATTTGCGAAATATTCATTATATTTTGTTGTTCGATTATTTTATGATGCTGTACTGTGTAGCAACTTTGTTATCATGAAGACCATCCTTTTGATTGATAAGTTGTAAGACGGACATAAATGTCATAAGATTCTGGAGGTAAAAAGTGATCATTAAGTATTTACATGGCGTTTCCTTCTTAGTACTGAGTAAAACCATTAGAAAACTCAATCACGATATCCTAAACCCAGCCAAGATTCGATTCGATTCGCATGAGCTAAATCACTCAGCAAATTCAGTTTCTTGAGAGACAAACTCAAATTATTTAAGAATTAATAACTAACTTATTGGAGAAAGAACATTCTTGATAAGCAAACAAAGAAATGACCATCCTTTTACTGAACAAGATGCACTAACATGTCTTTGAAATCTATTATGATCCAGATGAATCCAATTCTGAAGCCTTGCGACTATGATCTATTGCGATCAGTATTGCTGAATTCTTTCTTATTTTTATCCAACGTCTCAGTATTCTAAAACTGGATGTCTCCATCTTCAGGTGAAAATTTAGGGCGATATATACAAAGTGAAGTGTTTTAGAAAACGTTAATCTCAGTCACTGAATCATGACGTTCCATATCTCGTTTCCGAAAATATTTATTTATAGTTTATTTAACGACGCTTTTTCAGTATACGATAGACAAAGTCCAGAAATCCAGTTATACTAACAGATAAAACAAATTAATAAAGTCCACATCGTCAGACACTGTTCTTTATGAACTACAAAACAGATAGGTTTGAAATATTTTAAAACTATCATATTCTATTGTCTGGGCAGCTTATTTACATTTAATCATTATTTCCGCCAGAAAATATTATAATCAACATTGGCGCGATGAAATAGATGAACAAACATATCATTCACAGTGTTTTGTTGTAATTATTATTACTATTATTGGTGTTCCTTCTCTATGTTGGTCCGTAAAACGTCATTCGGTAAGAGGAAGGTCTAAGGGCCGAAAGGTCGGGCTTCCATTACTTTTGAGGCCATTGTCTTTGCCATGATTGTACTATAATGGGGCCCATAAGCTTCTTATCCACTTAGAAATGGGGCTCCTAGTCCTGGAAATACGAGCATTATTGAAGACTAAATAATCTGGAAGGAATGGTCTTGCACAATTGCTTTAAGACTATTCCCACGACCACATTACAACCTTCGTGGAAACTAGTTTTCTGCAGTTAGACCATCATTATACGTGTGTTGACATGTAATTTTGTAAGCCGACGAACCAAATTATTTCTTGTCTCCCTGGATATCAGACTCCGACACAACCCCCCAATTACAATTACTTTTAGTTAACACAAACATATTGGTTAAGATTCTGAACAAAAAAGACTAGAGGGCTAAGGTTTACAAAGACTACACCAGAAGACCACAGCTGATCCCAACTCCATTTCAATCATGGTCTTTCTTCCTTAGATGTGCGTTTTAAAAGATTCTCATTCAAGTCTTTTTTTCGAATGTCGCTAATTTTCACGAGATCTTCTTAGCACACTGTTAAATAAAAGAGTTACATACTGAAACCATTTTAATTTCTCTGCTGTTTTCTGTCTCTACTCAATCACGAGTTTGAGATTTCAGGTTCTCGCGGCTGTGAATATAAAGATGGCTGACTTCTAGGTTATTGCGCCGTGTAGTCTAGCATAGTTTCACCGACGTTTCAGAGGTGTTTGTTGCTTCCATCATCAGGACGAAACTGTTACCACACTATACGGCGCAAAAGCCAAAAGACAGCCATCTTCAACGAGTTTGTTTCGTCGAGTACTTCAGCTAGCTGAAGCCCTCAGGTTCGTACCAGAAGTGGGTTCAAACGCCTGGGTGTTGTGATAGGGAACCATTTTCGATCTGCACAACTGTCAATTCGCTCTCTGGGGTTCACGCATTGCCGTTGGAAACGGAAGCTTGGAGAAGAGAAGTGGGCGAAGGTTGTGGCTAGGAACTGCGAAACTTCCGTTTGTGTCCATCCATCTCCACACGTGGTTTCCCCTTCTTTCGATACGCGCGTCAATCCGGAGCGCCCTTGCTTATAAATACCTATCTCAGCGTCATATGTTTCAGTTCAAGTAACGTCTGGATACAGTATTGTGCTACAACAATGGTTACCAGCCTGTGTGTGTTGATACTGGAGGTGGTTCTTCTGTCTTCAGTGCATGCATTTCCACCTATTTTATACGGTAAGTGATGCCACTAATATATTTGTGCATTTACCAATCAAGCTGTTACATTGTATTGGGAAGTACTCTGTTCGAATCTTTGATTGAGCCTGTCAACTCTAAGAATTTTCGTGGTTCTCAAAATGTTTTCAGGCCGATGCTAGGACAGTGCCTTGAAATAGACGAGGACCATTCTTACTTTTTCTTTTTAATGCATTATCTCATTCGACACTGTCACACTGCAGTTGATAAGGCGTGGTTAAATAATCATCCGGATGTAACATAATTGTGTGGAACTGCAGACTAAGTGTTAGAATTACCTGCATTTTATGTCAATAAAACGCGGAATTTATGCTGGAATTTTGTGTGAAAGAAAAAGTTAAGAATTAATTAAAAAAATAAAAATTCCAGTGTTCGTATCAAAACTGATTTTTTTTTTTTTTGAGATTCATTAACACCCGCTCTGTTATATCATCTGATTATTTTGGAGCATTTAATCTTCCATCTCCCAAATTTCATTCCTATTCTGGACGTATAATTAGTCTAAAATAATTTAATATTATGATGCAACTAAAATCAATCAATCATTTTGTTGCCTGCGTTAAATGAATGGCTTGCTACAAACCTGTTTCAAGTTCCATCTGCAGATTGCATGCAGATAATCTGTTAACACGACGACACGCACAAACACACTTGCGTATACTTAACACAATACAAAGTGAAAACATAAAATAAGGAGGAATATCAATCAGCTGTTTTATACACGACAGGCAGAGAGAAATCTAACTTACGCTTTTCTGTACCTTGGTTATTTTGTAAGTTCACGGCAATGCAACAGCAGCCGATGTTCTGTGGAGTGAAATGAGATCCGAAGGACTGGTTATGAAACAGAAATGGAAGAGGTCGTAGCCTGTCTTAATACTATAACTGCCAACATTCTCCCGTTACTTTCTTCTTAGGTTCAAATACGTTCTCAAACATTCGATCTATGCTCTTCCGTTGACGCGAGAGACCAAGTTTCACACCCATAACTAACGTTCTTTCTTGCAGAAGGTGATGTGTGTAAGCTGGGAAGAGACAGGAAAGGTCTGTGCAAACCTCTAACCCAGTGCGAGCCAGCGTTACAGCAGTTGCGAACGTCGGGGATCAAACCCTTCCACTGCAGCTTCAAAGGCTTCGAGGAAGTAGTTTGCTGTGATGATGAGATGTCGCAGAATCTCCGAAGAAGCGAGTTCGGTAAGCAGTTGCATGACTACAGGTCAATTGTGATATACGTACATATATCGATACATCTTGCCCGTCCTTAGTTCCAAGTACAGTACAACGAAAAAATATAATTTTCTGGTGCCAGCCCCCCGGTTAACAAATTGGCAGCACACCACGCCCCGGCCGGCTTTACCCCCGGGAAAGGACCACGGTACCCATTGTAGAGGATGCTGGGTTGGCCCCAGAGCCGGTCTGGACGCAGAGTCTACAGGAAAAATCCTCTGCCCCCGTCGGGGATCGAACCCCGGTAGTCCACCCTGTAGCTAGTCACTATACTGACTGAGCTATCCTGGCTCATCATATCACTACTAGGGTCTGAAATAATACACTCCGTTCCTTCGGAACACTAAAATTAGCTTAAAGAAGAATTACATTTGATTGCACTTTAAATGTAGTTACTTAAGATTGTCCTGTAGAACCATGCCCGCACTTCTAACAGTTTGCATGTGAGGTAAATCGATGAAGACGAACATTTCATTTGCTTGACCTCTAGAATATAAAGTATGTGCAGTAACCCTGAACTGCTCTACGTGGTATAAAGGGTCACGGCTGGCAGCAACAAAAAGTCTGATCTTCAGAATTTCGGAAGACAAAATTAGTTAAGCTCAAAGTCGTTTTCTTAAATGCATACTACGTTGCCAACATTGGCTAGTATTGTTACGATAATAACGTCTAGGACAGAGTTTCCTTGACCTTTCTGGTAAAAATATATTTAAAGGGACCAATTAGGAGTGTGCTGCCAAATTGTAAACAAGGGGATCGCACCATCAAATTTTATGTTTCATTTTATTTGGAAATAGGGAGGGGAAAGATTAATAGACATATGGGTGTCGAAAATTTGACACAGGCGTATAATCTGATATTTTCTGTGCCGATAAGAGAGCTCGGATAATTAGCTAAAAATCAAAAAGAGGCTCGTGGGCGCCCCTCAGTTATCACTACGAAAGGATGAGCAAAGCTTCACGATTCGTGCCCATGTTTTTATATTTGCAACAAAGTCACAGACGACCCTTGTACGTTCACTTTTACAACTGTACCCCTGACAACAATGCACTCGGAAAGTGAAACTTACTTTGTATTGTCGTGTTACAGCCTGTCGGGAGTACGCTAACGAACTTCCATTACGCGTGGAGCCGTTCATTAGGAATGGCAGAAACGCGGACCTGGGGGATTACCCGCACATGGTGAGTGTTAAGGCAACCGGACAAGATTCTTGTCAAGGACGTTGGACAAATACCAACTGAAATGTGGTTACTGTAGGATAGAAAAACAAGAAAGCAAGTGTTAACATCCGAAGACTGGTCAACGTGAGAGCTTGAAATGTCATGCACTCTCTCCTCCCCTCTAACCTGCACTACACATCGTCTCTTCCAATCGCGCCTGCGCAAAAGGACGGTGAGCGAAAGCCTCAACTCGCTGGCCAACAATGGCCCCTGGCTGGAGTTGGCGAACGATGATGCGTTTTATCTGATCGGTTTTCGAGATAATTATCAAAGGGGATATTTAGGCCTATGCTTACATCTTCGATAACCCTTGCACTTGCTCGTTCACTTTGCCTGATACGAATTCAAAATCTCCAGGCATTAACACAGCGACACGCCAGGATTTTTTACGCTATGTACATACTTTCCAAGTTGTTTATACCAGACTGGAAACCATAAGATGATAGACTAAAACATATTTTCGCCCACAGACCACGTCACAAAGACTCCATAGTTCATTAAAAAAACTACAGAAATTTAATCTCTTACGAGTATTAAAAATAAACAATGAACTCGCCACAAAAACCACACGGTCTCCTTGTACAAACAAAGGAAAATGTATGCCAGAGGTATAGAAACTAATAGAAGGGAGAAGTAGATTATCAACGGTTCTATGACTACAACACAGTGTTTAGAGTAATAATGGCTCTGCAATCTGATTCGGGGAATTCCCTAAACTTTAGACATGTGGCTAGAGGCGAAAAAGAAACTGGTTTGGTGTCCGTGAATATTAATCAAGCACTTATGATAGTGACTCATACACAGAAGCAAATAATTTTATCATTTTGAATTTAATACTTCTAGTTCTTATTGAATATCTCTTTATATATGAGAATACTGCCTGCTATTACACTCAGCAATCAAATCAGTAAAGTTAAAAAGGCTGTCTTCTGGGTTGTAGTGTCATGTAGTCTGGTAGAAGTATGCTGATGTTTCAAAGGTCCTTGCAAGGACCTCTGAAACATCAGCATACTTCCACCAGACTACACAGCACTCATACTCACTGCCACGAGAACTTAAAATCCTATCGGTAAAGCTGTTAATCCGTTATGATGAATTGTTGCCAATATCAATATTTCACTTTTTATAAAAAATATTGCCACTGCAATCACATTACATGGATTTTAATAGAAATGCTTTATGAAGTCTTGCCCTTAAACCCGGCCCATTCACAGCTGGTCAAACCCATCTGAAGCACTCATTTCCTTCCCTTCAGCTCGCGCACTGCGTCGAAAAAATACAACTGTAACAATGTTTGTTATAGGCTGCCCTGGGGTACATGGATCCATCAGAGCCATCTCAGATTGCTTGGAATTGTGGTGGGACCCTCATCAGTGATCGTTACGTGCTAACTGCTGCACACTGTGTTGTGCCCACAACAAGAACGTGAGTGTCCAATTCTAACTGGCTAAGGCAGCAATGTAGTCTGCTTGTAATATTATTTAAAAAAATGAATTATGCGTAAATATTTGGATATGAGAAAAGAAACTCCATGTAAAGTTGTATCTAGTGGATGTAGAAGGTAGTGGGGTAAAGATTCATCTGTAAAATTACAACATCGCCGTTGTCTATATGGTCTAAAATGTACACAGTCATGTACGCCCACTGTGACAAAGTTGTATGGCTGTAATTTTTGGCACTGTTCTGTGCCGGCAGAATTTAAACCTGTACAACATTAAATAAACAACAGAAGAATAGAATTAATTACTTTATCGTTTATTTAATGATGCTGTTAGTAGCAAACACTGTATACCATCAAGGGATTGATGAGAAACAATAAACTTACATTATGAAAATATGGAGAAAAAAATACAGTACGAGCACAGTGTAAACCATTTCATAAATGAAACAAGCTATTAAAATAAAAGCCTTTGGGTTTTTCCCATAGGAACACTGGCATTTTCAGTTAAACATCAGTGCCATTTAAATTAGGACACAGTGATTTTCTATTATTAATCCTAATACATCTGCATGATACAGAAAGCCACCAGTGCAAGTCATGTTGGGGGCTGTGAACCTCAATGAACCAGGCTTCATGGCAGAGAAGTACCACGTGAAGAGGTGGGTCCAGCATCCAGATTACACCTCAGCGACAGTATACAACGACATAGCACTTATTGAGTTGGACAGGAAAGTCCAGTTCTCTGACGACATCCAGCCGGCCTGCTTGTACACGGCATCTGATATTCCACAATACAAGCTTGAGATTAGTGGCTGGGGATCTACATCTAGTTCTGGTATGTTCATGTGCTAAAAATATAATCCCAAATTATTCTGTTGAGCCTTAAGTTGCTAACTTATTACAAATCCAAAATCCATTTGCCTTCAACTCCTATCTCCCATAGATCCTGCCTGACATTATCCTCCCATCTATGTCTAGGTCTCGCCAGCGGTCTCTTCCCCTCAGGCTTCCCAACCAATACCCGGTGCACACCTCTTGTCCCATCCATGCGCGCTACATGCCCGCCCACCTCTTTCTTCTCGACTTAATCACCCTGACAGTGTTGGGGGAGGAGTACAAATTTTTAAGCTCATCATTATGCAGTTTTCTCCATACCCCATCATCTTCTCACCTAGGCCCAAATATCCTCCTCAACACCCTGTCTTCAAACACCTGCAATCTATGTTCCTCCATCAAAGTGAGAGACCATGTTTCACACCCATACAAAACAACGAGCAAATTTATTGTTTTGTATATTTTAATCTGGTTCTTAGAAATCAGATGGGAAGACAAAAATATTTTAAACTGAAAAGTACCAAGCATATCCAGAATTTAGTCTCCTTGATAAAAAATGACCAACTGCTGAAACTTGAAAAATGAAGCTGGCATATACATTAAATAACTTAACTGGAAAATATAGGTTGTTATTTGTAAGCAAGTATGCAAAAGTTCTTCTAGGTTTCTGAAGACACGTGAAACAGCCAAGTAAAGAAAGGTACACTTAAAAGCACAGAATCTGTCATAGAAAGAATCATGTTCATAAATAAAAGCTAGATAAACTTCTAAAAATTAAGATCATATTACAAATCTACATTTTTAATCTTATAACAAAGTAAAACCTCTTTTAAATCTTTGCGTTCTGTCTTGTTTTAAACAGATGTATTTTTTTGTATTGCAGGTTCAAGGAAAAGCAATATTCTACAGCATTCAACCCTGAGTCTTGTTCCAAATGATAAATGCAATGAAAGTTATACGTTACAAAAGAAAGTTAACAAAGGTATTCAGGACATTATGATTTGTGCTGGTGACCCTCAAGGCATGAATGATACATGCAATGTGAGTTGACTTTAAAACAGAAACTTCATTCTGATATCATAACTTATTTTCTACTTATTACTTTGAGTATTCATAATACTGCATGTGAAAATAAAAGGCTGTCTCCTGGAATGTTGTTCCATGTCTTCTGGTAGATACTGAGTGACATTTCAGAGAAGCTTACTGCCTCTGAAACACCACTCAACATCCCAGAAGACAGCCGTCTTCATAATCATCACCAAGAGAACTTCAAATAAAAACTACTAGAAAAATATTTTGACTTCACTGAACTCAGTGGGTAATGGAGGACATTACTCGGTGAAGAATGTTTATAAGATTTATACCACAAACCTTCATTGGGATGGATGTATAGATTGTACAGAGGAAAGAGGAAATACATACAAAATTTTGGTGAAGAAATACATTTGAAGGTGGCCACTCAAAGATCAAGAAAATGATTACTGAAATAGTTTAAGATCACATCCAATGACATAATTTAATATTAGCAGTGGTCAATCTTGCAAATATGAGTAATTATGTATAGATTAGGGTAGCCAAAATATTAATTTTCTTCTTCCTGATCTGCAGGGTGACTCTGGTGGACCACTGCAAGTAAAAACTACAGAAAGCAACGCATATTTCATCGTGGGCATAACGAGCTACGGGCCATCTGTGTGCGGTGGTTCTACACCTGGCATCTACACTCGTGTCAACAAATACTTGGACTGGATAGAGAGCATCATTTGGAAGTAGGACATCTGTCATCCATTGTGTACCAGCTGTGATCATTAAATCCAAGACAAAAATTTGCACTGATCACTTTCTTCATATTTATTTCATTGAAATCATACATAAGAATGATAACCTGAACACACAGTGTGATTAAGAACTGGCTTGTTTGTGCCAATCAAACAAATTATTCTTTTTTTTTTACATTAAAAAAGGGAGGTATATTCACTTGGATCACAAACAAAGCAAAACTGAATGTTTATGAAAACTCCAACAGTATAAAAAAAATATTCAATGGCTTAAGTGTTCATTTCAAAGATGAATGCTGGGCACGAACCCTGAGACTGAAACGGACTACTGTAAATGGACTAACTGTGATGGCATATGCTGATGTTTATAACTGCAATAATACATTATATCTGCAAGTTATGTAGGCTACATGTTCAGCACTATGCTCAAAAAGTGAAAAATGCAACAAGAAATGGAGTCTCACTGTTTCAAACAGCAAATTAAAAATGTCATAAAATAATTAGTATTGCACCATAACATTCAGTGATCAAAAGAAAACCATTTCTATTTCTTGTGTCACAATAAATTTTCTTCGTATCAAAATATTTCACACCAAACAAGGGACATACGAGGTAATTTCTGAAGCTTTTGAACCTATAATGCTGCCCGTACAAATCACTGTTCAAATTTAATGACAAAAATTGTTAGGTGTTCATAGAACAAAAATGAAATGGTATTTTATAGGACCTGTTTGTTCTCTGGTGGTTACGTATAATGAAAATCTTGCATTCAGCAATGATGTTTTTCATACGCATAAATTTTAATTTGTACCGTATTGTTATATGTATTACTAGTAGTTCATTTCATGACAACAGATCTGCATACAATTTCCAACAAAAGTTGGAAGAAACTTAATTGCTCAAGAACTGACTGTTCAAAGAGTTCAACATGACTATGATACATTTACTGCTAACCACCTGGCAATAAGTAAACAAACTAATAAGAAACAAATGTATTAGTATGTATTTAAATCCCCAGAATCTTGCAATATGATTTTTAAAACAATGTGCAGAAATTCAATTATACATGTTGAAGAGAAAACAAAATATTTCAATGCTGCATGTTTTTGTTTGCAGGAAATGTATTAATATGAAGATTCACTACAAGAAGTTTAGGAACAATGTCAAAGACAACAAAACTTAAGAATTATTTTTCTGAAGTGTCATTTGTGATTCTGCTTCTAAACACTCGTTGTAATCTGCTTGTGAGCTCTGATGTATTTATTTTATAACTGTATATATTTATTGAACTAATTTATTTTGTAATAAAATATTATTTTAGAAACAAAAAAATTAAAGAATTTTTTACTGACAAGTTCATAGTAAGTTCAAGTTGAGAATTCATGGGAGGCCCCCATTATTATACAGTATCCAATTACATCACAACCCTGTTTTTTTCCCTTTTTTCAGAACAACAGCCTTACATACCACAGAAACACTAAATGCCTCTCACCAAAGTTTACTGTTGAGAGATCGAGAGGGTTGAGAACATAGTTCTGAACAGAGTATTTTATCCTACAAAAGAGGAAGTAACAAGCAACTGGAGAAAAACATAACATACATCATATTATGTATGACTAAGTGACCTACACCCCTGCAATATTCCAAAAACTCATTTTTAACAATTAAGAAAATTATGAAATAAATTGGAACTGGAATGTTACTTGGCTGGTGGAATGGTTCCCTTTATGGTAGTGCGATGCAACACACGCAAACCAAATTCATCTCTGGGGAGCTGAGTTTTGGGCATGGCTTCATGGCCAACAGCCAGGTCGTCAGAGATGATAAAATCCCCTTCTTCCCACTGCAACACATTCTTATATTGAAGCAAAGTATAAACTTAACTCCAAACAAAGAAACATATAATTTCAAAATGCATTTACTAGGACTTTAACAGCATAAAACAAAAAAATACAATTTGTAAGTACTGTTATTAAATCAAAATGTTGAATTCTGTCGGTTTTATTCACACCACATATCCAAATTTGGGGTTACGAGTATAGTAGAAATAATGTAAATTGTTTAATGTGACTGAGTTGTTTATAAAGTGAGTGGATATATTTCTGTTGTTTCAAAAACATTTCAGGACAAAATGCTGTTTGGGTGCCTATTGAAAGCATTTTATAAATACTGAATGAAATATGCAAATAAAAAAATTTGCAGCTAAAGAGAAATAAGAACTAAATATTAATTTCAGAATCTGAAATTAAAACCATTAGTAAAATAAGTAATCCTCCTTGTCTTCGGGGTTGTAGCACCATGCAGACGCCCTGATGATGGAGGCAGTATGAAACTTTGAAACGTTGGTAAACTACCAGACTACACGGTGCTACAACCCAGAAGGCTGACATCTTTTTCAATGAAGAAATGTATTCGAATAAAAATTTCCTTGGATATTATCCATCGTCTAGTAAATATAAAACGTAAAACGACGTTTAGGAGATGGGATTAGCTCTATCTAGTGGGCCCAACTGTGTAGGAACCTGAAGACGGAGATAGAGTCCCATCTCCGAAACGTCGTTTTACGTTTTATATTTACTAGACGATGGATAATATGCAAGGAAATTTTTATTCGAATGACTCTTCACCATCGTCAAGAAGTTTTAGATTTGAAGAAATGTATGTTTTTATCAAACGTTGTGTTGAAAAAGCTAAAATAATTCCGCTCAATCATAGCAGGCTACAGTTCTGATTCTCAGCGGTGCACATTGAGTTAAAATGTCTGTATTTCACTTGAACGGTAACATAAAAACCAGTGTGCTGCTGAGTAAGCCAATGGCAAGGATGTAGAAAGCGGTCTGTAAATGAGTTAGGCTTAGAGGGGCAGGCTCTGCTGCCTGGAAACTAGATACAGGGGTAATTTCCCCTTCCAGCGCTGCTCGATGCAAAGAATCACTGATCCACTTGATCTGAAACCCTGATTCAACAAGTCGACTGATAATAACGTTGAATCTAGGCAAGAAAGGCGAATGCCTTGGAACACTATAAACACTGTAAATGGAGAGTATGTTTTCCTTCACTCTGTGAAGCAGAGGGCGCCCGTCTTTGACATATCGACTGCTTCTCAGATAATAACTGAAAGATAATTCATTGAATATAGCACCCATATCTCTTTTCCAAGCCACCCTATCGGCAATCAAGCCATAATTTCGGTCGTATTTAAATTTTCTCCACAAATTTGTCATAATTTCATCATTTATGTCCAAAGTCATATACGAGTTTACTAAAGGTGATACAAATATTCCAAGTCCAGATTCATCAAGTTGCTGAAGAGAGTCGATTTCTGGGAGATATTTGGGTACTGCTAGATAACTGGTGAATGAGCCTTGGAAAGCGTTTGTTATAATAATTCCTACCAGTACCCATGTTATGATGAACACTCGCTCTAGGACCGAAGTCGGCACTGTGTTTAAAGTTCCTGAAATAAAAGATCGAAATATATCGAAGAAGGCGTCATTCATTGTAATGTTGTTGGTCTTTTCCTTTACAGAGATGCGTCCGTATTTGCGGATACAGTACCAACATTGCGGTGTCAAAAACATGGCACAAGCCAAAACTGTCCAGACACTGCAAGAGAATGAAAGGAACATGTTTCTAAACGGAGGAACTCGTTTTGATTTTGGTACTATGAAACAAAGGTTGTTGGTATCATGTGGATATGTGTACTCCAGTTCAAATCCTTCAGTTTTGATATATTGTGAATTAGACGCAATGTCAGCTCTACCATAAGCAACATCACCAATTGTTCCTGTGATGGTCCCGTTCTGAAATTTTTGTCCGAACATCGCACGGTCCTTTTGAGGTAACAATACAAGTACTGCATTCATGTACTGTGCTAAAGATGTCACTGTATGACCATCATAACCTTCAAAGCTCTCGACTTGTCCATCAGGTCCTAGTATTGGGTGAACACTAAGGGTAGCAGGGAACATCGAAACCCTCAGAGGATAACCATGCAAATCTGATAAGCTAGGGAAAAAGATGTCCAAATTGCTAGACCTGGGCCATATGTTTGAAATGTCTTTGTTATAAGTAATGCCTCTGAATGGATTGTAAGTTAAAACTACTTGGTTCAATGTTAATGCGGAACAGTTTTTACTGTCTTCATTACACTGATCACTACTAGAGAACCGACAGATAAGAACTACTTGTAAAATATTTTCTTCCCATAACCTCTTAAAAGTTTCTTCAATGACGTTTCTTCTGACACTTCGAAGAGGATGTGAAACTATTAACATAAATCTTCCTCTTGCGTTCCATAAAGGAAATGATTTGATTTTATTAAGTGCGGCCTCAGTTTCATCCATTTTGTCCACAAACAGTATAAACGTGTCACTCGACTGGTGCAAAGTTTCGGAGAATCTTCCATTTTCCGCTTCAAATTCGTCATTTGTCATGAATATTACAGGATAAGACATGTTTCTGCTGTGGATGTGACAAAGAACTGAATCCGGCAACGATTTTCCTTGTACGACGACCGTCAGCAGGCGATGATTATGGTCAAAGCAACGATCAAACAACTGGGTAAGGTTACGAAATTTGTCATCGTTTGGGACCAATAATTTCTGTGCCAAGTCTGTATCTATTTGCTCTGAACAACACAGATGAACATCTAGCACAGCTAAAATTATAACCAGCCATACAATATTTAACAGAAAACATCTGAACTTCAGAAACGGAAACATTTGGTTTGTACGGATGAGAAATGCACCATTATTCGTATTACTCCACTCAGAAAATAGTATATTCTTCATGTCTAAGTAACTCTTATCTAGACACTTGATACAGAAACAGAACTTTTGTCTTCTGTAAGTGAAAATACCAGTGCCAGAGTCTTCTACTCCACGTGTTCACGAGACTTCCAATACCAAAACCACATTACAGCGTGCTTAATAGACAACGCGTATACAAATAAATAACAAAACAACATCGGACGCTGTCACAGATAATACAGTACGTGCAAATTGATGAACACCTAATTCGTGTTTAGTGAATTCATATGTCTGCATCTGTCAAACAAATATAGTCTATTTTATATATTTTTATATTGCGGGTGACTTAATGGAAAGTGTTTGATTAATGGGCCTGTCACATTTGTGCTGAAATATTGGACATGTACATTCAAGGAAAACAAATTTGTTCAATTTCATCACAACCATTCTGATGTTCATGAAATATTTTAGATCTTTCCGGCTTGCACAATGAATTGAGAGAGCTTAATATCTGGCACCAATAAACATTGCTCATAACAATGATCAATGGAAAAAGATTTATAAAACTAATGTTTTCACATGCAAAGATGCGTGACCATTTTATGTAACGTTGAAAGCTGGCAATTTCAATTCCAATATTTTGTCGGCGGACAAAACTTCAATACTCATGAGCATAATACAGGCTCGACTGAAACAATATGAACTTCGTGCAAACAGCTTATAATAAAGACAGAACGCGTGAAACTCGATTCTAGGTTGCCGAGGTTCTTGGAAATATTCTCTGTACGTTACAACCATCTAGCGGCAGCTGGTCGAATTACTAAGTCTGCCTCTACGAATCCCATTAATTTTGTGGCCAGTCAATTTCTGGCAGGATCTCTCTCTGTTTGCTTGCTTCGGCTGTGTTCCTGGGTCTACCCCCCTTAAGAAAATCACCACATATCTTCCGTTCCAGAAACTAAGGTAGAACTATATTATTTAATTTTGAAAACGGCGAGATTGTTTCTGCTTAATATATATTTCGCTAATTTCAGAATGTGCAGAATGAAAGCCTGATAGCTTATTACTCTTTCGCATTGTGAGATGTTTGTCAACTGTTGCAAATAAAATTCTCTTGTCGGTTTATCAGCTTTACGCAATGAATAGAACTATTACATTAACTACTTATTGCTCTTAAAACCTGACAACATTCTGTGAACACCGAAATAAGGGTCTCTATTTTCTTGCTGAAGCTTTATGAGATGGGCACTTATCTGTGATAGTGGGTTTCATTATAAACTCTGGCATAACAAGAATGTGTAACAGTGATCCAATTAGAGTACACTGATTAACTTTGTGGAACACAATCCCTCTTTATCCTTCAAAACGTCGCTCAGTCAAAAATACCATGAATTTTATGGTATCTAAAAGTTATTTATTGTGTTCACTTAACGCTATCTTAACACAGATAAACCCGGTCCATAGCCTCAATACTTATTTAAAATTTATCTTAATATTATCGCCTCCCAAATGATATTTCTATTTAAAATTTATCTTAATATTATCGCCCTACCTACCCCAAGGCCTCCCAAATGATATTTATTTCTCTTATTTGTAATTTACGTAATGACACTGTCATCGAATGATAATCAATGAGTAACGAATTGGACAAGATGTGTGAGGCAGTGGTCCTGGTCTGGTAATGAAGGCAACAAGGACCTCTGAAACGTCGGTAAACTTCTACCAGTCTTCATACTCGCCGCCGTCACTTAATAAAGCTCTGGTTTCAGGCTGTATGAGTGGTTTTGTGAGGACAACAGCATTCTGCGAATAAAAAGTTCTGACAAATGACATTGGAAGATGGGAATAATGGTGACTGTGTAATCATTTGGAGAAAAATAACCGCGGTATGATTAAAAATATTACCCTGGCATGCGTCCCGAAAGACTGAGAAAATGCACGCAAAGTGTAAGTCAGTATAGCTGATAACCGGGCTAGAATTCGAACCTGGTAAATCCTGAATATAAGTTTGGATAACTACCGCAATATCAACTTGCTTGTCGATGATGATGATGCAGACATGAGTCAACATGGGAAAGTAGCCAGTGACTGCAAAAACAAAGTTTTAATTTTCGGCATCCTAATATAAATGCCAAGTCTTTTTTGCATTCTTCCTACACATGTATGACAGGGATGCTAAATTAGTGCCGGTTTAGTCAAGTTCGCGCTGATGTATAAATGTACACACTTCCACGAACCACAACGAAAAATGTGATGTCTGTATTGAACAAAGTTCAAAATAAAATTTATGAACACGGACGGATAAAACCGTTTCCCTCTTTAGAAGCTGATAGTCGCTGGACAAGAAATTTCTCACCCCTTGTCGAACCTGAAGATTCATTAACGTGTTCACAAAAGCCCTCCACCGGACCACATCTTGAGCCAATTGAATTCATTCAGCACCCTCACAGCCTATTTCCTTGATATTAATTTTGACATTCTACCATCTGAGTTTAGGTCTCCCAAGTGGTGTCTTCTCTTCATGTTTTCCAACTAAAATGTATGCAATTTCATGTACTGTTTGCGTGTGTGGGTGCCTAGGCGTTCTAGCCCACTAAAAGCCTTAACGTTTCTACAAATGTTTCTGTCACACCCTCCTGAAAATCATAACCACTGGCTCTGCAGTGTTAAAAACAAAGTTACGTCTCAACAAACAGTCGGATATTCGCACGCTACGATCTCCTTGCTGTAACCTGCCAAAATGCAGAGGATGTCCAAAAATAAGCCGTGGCGTCATTGTATATGACGGTTGCTTCCAGCCGACGCCCCGCTGGAAACAAAATTAATTACAGGAGACTGCAGGGTCGTGATTGATTTTATCCCCTCTCTTGAAGCGGCTGAATATTACTTTGATAATTAGGGTGTCTTCTTTCGGGAAAATTAAAACACCAGCTCTGCTGTTCGTCATAGTCTCAAGCGACTGCGTAATGCATAATTTCAGCTTCTGTACCTTTCGTTCCCTTCATCTTCCGACTTCATTTCTATTTTGCTTTCTTTCTTTATTTCTTGAAATCTCTCTCCTTTCTCTCTTGCTTTCTAGAAAGCATTAGAACAGTCCGTTCAGTTTCTGAACTGCACAGCGCGAAGAACTAGCGTAACATTTAAAATATAATTTTTTTTTCTGGAATTTGAAGATACAGATAATATTATTTATATTAATAGATAACAAATCTTGTAACAATAATAATAATAATACATAGAAGATACAGATAATATTATTTATATTAGTAGATAACAAATCTTGTAACAATAACAATAATAATAATACATGTACTGATTCTGTAACGTCAGTAGAGTTATTCGATTCCCAGCAGAGACAGGACCACCACGCCCAGCCCCCTATCGAATCTCTGGCTCCTCATTATGTATTTATCAGTCCTCCTGTTACCTCCTACCTCTTAAGCCGAGACTTTATTCCCCCAAGCACCCTATTCTTAAACATCCTATGTTCTTCCCTTGCGGTGACAGCCCCAAGAGTTACAGTCCCGTATATTTCAGTATTTAAATTTAGTTACCTACGGGACGTGCTTATCTTCGCCCGTGGATTATGAAATACCATTAAATAAGCCAACTACGTGACGTGTCATGTCGTCCTGGTTGAAGTACCTTGCATAACCTAAAACATCGCCTCAGTTTCTCGTGTGAAACAACGCATGTGCAGTCCGAGACAATTGAGATCGTAAGACACAAATAAGTTTGGCCTTCAGACTGAAATCATACGCCTCTGTTCCACAAGCAAGACTACATTGTGCCTCCGTAATTACGTCGTGTTCGAATGGTTAACACGTTCTGGGAGGCCCCAGTTTCAAGTCTCGGCCTGTAGACCGACTGTCCTGACTCTGGTCTTTGTAGTCTTCCTCAGTCGCTCCAGACATGTTGGGATAATACCTTGGTAGGCAAGGATTGCCTGTTTTAGCATCCTTACTGTTTCATCACATACAACGCGAAGCAGTTGCATAAACTAAGAACAAACGATGTTGCGTGCAATAAGTGGCAAATAAATTACTGAAACGTCCGCGGATCAAAGTAGGATACTTGTTTGCATTACAGATTAACCTGGTGAAATATCATAAACACATTCTCTAAGAAATACGATTGATATTAAAACCTGCATTGCTAAATGTTTAGAGCATCGAAACTGCACCTCGCCAAAAGAGAGAACTTATCGACTCTTTAATCTTCGCTGAATTCTTATCGATACTACCAGGAATGTGTTGCTTAGTAACTGCAGGGGAGTAACAATAGCGGAATTGTTTTGTTAAGAATATAGTAAGCCCATTATATAAGACAATTCGCTTCCCACAGCTTTCTAGATGCCGCTACTATTGCAGAAAATGACGGATATTACTCAACAAAATAGTTTAACTATGAACTCTTTGTTACACGAGCGTAAGACACGACGGTGACCGAACGGTCAGTTACGCCGATACATAATCACTTATACGCCCATACACTGTATTCCCCCAAAATAATTTAGCACCAATAAATGTCATAAGTAAGAAAATGTTCTTTAAATAAAAGAAGAAAATACCTTTCCATGTAAATATAATATACTAAATATTGTTGGATGACAAAATAAAGGGGGATGAAATAGATTGGACATGTAGCACGCATGATGGCGATAGAACGTAGAAAGGAAGCGATCACTTTATAGGACTATGTGGGAAAAAAGTTCCATAAAGTTCAGGGAATTTCTTGACAAACTAAGTGACTATTAGTTTCTCAAGGACTCTGTTCCACGGAGTTAATTATCAATAGAGTATCAATGACTTGGTGAAACTAAAGATTCGATTTCCAGCTGCGTTTCAATAGACCTCGGTAGGACAATGAATCATGCGACCAGGTGACGTGATGACGTTAATGCATGGAAAGGTCTGTTCCAGGTGCAGGAATCTGAGCGGCCGGTGGACCCAGGAAGTCGTCAGCGATGGAAGAGACCGCGACAACGAACTCGACCCGCACGAAGAATTGGCGGGAATCTCCAGAGGAGCTGAGGACAGTGTCTGTGCTGCAGGCGATGCTGGCACAGCAGAGGGACGAAATGGCGACGGCCCGAACGGCGCTCGACAGCGAACGGGCAGCCATGAGGGCACTCAGGAGGGACACGGCGGCCGAGATAAACGCAGCACGTAAGGAGGAGGTTGACAAGTACACGAACATGCTGAGTGACCTCAAGTCCAGGTACGGGATCTCGGTTACTGTGAGAACTATAATTCGGAATAAACACATTCTTCTTTGTTTCTGTATTGGCGTATATAATGGTGAATATGACTGGGATGTTGTTTAGTGTAGTCTGATAGAAATTGACAGACGAGTCGCCCTGATGATGGAGGCAATAAGCACCTCCAAAACGTCTGTTATTTTCTATCACACTACATAATCAATGGTCTAACCAGTTGTAGGCACGCCCTATATTTGTGTAGGAACCAAACCCGAGGCGGAGGTCTGATTTATGAAAAGAATAGTTTAACTAACATTTATGAAGAACGAGTTGGGTACCATAATTCATTATGAAATGGATAGCACATCGAGTTACGTTCGATAAGTCCGATTTTCGATTCCATGCCATTCCCATGTCTTGGTCCGTAGTCATTCTGCCTTTCAACTTAAACTGTTGTTCGTCTGTGGTTAGTCAGAAAACTAGTTCCTGTGGCTAATGTGTCTGTGTGTCTGATAGACTGAAGCGGGATCACGAGGAAGCACTTCAGCGCCAAAAGGACGCCATCACGAAGACTCTAAACAGCGAAATGCTACGTTCACTGAAAGAAAAAGACGCAGAAATGCGCCAAAAGCTCGCAGAAGCGCAAGATCGAGAAGAGATGCTCAAGTCTCAGGTCAGAGACGCCGTCCGTGCTAGCTGTGCGGCCAGCGATTCCCAGCAAAGCGGCGCCAAGGGAGGAGACATTCAAAAGGTCCAACAGGAGGTCACGGCACAGCGGTTGCAGAACAAACAGCTGGAGCAGAGGCTGCAGGTAAAGTAACTTGGATTTAACTTTGCAGCCCTTTTCTGGGGCAATATATATCGGGTTAGGGGAAGCTTGGCGAATTGAACTCTAAAGTGAAATGTTATTTTCTGTGAATAAGCATTCTGTTGCAATATTCTAAATGTTAATATTTTCTCTTCATTTATTCCTGTGCAATTAACAATGCACAAGTGGTTAAGTAAAGCTGTCGCACTATACGCCATGTAGGCGCTTGGGTGGAGAGGCGATATGTCATATTTGTAACAAAGGCCTAAGCACTGGTATACTATCTGTTCAATTGATTAATTTTATTGTGACTAATATCCTGTCTTTCTTCAGGTGGCGCTACAGGCGGACCGACAAAAATCTTCTGATCTCAGGTCGCAGCATGAGCAACACGAGATGCAAATGATGCAGCTGAGGAAGACCTCGCAACAGGAGATACACAGACTCGTGAGTTCATTCAGTTTTCGGTCCTCGACAAATTAGCATACTAAAAATTCAGTGACCTGATGTAGTGGTAACGCTCCAGACCAGAAATGATGGAAATTTTCAATCGTGGGACGACATTTACCTAATTCAACACTGAGGTTAAGAATGTTATACGTCCACTCCAATACTTATAATGTTTTAAATTAACAACAATTCACTTTACTTTTAATTCATGGAACAAATATTAACATCAGTGTTCTTAGGAATTTGTTGTAATTTGAACCTCTACAACGCGATGTTATTTTTTTTAACTCTGTGCTCTGGATTTGTTTCGTGTTTCTTTTAAGTTCAGTACCCCCCGCACAGAATTCTTCTCCCGCTGGCATGACCAAGCAATTTGAAGCTCCACCACGTTCAGTCGACACGCACACACGTGGACTGCCCCGAAGTCCAGTTAAAATGGCGATGCACTAGCCTCCATTGTGCTCTTGTTAGATCCACTCCGGATTGGAATCCAGCGCAAGCTAAAGATGAACCGAACCATCTTGCTTCCCTTATACACACGGCAACAGCAAACCAAGTTCTGACTTCTGATCAAATCAAAGAAGATAAGATAGGAAAAATTTGAGCCACTCATGGGAAAATGAGAAATGGGTATAAATGTACAGTTTGAGAACCTGGACAAAGAGACGTGAACTAAATAGGTGCAGATGTAACCAAAAAGTTGGACGCAACTGTCACTTTCTGGCTAAAGGCAGGAATTGCTATGGAAAAGTAAGTTGATTTCATTGTTTTTATAGGACGATACTTAGCTCGTGTCGAGAAAATATTGGCGGTGTCATGCCCTTTCAGCTGAGAGCCAGGAACTGACACTTGCATTCAATTTATCAATGAACGCACTGTATAACAGAAATCTAATTACCTTCGTCATAATATGTAGTGCATTTCCCAATGCTGAATAATTCTGCACACAACTAACTTGTTTATGTAAAAAATCAATTTCAACGTAAACGAAAAATGTAAAATCCAAGGAACTGTGCACCGCAATCTGGGTACTCATTTCAACTCTGCGAGAATCAATACGGGAGAGAGTAAAACGTAATTTGCAGGATAAATTCAGAAAGTTGATTTGTCACGGAAATAGTTTAGATGAAATCCTTAAAACTCTCCGCGATTACTATCGATAATTTTGATAAAAACATAATACAGCCACAATCAACATTTTCACTTCATCAGTTCACAAGTTATTTAACGACGGTATATCAACTACAAGTTTATTTAGGTAGAATCTCAAAATATGATGATACCTTGAACTTGAAACTCTCAGGAAATTAAATTACTATGGTCTACTGCACTTTAATATCCTAACACTTGCCTTGAGAGACAGAGTAAAAACACGAAAAGCCTGTCTGGATAACGTACAATGAACAGGGCGCCAGGTCAAACTTATTTCACCTCGCGCTGACATGGCCGACGCAGTCTGAGAACTTTAGTACTACAGTGCGTGGCATTGTAACATCTGATGATCGGTCACGAAGGATAATTCACCGTGGCGTTGAAGTGACGCATACCTAACATACCATACAACTTTAAATTGAATTCTATATACATGCTTATCGAGTTATATGACGTCAATAACATGAACAAAGCTCTTTTGTACTCTGATTTTTGTATAGGAATGTGGTGAAGAACCAGGACAATTTTGTCCTTAACGATACTTCTGTCACCAGATATCTTCAGACAAAATAAATAGCTTTGAAAGGCACTCGATATAATGCGGTTACTCAGTAAGGAATGCGCTCATGGTCTCTTAGTCTTTTTAAAATTCTGTGATCATAACAGGTGTTTCTCAACCACTGGCACATGTCCTAACTCACCGTCTGCCTTATAATGACACCCCAACTTTCAATACTGCTTTAAAAGGCCTGCCAATCAAACCGACTCTAAGAGAACAACAGCAGAATGTGTAAAACGAGGGAAGACTTGTCACTGGCACTTCATTAAACACAATATCACACAGATGTATGTAAAATGGAGGTATGATTCCATCTTCTGAACTCGGCACTAGATGATCGTGACTGGTCAACTTCACACCCCGTTGGCTTTAACCCCGGGGAAACAACCCCCGATACCCACTGAACAAGAGGCTGGCTGAGCCGCAGAAGTGGTGTAGAGGAGAAGACAAAACTCCTCCTGCCGGGAAATGAACCCAGGTCATCCAGCCCATAATCTATTCACTGTGGTGACAGCTGTCCGGTTTAAGACGCATGGCAGCGAAGTGTCGAGGAGAATATTTTGACATAAAAGACAGAAAGTAACAGGACAACAGAGAGAAAAGAATTAAAAAGTTACATATTTGTACTTTCACTTCGTGTTATTAAGATAATAAAATCAGAGAAGATGAGAACGCGGTGTGCAAGAAGAAGGCCGTCTTCTGAAATGTTGCGCCGTGTTGTCTCTGGTGGACGGTCGCCCTGATGATGGAGGAAGCAAGAAATTCTGAAAAGTCGTTAAACTTCGACCAGACTACACGGTGCATTATACCAGAAGTCATCTTCATATTCGCCGTCGCGAGAATCTAAATTCTCGCCTCAACGGGGTATGTAGCACGCATGTACATGATAAATACACAATTTTGACTGGAAGATGTGAAGGGACTACACTACTAGGACATCTTGGGGTTGGTGGGAGGATAATATTAAAACGTATCCTAAAGACAGATTGAGATGATGTCGACTTGATTTAACTATGACGTAGAGACGGGGCCGTGTGAACACAGTAATGAACTTCCGGTTTAAAAATAAGTGTGTTAACTTCTCAAGAAAAATTCTCCTACATTGAGTCTGTCAGTTCATTTGTCAGTCACTTAATTAGTCGTTTGGAAGTCAGAAGAATTTTCTATCACCCGACACGTTCGATCTCCGTTTTGGATCAGAGAAAGTGAGTAGAAGTCTCTGTAACCTAAAACATCTCCGGGTAACGACCTCACCTACTCCTGCACGCTAAAGAGTTAGGTTGTTACAGGTCCGTTGTCTTTACATATCATCACAGGCTGATGAACTTACGAATTTTATAATAATATTCCGAGTTTTTAGGGGATACAACATGTTTTGTGCCGAGCATTAGGTTTACAGTCCGTCTACACAACAATTTTCTTAATACAGTTTCAATATTTATAAAAATCCACCACATGCTTCAATCCTAACTGGTCATCTTCAGGTGGTTCTCTTTAAGAGTTCGAAACAAACAGATATGGCTGCTAATTTGTATACATATTATGTTACTGACTTCACCACGTAATGGACTGTGCCTTAAGCATCTTAACTACTTTAGCAGAGTCGAAATATGTAGTAGATTCTTAAGAAACATTAAAACTATAATAAAAATCGTTGTGTAGAGATGTCAACCGAAGGCAATATATCATTCGTAATCATTTAGAAGTACAAGTCAAACATAATTCGTACTGAAATAAACCCATTTTACCGAGTACCACACACTGAGCATATTCAGAACACATTTTCTGCGTTTGGAATGCGTCAGAGTCACTGTTTAAGAATATCCAGTGACCCTAAATTAAGGCAGACCAAAAATCTGAGTTAAGGCGGCGACGTCCGTCCGTGGCTTTGAAGCATGCAATTTGGTGACGGCTACTGCGAGAGAAATCAGGTGCTTGTAACTCTGAAAATCGAATAAGCAGGTTAGATCATGTCCGGTTCAAGTTTCGGCCAGGTATCCGATATCCTGACTGAGGTATGTGTAGCTTTCTGTCCCTCAAGGCGAATGCTACAGGCCATAACCGCTTCCTATATAATCCTTTCCATTTCATCGCCCGTATCATTTCGCCGTACTTTAATCATGTGGTAAGTAATCTATAAAGTTGATCCAACGTCGCTAAGTGATCTGCTGACGTACCAAAAATGTCATTTTTGCTATTATAAGAAACTATGTCTTATTAATTAACCTTGTCGCAAGAAAGCCTCTGCTCCATGCAGTTTATTGATGTCTCGTTTACTACACTCAGATTATCCAACGCTAACTTTTCGTTAATTCCTGCTTTGAAGTACACAGTTCGTAGCTTGCCTGCCTAACATCTACAGCGTGGATCCCTGGTCATTCATTAAAAACTCTAAAACGTTGATGATAAAACCAAACGACTACCCGAAACACAAAATATTTTCACAAAAAAGCATGGGCAGTAAAGTCTGGCAAATTTTGATGGGCCAGCTCTTAACCACGTGACAGCCAAACTCACACCCACCGCTTTGATAAAAGGTTTAATATACTAGAAATACTTTCAGTGACTTCTGGGACATACTGTACACATATATGAATACAAAAGTGTAGTACTTAACGTTGCCAATGGCATTATTGTATCGTGACTAGCATAATAGTCTTCAATTTGACATGAGACTTGGTAATTCACGCAGCGCGCGCACAGGGGTTCCTAACTGTCTGCATTTCAGAACAGCGGATAGAATATAACAAATATTACATGTCTAAACATAGGCGTAGTATTCTTTCGATGCTTTTCTCCTCGGTTATAACACCGCGTGGACTTACAGATACATACGAACTGATTCCATCTTCTGGGATAAAGTACCACAGCCCTAAAGATGGACAACCTCTCACCGTAAAAGAACTAATGCACTTAACCTCACTTTATCAACTGACGAAGGGAAAAGTGAACGTCTTAATTGTACGTTCGGTGGTTCTGACGTTCTACGTCAAATGTCCAAAATAGAAAATAACATAACTATCATTTTTAACAGTGAGTCAAATAAAAAAGTATATGGTTTAATATATAATATACGCATCGTTTCCAGGGTACGCAAATAGTGAGTAAATCGGGGCTTATCGGTATTCATATTTAAGCCGTAACAGGAATTCGAATATAATCCTAAGTGTTGAGATACATACGTAATTGAGTTTAACTATTGTAATGTAAACACTGTCATTTTATGTAAGGGACTCCACTACACTTAATTTTAGTGTGTGGGGTTAATCAGTAATTCACGAATAAGCCGCGAGCAAAGAATGGAGTGCGCTGGAAATTACACGTTGCGTGTCACGCACTGCGTTGTTTCTCAGGGACCTAGGGGAATGTGGGTGAATTTTTTAGAAGTCTCGGCGAACGGTAAATAGACATTACGTTTGCGAATACCAACACGAGACAGCCTAAATGAAATATTTTGTGTATTTCTTGAGTAATTTCAGGCAAATACCGGCCACAACAATTATTTCAGTAAACTAAGAGTACATACCGTCTTAAACCAACACTAGTAACCAAAGAGTATAACAAGAGGTCTGTTATTTGAAATCGTAGTTCACGGGTGAACAGAAATATTCCTGTCTTTAAACAGGCTCTTGTGAATGCCCTGGGGATATTTCCCACACAGTACGCCTCCTTCTGTTACAGTTTTCCCAGAGAATGCCCCAGTAATTATTCAGTCAGGTAGAAGCCATTGTATGGCGCGCACCTCCTACATTCCACCTGTAACCTCAGGCTGGTTCATAGATGCATAAAAGCAGCGCTGTCTGTACTATTCTGCCATCATAGATTTCCAAGAACGTACTTCTAATTACCTAACCCCATGCAGTAGTCTTTCCAGAGAAGGTGATATGCATTCAGTTGATCAATTAATTATCAGTAATTTAAGGAACTAGAATGTTCGATACGGTGTTCAGAAGATTCCACCACTGAAATCTATCTTCAGCCAGCTGAATCTAGTCCACTCCCTCATAACCTATTTAATTTTTAATTTTAATATTATCATTTCATCCACTTCTAGGCATGTTAAGTAGTCTCTTTCTTTCAGGATTCTAAAATCGTTCATGCCCTTTTCTCGTTGTTCACGTAGTATCGAACAAACCGTCACATCCAAAGAAGTCAACGTTTCATTTACGGTGAGTGTTTGTTAGTTCTCAGCCAAATAAAGTATCCATTACTAGGATCAGATATCGAATTCCGTTCGATGAATGATACCCCTTCAGAGCCTAGTGATAACTATATGTGCTGTCTGCTTTAAAAATCAGTAATTCTGCATTTTTATCTAAGATTCTCGGCGTAAACAGGGACTATTTCCTTAAACAACGCAAAACAAATGATCTTTGTAATGGTGAAACGCTGTATTCTTTGGATTGGGCTGAATCATTAAATATTATTTACGCGAGTTTCGGCTTCTAAGATTCATCATGTTATTAAGATTTGTAAAACTATGGCCCGCATTTAAATCTGGACAGCTCATACTGTCTAATCCGTAAAAACTGAAGAAGTAGAAGAAATATGAATTATCAATTTGTATGTTAACGTGTTCTTGTGCAGTTGGAGGAGCTGAAATCCAAACAGCGGACGATTTTGCAGCTGGAACGGCAGGTGAACCTACTGACAGGACGTATGCAAAAGCACCAGGAGCAGCTGGTGGAATGCCAACACGACCCTCGCCCCCGTGAGGTACGAACCCCTGTTAACCTAGTTATAAAATCCCGTAACTGCTCAATCCAAATTAGAGTGGAGAGGTGTATTCCAATACATATAGACCTAATTTCCAAATTGTTCTTTCATGAAAATGTCTTCTGGAATGTTCCGCCGTGTACTCTGGTAAAAACTGACCGACGTTTCAGAGGTGTTCACTGCCTGCATCAGCAAGGCAATGAGCGATCCTTCCCATAAAGGTTTACTTTTCAGGTTCTCACGGTGACAAATACGAAGATGGCTTGTCTTGTGGAATGTTCCGCTGATAGTCTCGTACAGATGATCGCCCTGATGATGGAGGTCAATCTACCGGACTACACCTTGGAACATCACAGAAAACAGTCATTTACAAACTTTTCACCATAAATACCTGAAATCGCACGTTATTATTTAATATTTGATATAGACCTACTTAGTCGGCCTTGTGTTTAGGATTACTTATTGCAGATTAGCAAAAGTTCCCGTTCTTCTTAGCCCGGATTTTTCTTAACATGAACTTGAGGAGAAATTACGTACGGTATGTGTTTGTTGGTTAGCTAGTCAGTTCGTCAGTAAGTTAGTAGCATTCTAACGGTATTGTTCGAATGCAGGTTTGTTCTCGTTTTATCGCTGCTTACTGGTCGTAATGTCTTATCACCGCGCCGCAATGCTGGGACTCCCAACAGTTTGCTTGTAGCGTACTAACGGTATTACATCTCCATGCACGATGATGTAATAATACATCTCCTGCTCCCGCTATCCAAACAGCAAGACGATCCTCTCATCCGAATCGTTAAATTAACAAAGGCCACAAGCTCGTGTATCGGTCAGGTACGGTACAACTGATTCCTTGCGTCATTCAGCGACGCTCCTTCAACTTGCGTCTCTTGTCTTGAAGTTGCGGAAGGAAGAGACGGCTTCTAGATATGATGTGTATCTACAAATATGTTACACAGGTGATCCTACAGCATGCAGGTTGATTCTTCACTGCTCTTTCACGCTAGTTTTCAACTCTGCATAGGCAGCTTCGAATTATGGATGATTATGTAAATATTGAAATGAAGATGCGGAAGAATACAGTCGTGGACTATTTTCAAGGTACCATCCCAGCGTTTGCCTGAAAGGAATCAGGAAAATATAAAGAAAGAATGAATGAAGATGATTGTCTTATGGGATGTGCTCCCTGTACTCTGGTAGAAGTTTACTGTCTTTTCAGAGGTTCCTGTTGCCTCCATTATAGTAACAGTTGTGTAGTGAGCTTGCAGCCTGTAATTTTCTTCATTGTTCACCTTTATTCGTCGCACTTTGGCACAAAAGACAAACGGATCAAACATATAATTCAACAATAATGGAGTTGGCATTCCAAATGGGAACAATGAATTGATTCTGATAAATATTTTCAGCAGCATAATGGCAGAAAGTTGGTTTGTATGGGTTTTAGAAATTAATTAAATCGCAACGCGGTGTAAAGTGTACCGAATTCAAACTAGTATAAATTAATGTTATTCCTCCATGCGCAACAGGTAGGAGCTTGGGAGGGAGGGAAGTAGGTGAAATTTTCTCTTTTTTCATTGTTCTGTTTCGTCCTATTGTTGCTTCCTATTCATTTTCACATTTCTATGACTTTTATTTTTATTCCTTCGTCTTACTGTTATTGTTTTGATGCTGAGTTTGAATGGAAACAAAGTCTTGCGCACGCGCAGTTCAATGAGGAGTTGTGAACAAGTGACTGGAGTGGGGTTAGTCAGCAACTCGTCCGGGTCACGGCTTTCAGTTGTCCACCTGCTGGAGTGGAGTGTTGGTTGATATCGATTCAGGTGCAAAGTCGAACACCACAAATAATGTAACACTCTTTAACGATTTACGTCAAAATTCGCATTATGTATTACACGTTGTACTTATTGTAGGGCTATATTTATTTTTCTGTTACAATAAATTAACACTGATATGGATATATATTGACGTTGATTAACGTTAAAAAGACATTTGATTACATCAAGTGCGCAGTGTCTTTCTGTCAAATTTCAAAAATTATATTCATGAACAATGTAAGAAGAAACATCGAATTCGACTGTTTTTTTTTCGATTTTGATTACGACACAGATACAATTACTCGCAGAAGATGCAAACTATATAAAAAAAACTCGTCAAAAACTACGTAATTTAGTAATATTATGAAGAAAAGAGATCTTCAGGAAATCAAATGTATTCCCAATATCAAAGTCACAGAACATGTGACATGTGACAAGTTGTAGTGTGTTCGTGTGGACTAGACAGATATCATCTATGTGAACTGGATAAATTTAAGTCTGATATTGTGAAGTGGTTTCGATTCTTTTCAGATCGTAACTTATAGGTTTATTTGCTATTTTTGGGGGGCGGGGTGGGGTCAGAAACCAGTTCTTACAAAACACAACCTCAATGCCGAATACTGCACATGGACAATTGTCGCTACTTCGAGTGACCAGTGACCATTGAAGGTAAGTTCTAACGGGTATGATACGAATTTCGAATAAGTTCAGATTAGGCCGTGAAAATGTAAACTGGTTCATAATAGGCTACAATGGAGATATTTTTTGTGATGAGGGTAAACACATTCCACAGTTAGTAACAACAGCTTGATGATTCTATATCACGACCTTGGCTAATGCATTTCAGTGAGCTGAATGTTTTCTTTAACATGAAACTCACCAATGATTTATAAGAATTAAGAGCGTACCCAAACCATAACTGTTAAAAATACCAAGATGCCGTGTGACGAAATGATTAAAGAAGGAAGGCTTAAGAAACTACGCCTTCCCGGAACACTTACGTGATGAAGTAATAGGGAAATGGAGAAAATTGCATAACGCGAAATTTTGCACCCTTTTACTCTTCGCTTCGTATAGTTGGGGCAATTCACTCAAAATGAGAAGTACGAGATTAAATATAAAAACTATAATTTTATCTGTTGTTTTGAATGGGTGCAGAATAAATAGGTTGACGTGAAATTGAAGTCATCACACATCAAGACAATAATTTTAGCAACTGGCGTTATACAGAAATATCCAGGAGAACAACCGAAAACACTTGGAACTGATAATATGCCACCACAGATCCAAAAAGGTGCAGTGACAAATACCTGTCTCACTGTGAGACACAAGCTTCAGTCCTGACCAGACAACTTCAGTCGATATGAATACTTGTCCATTAGCCACGTATCTCACAATTCAACAATATAATGATGATGATGATGATGATAGTGCCGATGAAGCAGAGATGAGAAATTGAGAAACATTCGTTAATTATACCTTTCAATAACAGTGTTAAGTCCATGTGATTCATTTCAAATTTTAACAACGCAGAACGAGAAATGTTCAGTGCAAAAGAAATTAAAAAATACACACTCTAAGAACTTTTGAATTCGCTTTGTTGGAGCTATCGGAAACGAACGCGCCATGAAATTGAATGATGCAGAACTAATTGGTCGTCTTCAATTCGACAAAGGTCCACTAAAACATAATAATCGAGACGAAAAAATTCACAACCCTTTCAAGCTCTTGCTGTCGGTAGCAGTCAGCCGTTATTACTAACCGGTTCACTGATTTTCTTTAGTAAAGATTTCTAAAGTTTCAAGAGGGTCCACAAATTCCCTTCCCGAATTGAATTGCTTCCTCGAGAATTCTGTTACTAAGCAGACAAAAGGCATGTTATAAACGCTGGACACACAATAAAGAATTTCCATTACTCGTGACAAATTTAATCTCTGATCCGTTTTCAAGTTTTCCCAAATCAATGGCATTGTTGCAGGAATCTTTATATGACTCACCGTATTTGTTAACACACGGTGAGACACTGAGCTGGAACTGGGTGGTTGCTCTCGCGAATGTTACGCGTTACACCATCACTTATTAATTCCTATACATTATAACTTAATAATATATTATAATTTATGTAGTGTGGGTATTATATACAATTATATCACATAATGGAAATTAAATTCTATTATAGAAATATTTAACTTCAACGAAACAATTCAACGGACTGGCATTTCAAAATAGAAAATACAGGCCTGAGAGATGTTGAAATTCAAAAACATAGAATTTTGTAGGAACGAGCAAGGGCATAACGTAATATAAGAACTAAAGTTTTCTTGAAAGTGTTAACACCTCACATTCTGTCTTGTTTCGCCGATAATACTAAAAGATAAAGCTGCCTCTGCCAAGTCATGAACGCGTACAAGGGGTGTTGAAGGGAAATTCTCTTCTATAAAGTTGTGAGCTTCACGTCCCGACAGCCTTGCCCCAGGAGAACAGTCGTTGGTATCCATTCTGTCGGAAGAGGGGTGGGCACCAAGTCTGGCGAACAGAAAAATTCGTGTCCCGGTGAAGCACTAAGTAATGGCCGTCCATCCCTTAACTAGCCACCTCAGTGATTGTTTTATCCTGGCTCTTGACGATATCTAAAAGCGATCTGTTCGTCATTTCAACCTTTAGGTAGCCATATCGGATATGCGTACTTTCATTCGAAACTCAGAACCAATGAGTTTTTCGAGCATTATGGTTGCAACTGCTAGACTCGCGGATGTATGTAATCTAAAAATATAACAGAACTCACAGCAAATTATTTTTTACTAAGAATCGTCTGATTCAAGGAATAAAGAGTATTTTTTCTACCGGATCACTATCAACTGTTCAGTCATATTAGCCGAAATGTGTTATTCTTATGATTCTGTATCTGATTTCCTATTCGGTTGTCTCTCACTAAAGAGAAATTCTACCCATGTTGATTGCACAAAACCCTTCGTCCAATACAGTTTTCTATGTTTTTCTCTGTTCTATGCCTATCGATATTTCGTAAATTCCCAAATGTTTAATTTATAAAGCGATCACTATGCGGTGCCATGGCGACAAATAATAGAAAAAGCTGTTCAGACAGAAATACCTCTTCATAAAATGTTAATATCGAATAAACAATTCCATTATTTCAGTATAGTTTCTTAAAAACCGGGCAAAAACAACGCTACATTGACACAAATCCAAACGTGAGAAAGCAGTTTAAGTTCTTATTCACAGTGAGCAGTATTAATCTTATCTGGAAGCAAAACAATTAAGCTCTATCTTGGATGTAGTCCACTTCCTTTGCTCTGCTTCCGTGTTTGTGAGCAAATTTATGATATAATTAAACCAAACTTGACGTCACTGAAATATGAATTATTATTGAACTTTATATTTCTTATACGGAATGTGCCATTTAAAACGCAACCCTGAATGCTACAGAATTTGCAACCTTTGGTGACATCAATACAACAGGACCAACAGCTTTGTATTTTTTTTAAAAGATTTTAATCCGTTCGGAAGAAATTATAGAACATCTTTACAGCAGATGTAAATGTCTTCCACCTTCTTGACAATAAACAACTTTTTGTCCAGACATTTTGTTACCAGCCGTCGTACTGTTGTCTAAAGGTTGATTCACATGTAACCACGACGACACGAAACGCCGTCCTTCAAGCGCTTCCTGAACTATAATACTTCCTCTAGCTTTGTGTTATCGCCAATGATGAAGAGAGAAAACCACGGATAAGGAAATGGACACACGCCAGTCGCAAAGAATTTGTTTCTATGTATGGAGAACTTGTGAAAGATTCTATCAGGTTTCATCAGTATTTAAAAGTGCGAGAATCTAAGTTTTTTAATTGTTATCTTTGACAGAAGAAGACCTGACGAGGAAATATACTACACTTTGCGAAACCATCTCACCCAGAAAGAAATTATCAGTTTGCTTAGATCGTAAGGTCACTGAATCACATCTTTTGCGCAACTTGCATGAGCAGCGGCCTCGCAACCAGGGTGACCTTGATTCGAATACCACGGGAAAGTTTGGGAGAGTCTATTACGCTGGGGTGGGCCTACTTGTGGTATAATTTTTGTATTTCTCCACTTGCATGTTGTTGGGCTGCATTTGAAATAGCACACCTGTACTCTGTTCACAAAGTCAGAGGAGGTTCATTTATAAATCCAGAACAGGCAAGATGTACGCTGAACTGCTGGGAGAAAGAAATATAAATTATATGTACGTTGGACTGCATTATTATTTATTGAGTGGAATTATAAATATTAAAATGTTCAAAATAGAGGACAGGTGGAAGTCACGCTATTTTAATGATCGATAATGCTTCGTGCTTCCTTCAAGGAATTTATACCATTTCTTCTTTGATATTCCTATGACATGCGAAAAACCAATGTGACTAGCACTGAAATGTATCGGCACGCGTTCACTAGATGGGACCTCAAATTATGCGTCTGGATTAAATGTTAGCGATCTAACTGGCATTCTGCGGATCAGCAGGTGTAGGAACCTGATGCCAGATACCATGACTAGTCTGGTTTCCTGAACATACATTTTGCAAAGAGACTTTAAAAGGTACCTATTTAATTCAAGCACTAACTTCGTGGAGCACTCTTTTCCAGAAGCCGATCGTAAATGTACTGATAAAGAAATTCTCCATCTTTTATAGAACTAAAAATTTCTCACAATCGACATATTGAATTGTTGATGGCAGTGAGTTTAACGTGCCAAGATGATGTAGTCTCCAATAACATATTTTTAACAGCTTTTTCCTCAGTTAGGGGTCGGAAAAACAGACAGACAAAGCTGAATATCACAGACGTTTCAGAGTTGCTTACAGCCTATATCACAGGGGAGGGTTAATGATGGATGCAGTAAGCAAATTTGAAACGCCAATAAACTTCTACCAGACCACACGGCGCAACATCCTAAAAGACAGTCATCTTCGGACTCCGCCATAAGATCATGAAATCTCACAGCTCAGTCCTTTGGAACCTTTTAAGGCATACCGAAGGACCTAGTTTATAGTGTCCAGTATCCACAATCGTTATTAATTTCATATTTCGGCAAGAACTCAAACTACAGAAACTACGGGATTAATCCACTGCCATCAGCAAGTGACTACAAAAGTTGCAAAACAGTAACTTTCAACAAGTGTCTTTGTCCTCCATATCATCTGCATGCTTTTGTTTCGTGTTTGGACACAGATGTTACCTTTACACTGCCGTATCTTACGTATAATATCCAGTACCAATAATATAACTAAAGTAATTGGCGGCCACGTTAAAGAGCAAGTTCTGAATGATCCCATTGCACGCGAGCAGTCCAATCGTTGAACAAGTACTGTGCAGAGGAGACGCACAAGAATGTTAATTGCCAACGAAGCGGACGTCTGTTGCATTCGGAAACCGACCAACATTCTGCTGCCATATTCTTGTTCCCGTTACCCACATCGCGACTTGACATTTTGAGAAACCGAAGCATCCATTCCCTTTTATGTGACTGTATATTAGATTATCATTTCGTGACTTGGTTTATAACCTCATGAAATGGAGTTATCGCTTCTCGTCACTATCACGAACACACAGACAAAGGTGAATTCTACTTGCCAAGCGGCTTATTATGCGTTCATTGCACGAAGTGCATAGGGAGAACGCATTATGGACTGATCATGTCTGCCCGTCGGCAAATCCAGTCGATTCTATTCGAATCAATGGACGAATTTGGACGAAATTTGATTCGGGGGTTGTGCTATTATGCACGACTTCAAAATTGCACTTTTGGATATCGTACGAGAATTGATAACAAAATGACGGATGAGGAAAGTCGTGAGGCCGACAGAAGAAGCTACGATTTGGTGACCAAAGTGAAACAATCAAAGGAGGCGCATTTAATGCTTCTAATAGCCCCGCTAACAGCCGTGGGCCAACATCTACGGAAATACAAATATACCGCTAAGCATTATAATTAAGTCCGATACAGCTCCATGCCATTTTGTTTCCAAAATTCCTTGGAATGTTCAGCTGTAAAAATACTGCACAACAAACAATTCAGCTAAAACACATATAAACAACCGACCCAAGCAAGAAACCACTTTTATAGCGACCCGGGAAGGGAGTGGGGCTGTTACTTGCGATAAACAATGTATTATACATGGCGACGTTCCAAAACCAGGCAGTTAACGATAACTGAATCTGCAGCTGGGAAAGGCGTTGATTTGGAAATGGAAACATTACCGGAAAATGAGATGCATGGAGGAACAGATATAAATTCCAAGAATTCAGTACAACAGTTACAGAACAACAAACTATTTTGCTGTTTGACAGTGATAGTGAACACATCTGCAATGAAAGTGTTTTATGTAAATTTTCCTTTAGTAACACTACACGGAAACGTCTTCATGTTTGAATACAATCACCAGACTGATCACAGAGTGAGAAAGTTAAAGTACACACATACACAGGCGTGTACAATCAGAGCCAGTTGCGTTTGTATGGCAGGAAAATGGAGGTGCCAAGTGTTGGGGAAATAAGGATACATGTTTGACTTTTCTATTGCTCTCAATATCCTAACTACAATACCTCGCACATTATATGGGTCATTAATACATTAACAAATAAAATATACTCCAAAATAAAAAAATAAATGTACTGCCACCTTCACTTTCACACTAGTTTACTCAGGAAGGGTCACTTGAAATGAACTACACAGTTCAATAAACTTAAGCTTATGTATGAAAATGTAGGTAGTGAAAGTGCTGCTGTCCAACTATAAGATACGAAGTAGCAGACACATCACGATTATCATTAGGTTATTAATTTTGTATCCACGAAGTCTGATTAATTCCGCAGATTGGTCACAAGACCTAAACAACGGACAAACTCTGCTGTTGGAAGTTGTAGGGTTTGGAAGTGGGCCAAACAGGATACTCTCCGTTCCCAACAAGTGAATGCCTCTCGGCTTGTAGAAACTACAGCAAACTCACCAACTTGTTTGACTTGAGTGGAGATGTGAACAAGCTGAGGAGATGAAATGTGTATACAGAATTTCTATCGGAAAAACTGAAGGGAAGAAGACACTTGGGAAAGTAAGTGTACATGGGAGGATAATATTAACACGAGTCTTATAGAAATACATTCTGAGAGTATGGATTGAACTCTTTCAGCTAAAGACAGCGTCAGTCGGCGTGATCTTGTTGAAAACGACAATGAATGTTCACGACAGAAATTAAGCGTACTCGTAATTTCTTGAACCACTGAGCGAATTTCATATTCTCAATAAGGACTCTACTTCATTGCGTTGGTATTGGTATTTTCGTAGTAAACGGGTTCGTTTATTTTCGGAACCATCGGGAGAGATTCGTGGTTCCTAGGGAAGCCACTGTTTCTTTCCAGGTTACAGGGGTACAATTCTTAAAAACGAAAAACAGTTTTTGGAAAGCTCTAAAAATCAGGTTTAATGATTTTTATAATACTTATATAATCATAATTATAACTATAAGCCTTGTTACAGAAAACATTCTGTAATACAGGCGTGTACAATCAGAGCCAGTTGCGTTTGTATGGCAGGAAAATGGAGGTGCCAAGTGTTGGGGAAATAAGGATACATGTTTGACTTTTCTATTGCTCTCAATATCCTAACTACAATACCTCGCACATTATATGGGTCATTAATACATTAACAAATAAAATATACTCCAAAATAAAAAAATAAATGTACTGCCACCTTCACTTTCACACTAGTTTACTCAGGAAGGGTCACTTGAAATGAACTACACAGTTCAATAAACTTAAGCTTATGTATGAAAATGTAGGTAGTGAAAGTGCTGCTGTCCAACTATAAGATACGAAGTAGCAGACACATCACGATTATCATTAGGTTATTAATTTTGTATCCACGAAGTCTGATTAATTCCGCAGATTGGTCACAAGACCTAAACAACGGACAAACTCTGCTGTTGGAAGTTGTAGGGTTTGGAAGTGGGCCAAACAGGATACTCTCCGTTCCCAACAAGTGAATGCCTCTCGGCTTGTAGAAACTACAGCAAACTCACCAACTTGTTTGACTTGAGTGGAGATGTGAACAAGCTGAGGAGATGAAATGTGTATACAGAATTTCTATCGGAAAAACTGAAGGGAAGAAGACACTTGGGAAAGTAAGTGTACATGGGAGGATAATATTAACACGAGTCTTATAGAAATACATTCTGAGAGTATGGATTGAACTCTTTCAGCTAAAGACAGCGTCAGTCGGCGTGATCTTGTTGAAAACGACAATGAATGTTCACGACAGAAATTAAGCGTACTCGTAATTTCTTGAACCACTGAGCGAATTTCATATTCTCAATAAGGACTCTACTTCATTGCGTTGGTATTGGTATTTTCGTAGTAAACGGGTTCGTTTATTTTCGGAACCATCGGGAGAGATTCGTGGTTCCTAGGGAAGCCACTGTTTCTTTCCAGGTTACAGGGGTACAATTCTTAAAAACGAAAAACAGTTTTTGGAAAGCTCTAAAAATCAGGTTTAATGATTTTTATAATACTTATATAATCATAATTATAACTATAAGCCTTGTTACAGAAAACATTCTGTAATGTAACATTCACAGGGAGAAGAGAAATGTGTACAAAATTTTAGTAAGAAAATCTGAAGGTATGTCATCACTTGCGATACTTATAATAAGGTTCAGGGGCGGTTTCTTGTGAAGACGATAATGAACATTTTGGTTCCGTAAAAGACAAGCAATTTTTTACCAGCTGAGCGTCCATCATCCCTACATGAATGATTCTGCTGTACGGAGTGACTTGGTTATAATTATAGAGGAGTTGCAAGTTAACCAGAACTGAATAAAAAGTTTCCACAAGAGAAAGTAACTAAACTGTAGAAAGTAACTACAATATGATTTAAATTATGCTCTGAAATACGAAGTAATTATTCACATTTACACTTTTTCTATATATTTTTTAATTGGGTGAATATGTAGCTTTTTTGACTAATTTCTTTTGTGCATAAAACAGAAAGCAATTTGTGTTGAATTCACAATGCGAGACTGAGACATTTAATGACATCGTGGATCTTCAAAACTATTCATTTCCAATGCCACACGTAACAAACGAAAGAAAAGCGAATTCAGGGGCCGTGAAACCTGTCACATGCAAGAAAAGTAACAATTCTTTACTTTTTAAAATTTATTTAACCAGTCATTCAGTCCAGATTTACTTGTATAAATCTGGATGTAAATGAAAGAACAAAACAAGCAAAATGTAAGTGGGAATACGAAAGCTAACGGTAGGTTTCTCGTTGCAGGAATAATGTTGGTGTAACTGTGTGGCGCCATTAGAAATAGATATATTACGCTCCTGTCTACAAAAAGCCGGTGTTGGACACAATCTTCCGTGTAAAGAACTCAACTCAATAAATGAAATGCATCTTAAACGGCATTCGTCTATTTAACAGCCAGTCTAAAAACTACACATTAAGAACTATAAATTAACTCATGTTAGGCCTATATATAAAATATCTTTCGTCCAATTTTCACCGGTTCATCTTCTCTGCTGGTAACTACGTCCGTGGTTATAAAGACCCATACTATTACCCTTACACCTTCTTCTTGGTCTTCAAATAGACTTCCACTAGGGTTTCTCATCAAAATTATGTACGCTTTCCTTGTATCTTCACATTAAAAGCTTGTAAGAAACTTAAAACTCATGTTATTTACTTGTTGTCAGGGGATGTTACTCCACAATTAATTCAATGATTAAACCCGCCCATCTCATTCTCCTTGGTTTGATCGTCTAGCAATATTTTGTGAAGAGTAAGGTACTAAGAATCACATGGTAATATTAATATGCATTCATTCTATTGTGTTTTATCCAACAATAGATACCTGACAATAAATAATGGTAACTGGTTTGTGGCGGAAGTGAGGGTGGGATGTTTATTCAGGCATGCCACTTATTTTCACGGCTGAGAAGCTGACGCAACCTTCAGAACTGTCGTGAGGACGCAGAGCCGTCGAGGTCTTCGATTATGAGACGTCTTAATTGTTTTCTTTCAAGAAAAATACTGAAAAATGTCGTTGCCTTACAAATGCACTGTAAGGGCAGGTACGCATAGCAAAGTCTTAGGCACAAAATATCCAGAAACTCACGGTGAAAATTTGAGGAGCGATACAAAAACGGATAATAATATTACAGTTGATTATAAAGACCCAGCGTTTGAAATTGTGGAATGGATATGAATGACTCGGATTGCCTTTTCCATAATGGTCTACCGCACGTGAAAAACGTTTGTCTCGTAACTAATTCTGAACCGAATTACGGCACAACGCCTAAACCGTGTAACGTAAAAAAGTGTTTTGAAAGTACTTTTAGTTTTCGCACTGTTGAACAAAGTCTGTCCTTGACCGCCTCCTACAAAGTGGATATGATCCCACGCTGACTCCGTGACTCATATCGGGCACCTGGAGGGATTCCTTTTAAGACATGAATCCTAATGTTTTGCTATGGCAGATCCTACAACGACCATCTTCAAATCAAGATCAAGATACACACTACAGTCGTTTGTTCTTAGACTCTTTTGTTACTAAGCTACAAATAAAATAAACCAAGTTCATGAACCAGGATCTTTCTTGTGACAAGAGTAGCTCAACTGGTGAATAAATCCTCCTAAAATGAAAGCCAAAGTTCACAGTGCCCTGCCACTGGACCCGATCAGCATCCAGCTCAATCCAATGCACATCACCCTTACATCCTATTTATTTAAATTTCGTTTCAATATGAGCGCCCTATCTAAAATAAAACATTACATCATGAAAACTTTGCATACAGCACACACGATCCTAGATTCTTAATAATGTTTGGCGCGTGGACATTTCTTCATATACAATATTTTAGTAGTGTCCACTGATGATATTCTGACCTTATAACTCTGAACCCAAGAAGAAGTTTATTTCATATAAGATCTAGAAAGTCTCGAACAACGAGAACAAAATCAGTATTAATAATGAAAATGCAACAAGCAATAATAATTCTATTAAGCAGAAAGTGGGAAGGCCAAATTCACAGGTTATGAAACGTCGCAGCCAAATGCTTAGCATTCGTATTCGACAGTTCTCGTGTTCGATTTTTGTTCTTAAAACGACTATCCTAACAGATGTTTCATGGTCTTCCTCAGTATTTCTAAGAAAATTCTTCGATAATGCCCTACAGTATGCTATAAAGGCTTCCTCCCACACGCTTTACAGACCCAGGAACTGATATTAAACCTGTTCAAGCTTTCCAGCTTCGTAATAAACCTCTCTCCCATGTCTCTTGATGACAGAAGTACATCAAATTTACGAAAAGTCAAGTTAAAAATCTTAATGAATATGAGCAATGCCTAAAATTATAATTTTTCTTATGGTCTGTTAATGTTTACACTGTTTATTAAGTTTATTAAAGATTCATATGAATTATTGATCGGAATCACGTGTTATATATGGCACAAGAAATGTAACAAATTTCTTAATTTTTGTGCACGGAAAAACATATTTACATGTCAAGGTTGACATGTGTAACAAATTGTAGTCTAGGTTAACCACTGCAATTATAACAACGTAAACAATGTTAATGTTACAAACAAAATAGGAGTTAAATTCGGATTCCTTCAGATGCCACAATTGGTTCGGACCATTTTCTAGTTACGAGCATTAAGAATTCCATAAATATGTGTGGGGATTTCGTTGTGGCAGTGAAGTTTATTTTAAGAAGAATCTGACCGAAGAACGGGCAGTATGCAAATGTTAATGCCTTAGCCTGGAGAACCCTGGGTCTGGCAGTCAGACTGGTAGCGCCCCAGGGCCACTGAGAACAGTTATGGGGCAGTTGGACACCGAAGCATCGCTAACGGTACATAACCTCACAGGTGTCACGTACTGATCTGTTTCTTGCTTCCAGATTTTCCTTGCAACCCTCAGAATTAGGAGAAACATACTGTTTCCATATTCAACCACAAAGATGCAAATAGAATGTTTCTCCGAAACGTTGGTATCCATACACAAGTTCACACGACGTTTCTACCCTGAAGATCAACATCGACTGAGGATATTTGAGAACAAGGCACTGAGGAGAATATTTGGTCCTACGAGAGAGGAAGATGGCCGCGTAAACTGGTAGAAGTTTACTGACGTTTCAGAGGTGCTTGCTGCATCCATCATCATTTTGGCCCTGATAACAGAGGCAGTAAACTCCTCTGAAACGTCAGTAAACTTCTAGCAGACTACACGGCGCAACAACCCAGAACACTTTAAACTCATTTTATATTGTCGGTGTGTGTGCGTGCGTCTTCAGGCAAACTAATGACAAGGATTGTCTTCTAGAAAGTGTGGAACGCTCATAACGCAGCACAGGGCAAGGAAACCGATCACTTATGATAATTGGCAGTCACTCGGTAGCATTTGTTTAATAGAGCTTGAGACCTTTCACTCAACCGGGGAAAAAAAGAGAAAAAATCACGAACATGAAGTAAAGGAGCCATCAGCTTAAACCATTTGCACGCCACCGCTTTCACTGTGGATCTTAACAACTTTCCTTCGATCACCACTTTTAAAATTACTAGAAACATCTGTAGCTTCGAGCAAGCGACAAGAAAAATGCATGGAAAATTAAAATAATACGTATTAGTTAAAGGCACGCAAGTTGTTTTAAAAAAGACTTTAAAATATCTCGAGTCAAACATTATATTCCGTGTGTCAGGAAATTGCATCACGTACATATTTCTAAAAAAAAAAAAAAAAAAATCTCACAATCGAGGCACAATGTTCTGTGAAATATTTTTGAAAGTTTTCTGTCGTTTAGTACAGAATATTTTATTCTCCAGCCTCCTACCTAAAATATGAAGCTTATAGGCCTATAGGTCTGACACATAAAATTATATTTTTACATCTAGTGGATGTCAACGTAAATGATCAACTAAACGACTGAACAGAATCTGATAATAAAATATTTAAAACCTGTCGTTATTTCTTAAATTACGCTCCATGAAACAAATTTAAGCTTTTATTAACTTCGTTTCATCAGTTTACGCAATCCACACATCGTTATCATGATAATGTCGGTTTAGCAAGTTCTTTACAATTATACAAATGTGGTTAGGAAGTTTGATTTAAGATACCCAAACTTTCTATGCAACTGAATGTTTTTCAATTTATTTGTAAGTCACTTTTTTACAGAAGTGATCTTGTTCATAGTTAAAATGTTTTCTTTCTTATATCTACTTTGATTTTCAGGTGTCTATTGAATAAAACCAAACTTTTAAATAATCACAGAAGTAACTTTCACAGGAGGTGAATAGCTCAGTTATTGGTAACAGGAACTTCTATGAATGGCCTCTCATTGTGGTCCATTACAGAATACTTTTTGTTTCTTTATTCGGGTTCATAGACCCCCGCAATGTTGGTAGAACTGGGTCAGTGGCTTCATAACCGATTGTTGCCTTCGGCTACCCACAAGATGGCGGGTGTGCCAGTATGGCAAGCTAACAAACGATTAAAATGAATTTATAACAAAAAGATTACTTCGATTATCGGTCAGATAAAATTCGAGTGGATTAATCAACACACAATATCGCTGTTACTATATTAACACAAGAATCCACGCAGGTCACGCCATGTTGTGACCTGCTCAGGCCAGTCTGTAATTTGTCTTCAAGAGTCGAAGTGCAAGGATCTCGTTCTTACTTAACTTGCCAGAATGAACTTAGGGATACATTTCGCTCTTCACCTGTGCCAAACAAATCGACATAATTTCGTCTGGTGAACAGTCTCCGTCACGGCACAAACTTTTCACTGGGCTAGTGAATGAATGCGTGAATCGATGAACGCGGTGGACGCTTCCAACATTCATTATAAAAATGTGTTTTTTGTTTTATAATTTCAATGTAATTAATTTGCTGACAACAAAACGTGTCAGGAATGGGTTGCGTGACTTTTATATGCTCGATGTTTGTATTATTTTAGTGCGAGTATCCCGAGGTAAACTGTGTGAGAGCCCGGGAGAGGCGCCTAGTCCACAATCAAGTGGAACATCAGGACAACATGAAGAAGGTAGCGGAGACGCAGGCGCAGGAGATGGTAAGCTGGACCATTTTAGTACAAAGGAATAATTAAAATAAATATAAAAATTGCTTTGTTTGATGTTATGGTATAAAAATAAAGCAAATAATAGTTTGCATCTGCACATATTTCGAACTGAGTTTTAATATTTTCTTTAAATATTGGATAAACTGTAATCAGAAGAGTTTGAAATGACGAAAAATTTGTTCAAAAACGACTGTGCACTTCACGGTAGAATTTTTGAATGGTATAATACTTCCAGCTGAGACTACGGTATATTCATTAATATCTCTATGAGGTTGTGTTGTTTTCAGGGCGTTTAGGTTTTATATTTGATTTCAAATAAATGTTCGTGTTTGTTGGTAGGCAAAATAAAATTCTGTTTGTTTTGTTCTGGAACTTGCCCGCCCATGTAGAGTGACAACAGAGAGCAATAAAAATTATAAATGAAATAAATATTGTCCCTCCGCCCAACAAGTTTATGAATGAATTGGCCTTGCGGCAAGACAAATGTCTCAGTGGCCACCAAACTGCGTTCCGTGGAACCGGGCCAACACTAATGGCAGATTTAAGAAACGACTAGCAGATCATGTAGCACGCAGGGTAAAACTAATAATACCTATAATATTTTTGTAGAAAAATATTAAAACAGATTTTAAAGAAGCAGTTTGTAAGGATGCGGACTGGATTCATTTGGCCTACGACAGGGGTCACTGTCTGGTTCTTCTTCACACCCGTGAATCATTGGGCATAATACACGTGGGCGTGGAATTTTCAGACAAACTGAGCTACTGTCAGCTCAACAGAAACAAACCACCCCATGGATTTTTATTCATTTATTTATTTAGTTCTACCTATGGTATACTTAACGATGTTTGACGTAACGTAGATTACAACATGGAGTTACCTGAAAAGTAACTGGCTGACCTCAGACACGTCTTAAGGCTAAAACAGAACATTAACCCTGTGAAATCGAAGCTTGCCTAAATAATATTTAATAATTCAGTCCGTACTGCAAAGAAATCATAACGCTTAGCCATTAGAAAAAACAGCTGGTTCATGGTGTTGAGAAAATAATCCGTTTACACTCAGAACCATAAGAAAGCCACAAATACAAAACGCTGAGTTATCGATTGGTAAAGCAGGTGGTACATATAATTGCTTCTAGGCCTGAAGGATTAATGCACCGCACAGAGAACAGATTTGAGAGGATTGATCAAGGCGTAATTCAAAGTACTAAGAAAAATGAAGACAGATTTCAGTTAAGATAACCGCTGTCAAAATTTGAAGCCGAAACCCTGCGCTTTAGCGTTGAATAAGCCGGATTCTTTGTTAACATTGTCATTACAGTGCTAAACACTTGGTGTACTTAATGCTAGTCACGATAGTATACTCCACCTCTATCGGGTGTTGAGTCAGCAAACTGTGAACACATTCTGTTTAAACGTGTTAATGTTTACGGCAACGTCGAACGTTAAGTTACATGATGCAAAAGAAGGTGGAGTAATTATGGACGCTTTCTAAACTACAGAAAGTTGATATTACCCAAATTACTGCATGCAGGTACGCGTAAACATATTCATGCATTCCGACAAAAAATATCCGAAAGATTCATAATGTACAGATCTTGTTGCAAAGTAACTGTTACTGGCTTTCATTCCAGTTATCGCAATGTTTCAGTGCGTAACACTGATGTCGTGTCTCACGGTGAGTTGGTTCCAGCCCTTCATGTACCAGAAAGTCGCCATTAACAACCAAAATACAGTAGTCCCGATTATTCGACATTCATTCCGTTTTATTCGACGTACCGTGTCGGAACGCTCCATTTTATAGTCAATTCAACATGTAGCGGAATAAATCATACTCCCTTACAGCACCCATAAATACTATTTTTGTTTGTGACATTTTTTCATCTGGTGTCATATCGTATTTCCTTTGCGATTTAATAATGCCGTAAATTAAGTTACAAACTGAGTAAATATTAAGTCTTCCGTGTTATTTCAATTATCGATGTTCGATTATCAGACCGTTCTTCGGTCCCGTTTAGGTAGGATAATCGGGACTCATACAAAATTTGTACTCACATTTTATCACAAATACTGAATGATCTTGCACTTACTTTGGTGCAACGTATGGTTCCGACTTTAACAGGTAAAATTAATAATGATGAACTTAATAATTTTTTCTCCTCACCAAATACGATGAACATAACTGTACTCAAACAAGAAGGATGACACGCTCGGGACATGTAGCACGCATGAGGGGAAAAGTTCAAGGGAATAGACTAGCTGGAAGACCTATTTGTTGTAAATGCTATTATACTCGGTACAAATGGAGACTTGGTCGTGATTTGAAAGGGTGGAGATTACTATATGCAAGTGACGCAATGCTGTGTGCATGACGTAATCCTCCAGGTGATGAAGACGAACATTACATCAGGATCTCTACTTTGTACTTAAAATTTAATTACACGTGGTCAACCGAGCTATCCCAACGTAACGGATATTTTCATTTCCCATAAATTAACGTAAACATGAATCATAATCCACGGAGACTATAATACCCACTTAATAATTAATTTGAAAATTCCATATCGTTAATGTTCTGATCAGAAGTTATAAAAATCGAAAGATATGCCTAGCGGAAAATGCAGAGTTAGAGCAATGCAATGTTAAAGGATGATGTTTATATAAAATTTTAAAAGGTAAAGTTTCTTTGGTAACAAATCTTGGTAGCACTGTAAGTGGGGATGTCTGCGGAAGTACTCAGGGTTGCTAGCACATAGATCAGTATTCAATTCCTTTGCCTGTTGCCGAACCAGAAGACCCGGTTCAATTCTAGGCGGCATCGCAGCAAAATAACTGATGACAGTGAAAGTTGAGGCTATGTGACAGCCCGGAGCGATGTGGGTGCGGCAAAGAGCAAGGAACTCGCCAAAACCTTCAGTTCTCGTCACTGGCATAAAACAAGAACAGACAGGAGAAAGTCATTTTCTAAATCTCTGTGATCTTTGATCCCTCACTGGTGTTAATATCCATTTATTGGAGACACAAATGTATTGTTGACTGAGATAGCAACAGAACAGTTCAAGATCCATTCTCAAGGGTAAGAAGTTTTCTCTGTGACATCCAGATGGGTTCTGGGTCTTAGAGTCTTCTATGTAATTGGTATCCAGACAAGTTTCCTTGGGGATAAAGCAGTCTGAGCATGAAAATAATGACACATTTAGTCTCGAAGTAAAGAATGCACAAATATTTACTCCCACTTCTGCAGTGTCGAGTCAATTTGTCACACAGACGGACGACTTCTTAATCCTTGATCTACTGCTGGCAAAGCCAACAGTCAGTATGATACAAATCAAAGTCAGGCCTACATTCAGCAAAGATCGGTTAACTTCTACCAGACTACACAACGCGCAAGTACCAATTAGACAACAATCTTCATCATGGAATGTCCTCATCACATTCATCTGTTGATTTATGTAGCGTAAAATCGCTGTTATAACTATTCAGAAGAGTTGTTGACGGGAATAGATTCACTGACCAGCCATAAATGGGACACATTAAAAGCTGGCTGATTCATCAGTGCATTCTTTTGTACGACTGAATTGTTCTCCATAACGAGATCGGAACGCAACAGAAACGTTCACTGTCAATTTCTCTCGACTGTTTATGGCACAGGTCATGCACTTAGCAGGCCTAGGCATAGCTCGGCTTCCTGGATACAGGGCAATGTCTCTTGGACGTCTGTGGTCGATAACAACAGGCCTACTCCATCAACTGAACAAGGTTCTAAGGTTCTTAGTATTCTTACTTTTTAGGTTTGTTGCTAATAAAAGCGGCCAAGACAGACAAATTGTTATGTAATAATATGAGGTAACAGTAGATCAGGACTAGTGTTAGATTGCAGTCTGATTGTACCGTATGTAATATAAGAGACCTTTTAACAAGCATCAAGTTACAACGAAACGACTTTCAGTCCCTCTATTGTCGTTAGGTTACAGGTTGCAAAATGAACACTTGAAACGCCTCTCAATTTACGACGAATTTGAAACACATTTCTGAGCTACGACTGCTCCAGTTTCATGTCAAATGTTTCCCAACGCCGTGGCAATGTTGCAATAATTTTTTATCGAGCGTTCCCCACGTTCAACGTTTCGGAAATTGGTTTTGTTCATTCAACGATTTGAAGACTCTCTTTGCCTTCAACATCAGGGATCGACATTAAACAACCGTTAAGTCCCCGATTATGGAGGCAGAGGCAGCCTCCGAGACGTCGGATGACACCCGTACTGACCAGCGAGAAGACCATTGCACTTTGTACAACCCAGAAGACAGAAATCTTCACCATTGTACTTGATCCCCATGAAAACTTATGACTTTATATTGTGGCACAGTTGCTACTTATTACTTAAGTATGGGTTGGATTGCTGGTGAAGGACCTAACATGTGAAGAGTATGTTAAGTATGATGCAAATAGTGAAATTTGGTACTGCCCCCAACGGAAATGACTGTTTTAAAAAATTCGGTTCCCGCATCCATGAACGCAGATAGCATCTTTGTTACTAAGATCAGTCGTTAGAAAAATAAGATCGTGGATGAAGATTACTGTCTTCTGGGATGCTGCTATGTAGCCTCGTAGAAATTAACCGACATTAGGACCACTAATCGTTCTTGTGTTGGAGGCAGTAAGCGCCTCTGAAAAGTCGGCCTATTTCTACAAGACAACAGGGCGCAACATGTCCAAAAGACAGTCGTCTTCGTATTTGGTGCCGTGAGAACCCGAATCACAGAATATCGCGGTTTGCCGGGCCTCGTGTTCAGCCAATGCAGACTGAAGAAGAGTAGGTAACGGGGACACGTTACTTCGCCACGGTTACTTTTATTTTGCCGGCGAACACTTGCAGATTCAAATTAACGGTTTCCAGTAGAAATGTTTTATTCTTCTATCACCTGTTGTATGCTTTCTCCTAACAATAAATTTCCAACATCAAACTTCTTTGCCGTTTCGTTTTTACAGTCTCATGTTCGTAAAAGAAACAGATGGTTACAAAAAATAATTTTATGCTGTAGGATTCTTGTTAACCGATGGCTTATAAACTGAGTAGCATAAATACGCACATGATGATTAGAGATAATTATTGGTAAAGCGTCTGGGGTGTTACTGTAAATTTTTATAAATTACAGGCTTAATCAAACTGATTCCTAAGCTCATTACTGATTTTATTGTAATATAATGATAGAAACGCTAATATCTGATTGTTACTACAAATATTCAATCAGTAAGTAATGTACTTCATGGAACAGAGTGCTTCTTGAGAAGTTCGAGCCACTTAAACGGGGAAAAAAGAAGAAGAAGATTAGCCACCTTGTATGACATTCAAAGGTTCATTTCCGTGTTCCTATGATCCCGCACATATTTTTCCATCCATTCGTTGTTCTCCCAGCTACTCCGCTCCCTTCAGGTTTTCCGACTAAAATTTTGTATACACTTATTTATCCCAATCCTCCTTCGCTTTGTCGCCGTAATAATGTTAGTTCTGGTCCTCAGTCTGTGCAATTTTCTCTGATCTCCTGTTACTTCCCGGAGTCCTCAAAAACAGTTCGCTCGCAGCAGGACCCAGAGCAATCGGTGAGCCCAAAGATTCGTAACATGACAATGCACAAGCAGGTGTTCCGATTCGACATGCCTGGAATTCAGGATTCCGCAGCCATGTTGCTGGCGATAAAGTTTGTCGGATTCAGACGCCCATAAAAGGAAGGTAGTTACTGATCACACTGCATTGTGCTGTTAGTATGCACCTTGCACATTGTCCCAGTGAACTCTGAATTGAAGACGGCTGTGTGTTACTTTCAGAACGTAATGATGGGCAACTTTCTTCCTTTAATATTCTGTTTATTCGCTGTTTGTAAATACGTCGCATTGCATTAAGCGGTGTTCTCTCTCTTTTTGGAACCGGGGTATAGTTTAACTATAGTATGCGCTACCGAGAAAACATGGATTTTGGAAATTTGACATAACAGGGCAGTTCAACATTGACGATGGCTATCATATACATAAATGTAATCAAGATGACGTCTTCCAGGTTGTATCATACTACAATTAGATTAGACAGCGCTAAAGCCAGAATAAATAAATAAACAAATAAACAAATAAATAAATATATATATATATATACACACACACAAACACACATACATATTCGCAGCCGTGAAAATCTCAAATCCTACTTAAAATTATTAGGTACCTACGTACAAGTCAAGAAATTAATAGCAAAGACAGTCCCAAGGGACATACGTTCATGAACATTGATGAATTTTAGCGATTTTGGTAATTTTATCACAACGTTTTAAACTACTTTTGAAAGTGACGTTTTGTTAAACAAATACACAAAATAAGGCTTATTGTAATATTGATTAATCTCTTAGAATCGAAACACGAACTTTGGCATACTTAAGACGACTATCAATAAAAGTCGTTGGACAATGAAGTATGCTGCACTATACAGGGAAACGGAATGAAAGGTATTAAGGACTAGAAGCTGTACACTTCCTGATTAAGAAACTAAACACTATGTTTTAAACTTTCAAGTGCATTCCTAACCAGCCATTGGCTTCTTCCTTTAGAAAAGAACGTCTACACCATGAAATAATCTTGCTGTTCTGCTTAAGACTTCTTTAACATGAAACACTTACCGCAGTACGCAAGCGTGTTGTGGATACAAACGAACTTAACCTCAATACAGCGTCCTGGTAACAACTTTCGTAATGTCGTTGAATGAATACATGTAAATGCTATGCCTACCGATACGTCGACATAATATAAAAGTCTCGTGTAACCTATTTGCCTTTCTTTGCTGTATATCCATGAAGTTCATAAAATTAACACACTTTTTTGCACGGGGCAAAGTCCTTATTAAGAAGCTGATTGTCGCTAACCTAGTCAAGAAACTCAACGATTTTTACGGAGCCCTAAGGTTCATTACAGTGTTCGCAAGATATTATCACTTGAATAAAGCAAAACAACCCCTCTTTTAAAACGTTTTAATTAAATTATCCTCCCATCTCTCTCAAGTTATTCTTCCTGTCCATTTAAATGTTTCATCTCTAGAACTACTCATCGGGGTTTGATTTAAGTTGTTAGCGTAATGGTTAATGACAGGAGTAATTTAATTTTGGTCCATATGTTGTTCCAAACATTGTCTGATTCCGAGGTATATTTAGCAACAAAGAACTATTAATATTAAAACTATCTTTACTCCCAAGGCCAGTCAACTACTAGGTCCGAACCAAAACACCAAAATTGTTTCCCCTGTGTTCGACCACCGTGACAACTTTCGCCATGAACACCTACGTAACCCGAACAAACGCCAACATGGACATTTTTACGTTCATTCATAATTAATTATACATACTTACACTTGTAAGTATGAAGTTTCGTGTATCTTGGGTTCCCCTCCCCATTTTCCCCATAATGTACGAACTTCCTCATCGCAGTTTTGCTTTCGCGATTGTTTTGAAGACGTAACCCCCGCGAACAGCGACGATGTTCCGTAATCACTTCTGATGATAAACTCGCAACTGCAATTAACGCTATTGGGCAACAAGAAAATAGGTTGGCAGCCGGTTCGTGTGGTAAAGTTGCGCACACCCACAGCTTCGGGAACAAAATTTATTTTACGCTTCGTTTTCTCGTTCGTCCTACATGGTTGCACAAAAGTGCACTGACATTCATCAAGGTGCCTTTCGATGGCTCCTTTTACATCTATTTTCGTTCCCTTTCGGTCATTTGTGTCTCTTCGGTCCCACTATACCTTAAAACCAGTAAGACTCACATGGGAACTTCAGGAATGAGTGCACAGCCAGCAAGGCCTGAAATGTTGGGCTGTGCTCCATAAAATAAATCACTTGTCAAAGTATGATAATTCGACTTGCTTGTAGCATAACTGCATGACGACCATGCGAAGACTCTACTTCTCCTGCCGTGTGATGACAATAACTAAAGAAACGTTACCGCTAAATATATCAAACCTGTCTGTACCCACATATTTTGAATGAAATAGTCTGAGTGTTAAAACTGCAAATGGGGCATGGAGAAAACTGCATAATGACGAGCTTAAAAATCTGTACTCCTCCCCCAATATTGTCAGGGTGATTAAGTCGAGAAGAATGAGATGGGCGGGGCATGAAGCGTGCATAGATGGGGCAAGGGGTGTGCACCGGGTGTTGGTTGGGAAGCCTGAAGGGAAGAGACCACTGGGGAGACCTAGACGTAGATGGGAGGATAATGTCAGGCGGGATCTATGGGAGACAGGAGTTGAAGGCGAATGGATTTTGGTAGCCCAGGACAGGGACTGGTGGAGGGCTTTGGTTAATTCGGTGATGAACCTTCGGGTTCGGTAAGCCATCCAGTTAGTTAGTTACTTAGTTAAAACTGTAAATATGGTACTACAGCGAAATTCTGAGAGTACGTACGACAACTTTCGTGAAAGGGAAAATTTAACTAGCAGACATTAGGCACAGAACTAGACCATTGGGTTTTATAGTTATTAAAGAAATGTCAACTTCAACAAATTAAATAAATATAGTAAACTATGTAAAAATATGGACGAAGCAGCACAAACGTTGAGATGGTAAAGCAGGGTTCAGCGATACCTAGCTAATAACACACTTCGTATTTAATTTTTAAATGTATAAAAATACATCTTCTTTTGTAACTCAGGGTTAGCCTGTGAGCCTCTTCCGTCTTTAGTCCACCGTTTTCTAGGACGACCAATGTCTCTACTTACTCGCGGATGAAAATTGAAATTCTTCTCATAATAATTTCTTTTAGCATCCTTTCTAATCGTGTTCTATCCTACTTTCTCTATGTGATTACGTTTTCACTTAACTGCAAATATGTCCAAATCATCTTTAATTTCGTCACATCCCATCCAAGATGCAGCTTATACAAACTTGTAAATAAGCATTTCAATTAAAAATTTCAAGTCATACGTGGGTCACATTGGCTGTAGAACATTATAGTAGTATACTAAACTTCAGTTACAATTTAGTACCATAGTCGAAATGTTTAATGTAAATTAGATCTGTTTATTCGATATGTAATTAATGTTTCGTGTGTGCAATATTAATTTCATTAATTATATTTTAAGTGAAAGCTGACAGGAAGAAGCGAGTTCGGAACATGGTTACATAATTACGGCTATTCTATCATGTGATGTCGGTATGTCTTGTTGCAATAAGGAAATATTCCTGCAGGCAAGACACGTTTATGTATCATATGGCACGTTTTATAAACCGCAAACATTTAACATATGACATATGGTAGTCTGAAGGTGGATTTTTCAACTCCTGGTGATCAGATTAAAGAAAGCCGACCAAATAATGCAACACGAATATCATCCTTCCTTTAAATGCACTTATATCTGAGTACAGAAATATTTGCTTCATAAATGAAGATTGAAAGCAACTATACTTTCTTTTCCAATCACCTAACGTCTTAAAAATACTTACATTTAGAACGTATAGACAACGTTTCAGTACACCATCACTTTATACACCAGCAAATATGGATGTGAAACTTGATCTTTCACCATGAGGAAAATCATCTAGAGTGAATGTACAGTGCGTTCACTGATAAAGTTAAACGCAACTGTCACTTCCTGGCTGCCGGCAGAAACTGCTAGAGAGGAGGTGAGTTTATTTCATTTTTTTATGGAGTCATACTTGACTCGTACCGAGAAAATCTTGTAGCTCTTGGCGGTGAATCACGCAGTTCAAATTTATCAGTGGATGGATTGTATTTGAGAGCAGGGAGCTGGGGAGAAAATCTGAGGTGATGCAACAGCAGAGCGATGGAAATTAAATAATGATGAGTTTCATAATTACACCAAATATTGTTAAGGTGATCAAACTGAAGAGGATGGAGACGATACGTGTAAAGCGCCTGGGGGAGATGAAAAATACATACAGAATTTTAGACGAAGCATCTGAAAGGAAGAGATTATTTCAAAATCCAAGGCGTACACCCAGATGGGAGGGCAGTACCATGAATATTTTGGAAAAAGCATGTGTGAGGGTGCAGACTGAACTCAATTCGCTTATGATGATATACAGAAGGTATCGGAAACCTGAGGATCGTGGGTTGACATGATAAAACTTAGTGGGAACTACAGGCTATGCACCAGAAATTATCCATTTTGTATTTATGGGTCTTACACGATTATCAGTGTAAAGGGGGATTATTGCCTTGAACATTAACACAACGGTCGTTGAATTGGTGGTACGGAGTGAATTCTTAAATATTATTTAGACGAGTGTGGTTGACTTCGGTTTCAAAGGGTCAAACTTTCTTATTGCAGGTCGAAGAGGGTGACGGCCCATTACACACAGATCATCAGCTGGAGACCCTTCGCAATGATATTGAAGAGAGGGACAAAATCATTGATAAACTGCAGCAGGCGGCAAGGGTAAGCAAACAAACGCAAAGTTTACAAATGCACACTTTGAGATTCTGCACTATTCACTGATTATTTATCTTCACAACATATTAAAAATGAAAGAGTTGTCTGTACTTAATTAAATATCAAGGCATGGATAAGTATAGGGGGATGGAGGTATAGCTCCACACACTCTTAATATCGACACTAGATGGACATGAGTGGCCAGCTTCAAGTTCCGACCATGTTTCTTCCGGGGACAAACCCTTCAGTCTATTGAACCGGGGGCGCCATCAGCACCAATACTGGTCTGAAGGCGACGGCGAGCAGAAAACCTTAACCCTGTCGGAAATCAAACCCTAGTCGCCGGTTCGTAACCATTCATGACTGGGCTGTCCCAATTTATGACCACAGGACAGGGTAGCGGCTGAGCCAAGAATCTGTCTGGACGTTTGCTGACAGTATATGAAACTATAGGGATATTAAACTGCATATGATCATTATATTACATAGGTAAAGCTCTTCAACAGTAGGAATATTTAATTGCACATATGCATAAAATGTCTTCCCTTGAATTCTGTTAAATGTACACAATATCGAAGGATTTTAAATAATAATAAAACAAACATTTAACTGAAAAAAAGGAAAGTAATTTGACCTACTCATATGTAGGCTAACTTATTTAACTTTGCAAAAACAGATTTTCAGCTGTAATGAATAAACTTAAGAGGTCGATGAGCTGTATAAAAACTTCAAGGAGGAAGTGCGGAATATACATATATAAAAAATCCAAGTCCCTTTGTACAATTCCTTCAATATTTTTTGATACTTCATTTCATGGGACCACTAATGATCGAAGCCTGCATACCATAAAAGTATTTTTTGGATTAATATAATACTGAAATTCTTTTTCTTTCAGGAGAAAAACAGAAGACTGGATCAGCTAACGAATAGACACAGAAAGGAACAGGCAAGGCAGTTTTACAGGGTGAGATACACTTCCGTTTTTACCGACAATTCCTGTACAGGCGACTCGTTATATGCGATTTTAGTCATCCGCGGTTGTCATGATGAGCGTCAATATCCTATCCGCGGCCAAGGCAGAAGCTCCCGCGCAGGACGACTGAGTTGTGAGCGCAATTTCACTGACTCGCCCCACAATTCTGATTCCAGGGACTACAAATTAAGACCTCTGTTGGTGTGTCACTCAGAAAATTCACCAGAATCTTATATGTTTACCGTTTTACGCGTTATCGTTATAGGCGGTGATTAGCAGAAACGCAACCCTCCCGCGTATAACGACAGTCGCCTGTAATGACGAGCCCGTTACACGTTCAACGTGTAAAGAATAAAAAATACGAGTTAATATTTTTGATGCAGCAGTTCATGGAACTGGAGCCCGTGGCTGAACTGGAGGAGGACTCCAGTGCTGAAGAAGACTCCCTCACGTCATCGGGTTCTCCCGTACCCTCGCCGAAGCCTTATCCTGGTGACATGTGGGCAGAAGTGAGTTTGCCTTCAGCAGTAACAATATGCTTTATGACTGCGCGCGCGAGAGAGAGAGAGCGCTGAGCATGTTCTCAGAGATGACGCTAGATGGCCGAACGTTCTGTTCACAATTGCAGCTATCGTTACGCAGTAGGGGTAAAGAAAAGAAGCAATGGTATAAGGGATGAAGATTCGAAACAAGCCATTCCCCGTCAGAGTTCAACGTGCCTTTCCACTAGTACTCGACTCGTACGATATGAGTACCAGGGCTGTGGAGTCTGTAAAAATGTACCGACTCCGACCTCGATATAAAATCTTAAGAACAATTTCTATACTGTGTGAGCCGCTGGCGGCCTCACGCTTAGGGAGATTCAACGACGATTTGAGCCACATGGTGTGGGAATAATGCTTTGTAACTTTGGCTCCGGTACCTTAAGAATACAAACTGTCTGGAATAACCATTAGACGTATATTTAAATGTAGGCTATAAGTCTAAAAAGTAGGCTGCAGATTCACGCGCTATTTATTAAATCTCTTACGGTGCCATTTACCATTTAATAGGTTTACTCTTATTAATACATATTGAGCTTTTATGAAGGAGTCTACGATTTTGGTACCGACTCCACAGCCCTGATAAGTACTATGGTTCGGAAACAGCGATTCACTAACTCCCAGAGACTGCCAAGGAGTAAAAGGATTACTGTGAAAGATCAATTAGGAACAACGTGGGCAGGAATGGTCAAGGCAGATTTCGAAGTAACGTTCAGTATTTGCAGGGAGATAGAAAAATACTTCGAAAAGCCAGGAACTAAGCCAAAACTGAAACTGAGGGCTTCTCAGAGTGCTTTATCAACCTGCTTAGTTATAAACACAGACTAAGTATACTGACCACCCCTGACATCTCAAGTGCTGATTCTGCCTTCTGTTCTGTAGACACCAGGTCTGAACCTCAGTAGTGGCATCTCTTAGTTTTCCTCAGTACATCCAATATAATACACAGACAAGGATGTAAAACAGACCACTATTACCTTTTGCCAAACATTTTCAATTTTTGTTTCATAAACATTCATTCAATGGCAAAAACCTCTGTGGTTGATGAAAATGTACAGTAAATCCCTCTTCATGGAAACCCTCTTCTGATGATATGAGATCACTTAGATGGCCATAGCATAGAAGGAGGATAATATTAAAACAAATCTTACACAGGTGTGAACTGGATTCATCTGGCTTAAAATATGGCCCTGTGATGGGCTCTTGTGAACACAACTGAACATTTATGTTTCATAAAAGGTCAGGATATCAAATGCCAAACAAATCTACACTGGAATGGGTCATTTCATCTGTCAGATATCTCATGTTAAATAATAATCTACCATGCATACTATCATTAATGCTTGTGATTAGCACTTATGACACAGACATGCATAAATGAGTCAGCTTATTCTCATCTCTATATTATTTCACAAAAATGCTGTAGTATGAAGCTGTACAGCTGATGATGGAGGCAGTATGACCTCTGAAACGTTGATTAACATCGACCAGACTACACAGCGCAACAACCCAGAAGACAGGAATCTTCATACTCACCGCTGTGAAAACCTCAAATCTTACATAGATTTTAAAATGTTTGCAGTTTTATCTACATGCATCCTTATATTAGTGTAACATGAGTTTTACAATTTCAGCTGACTGACAAACAGTATCACGATACACTGTATTCATGCCTGCTTAAGGAGCACCTGGAGCTCCAACGTGAGTACCAGTTCTTGCAGACTCGACTCAAGAGAGAACTCGCAGAGCCAAACAGAATTCGTTTGAGACTGGAGCATGAATTGGCTGCATCTAGAACTCGTGTTCGGAAGCTCAAGAGAATGCTTGCCGAAAAGGAAGGTACTCAGTTCTTACTTTACCCATATCTTCCTCCAGAATTCTTCCAAAATGTGGGCATATTGACATCCCATATTGTGTCAAAGTATCTGGAAGAAGAGGTATCTATCGTAGTGCAGGGTCGACACATAAACATTTCTGGTGAATTCAATTTCTGTTCTATTCACTGATAATTATGTAACTTTTTTCCAGAATGTATTCTTTGTGTATTGTTAATGAAACAGTTGTTCAAAAACCGTTCCAAATAAGAGTTTGAGGTTTTCACATGAATGTCTTCAGATTACGATTGTTTGGATTCCTGTGCCGTGTAGTATTGCGAGTATATATCAGTGCTTCGGAGAAATATGCTACCATTTTCAGGGTTGAAGTGTTATTATTTCCATAAAATATCTGGAAGAACATAAAGTAAATGGAGCATACATTTCCATTTCAATTCTCTATAATGCACATTAAAACTGTGAAAATATCATATTAAAGAAAAGTGCACATGGAAGGTTCTTGCAGAATTGTGTATTATTTTCCAGGGGGAGAGGCTGTACTGACAGAGAGAATAGCAGAGCTTGAAGCAGAAGCACACGACTTACACGAACAGAATGAACTCCTGGAATTCCGCATCCTTGAACTGGAGGAATGTCAAGAGAATGTAAGCCACATATTCAACTATAACAGTAGCTATAAGATGCTAACTCATTATATGCAATAGAACTTTTATTTAGAAGATAATAGTTCATCACAGTCAATAAATTCTCCATCTCTTATACAACCTGACGGTTCATTGCCATATTCACAGCAGCCTGCCACAGGACTGCATTCCAAGCCATAGGGATCCAGATCACAAACAACATATTTAAGATCAATTTTAAAATTATTCTCACATTAATGCCTAAATCTCCCAAGTGGTAACTTACATACATGTTACACCACCACTCATCATTTACTTCTGCTCTAAACGTATAGTGTACAAAATTAAGAACGATTCCCATTATTTGACACTTAAAAAATTCACAAAAGTCCATTAGAAAGTCTAAATATGGCTCTCATATTGGGTTTAAAAATGTGTTATCATCAAGAAAAACTGTGGATTACAGCCTAAGCTCTAGAGTTTTTAAATATGCTTTAATATTTATCACAAAATTTAAAAGAATTGGCTTCCTGTCTTCAACAAATGTATGAGGTCTGGTTGAATCTTGGTTAGCAAACAGCCTGTCCTGATGTACTTTCTAGAAGGCAAAAGCCGAGATAGTATAACTCCCTTTTTTATTTCCATTTCAGCTACAGAAATCGACATTTCATCTCATTCAATGCCAAGTAATCCTTGCAGTTAATACATCATTCTTAAACACACAAAAAACTAACTAACATTACTTCAATTTTATTTCATAGTACGAGTGAAGATACTTTATGATCTTGCTTGTTTATTATAGCACTTTCAAGTCATGTGATTATTCTTGAATCTAATAAATTGTAATGGTGCTGTGGCTGTTGCAGTCATCCGTAAGAAGTCATGGTCCAGACATGCGGGACGTGTGGACCGACACAGAAAATGATGATGTCAGTGACTCTGGCATCCAGTCCCTCCCATCCAGTGAAGACACCAGCAGTGACACTGACATCAGCATTCATGATGTTAAAACGGTGAGATCCAAGAGCCACCATGCCCAAACCCCTCCCAGAGAAACTCTCAGACTCAAAACTCTCTGCATGAACCAGAGTATTTAGGATCCTGTTAGTCGCTCAGCTAGTCAAGAAATTCAACTGAACATGAAACAGGTTATCATGGTTAATGAATATAAATATTAATAATGTCAAATTAATTTTATAAAATTTATGAGTCTTGTGTGCTTGTTCAGTATTTTCAGAACTTTAAAATATATCCCACTACTGAGATATGAGGTTATCATGGCAGTGATTACACAGTATGTTTCTCTGAAGTGTTGGTATCTACCTGCAAGTCCACATGGCATCACAACCCAGAACGACACCAATAATAATACAATTACTTCCATCTCAGGAGTTAACCCATTTGCCAAGTTTATATTGTTGATGGAGCAATTAAGGAAGTACAAAATGAGATGGCCTCCGGTGATACGAAGTTTCTTACTCAAAGTTACCAGAACATGTCCGATACAAATGGAAATAACAGCGTCAAAAGAAACTATTAAAAATGGTCTGGTAAAAGTGTCATTATGTAGGCCTGAAGGAACTGTTTGTAATGCAGGAAGTACGGAAGGAGGAACTAAAGGGCTGCCTACTTGAGATTGCCAACTCATCCTCCAGCATTGCAGATAGGTGTTGTCTGCAGCAAGTGTTGGCACTGCTGGAGAAGTATGAGATGTGCCTGGAAGAAGGGTCATCCAATGTGGCCATGCAGGACAGACCAAAGGGGGTAATCAAACATTATTGTATGTCAACTATACACCAAATATCACACTTCATGGATTTCCTAAGTCTCACCAAACAATTCCTGCCCAGTTCTTATTTACAACTTATTAACTGCCCATCTCATTTGATGCTACATAACTTACACAGGTAGAAACAGGTTATTAAGTAACCTAAGATACAACACACACAAATTCATTATGTTGTCATGAAACAAACTAACTCAATGTAGATGTCTGTATCACTCTGCCAGAATTCCGAACTGCATTCTAACAGAATCCTGCATCTTGTGTAACTGTCCAAATACATGGAGAAATGTCCTCCTTGAGAAGCTGACAGTGAGCCGGCCAATAAATTCCCAGTTTTATGGAACTAAGAAGTTCATTACCATGTTCACAAGAGCTTACTAAATGTCCCTATCTTGAGCCAGATTAATTCAGTCCACACCCTCATAACAAGATTCATTTTGACATTATCCTCCCACCCCAAATGTTTCAGTACTTACAAGTTTTCAGTCTCAATTTGTATTAATTTTTCATAGCTCCCATGCATATTACATGCCCAGCCCATCTCATCCACCTTAATTTCATCACCCTAATAATATATGGCAATGAATACAAATTGTGAAACTCGTCAGTATATGCCTTCATAAAACAAAGATGTGCCAGGTGGGAGTTTTGCTACTGAACAGCAACCAATAGCTACCTGGTTGTAAATTAACCTCCACGTTTCTTTTCAATTGAAAGTTCTTTGTTCACAGGGCAGAGCATTACAAAATCTGTCAGAGTCCATGGGCATCAATGATTCTTCAAAATTCACCAGTCGAATAATAGCTACAGTTCTCCCCTTCACCGATCATAGTGTTGATACAAACAAAGATATCAATGATGGAGAGAGAAATGAGATAAAGAAGCAACTTAAGAATGCTGAATGTTTGCAAGAGAGTGGAATCTTCGAAGAGGCTGAATATAACTGTCAGGGAACTCAGACAGACAGCGTTATTGCAGAACCTTTGATTGAAGAGTTCAAATCACCATTTGAGACTGGAGTTGTGGGAGACCTGTGTGCAGAGATCCAGAAGCTGAACGAATTCCGGGAGCGTGTGGAAGAGGCTAGCAACTGTTGTGGTAATAAGAGACTGCTCCGTGTGGGTGAAGTTCAGGGAGACCAACTGCCACCTGACACAAAAGAGCTGGAGTATTGTCGGGAACGACTACAACTACTGGAGGACAAGGTATGCCAAATTTGTATTTACACAAATAAAAACTTAAAAGCTAAACTCAAACAGGCATGTCATTTTTTTTTATACAGATCTATTATCACGGTTTAAAATACCTTCTCTTTCCAAAAAAGGATATGAGTTTCTTGATGAGTTGAGCAAATGTCAGATTCTCAAGGATGGGAGCTGGTAAGTGGTTTGTCATTAGTCATGCTTCTATCAGTTTTCACAAATATAACCTGTTCCATGTCCTATTTGGAAAGGGGTGGAAATGTCACTAATTTTCCTCAGGTAAAATTAAGTTTGGATGGAGTAGACTAAATCAGCCATAATGGCCTTGAGTGGCAATCCAGTGACAACAGAAACAAATTCCAATTTAGTCCAATTAGCTTGACTCAGATTCGCTCATTTCTCAGCTGGAATAGTTCCTTTAAATATACAACAATAATCTCTCACATGACTTCTGATTCACCATTCACTATTGTCCTGTAATAGCTCATAGGGCCTACAAAACCTGCAGATACAGCATAATGAAATAGTCAATCTAACTGAAACTTTAGAGTAATACGATCAGTTCTTTTTGTGCAAAAGACACTTTGAAGGATGGACAGACAGACATTTAAGGTCCATGTGTATGAGAGCAGTGTTTCGACAAGGTGATGGAAAGCTAAAACTAAAGACATTGTATGCTTTGTGTAGGTTCGTGTGTATGAAAGTAGTGGGGAAACACAGGCTCGCCTTCTTGCAGAGCGCCTGCAGAAGGAAGTTTGTCTCTCTGCTCAAGTAAAGGAACTCTCCACTAAAGTTCAACACCTCATAATGGAGAACAAGCGCCTAGAGGAAGAGAAGTGTGAGTTGGAGGAGGCCGAGAATGATGCACGGCTTAAGTGCCAGAAGTAAGGAATACCTCATTTCATGTACTACTAGTTACAGAAATCCTTCAGTTTACATTGTTAACACAAACAATTATCAGCTGATGAAAATAACTATTCCACATATTCAAAATAATGTGAGGATCTGCAAGCTGACCACCTTTCTCACCTAATGCCAAGTCAGTTAAAAATTTTCAACCCTTATTAAATTAATTTATGCCTTAGTATAGGCCTCTAATATTTCTGTAATGTGTTTCAAGGTCATTGATTTTGTCTTCAGATATTCCATTTCTCTGCTCCAGGAAGTTATGCTAGTTTCATGTCTGACATTGTTATAACTATCTACCTGTCCACAATTCCAACTTTCTCTGCCATCAGACTTGTTTACTGTGTTTGGGAAAATTTGCAGCATTTTGCACCTAACATATAAATTCCATTAGCATGTTAAATAACAAGCTCCATTTTATAACACTCGATGTCTCTGCACATCACATTGCTGTGCCTTACTTGAAACACATCAAATGAATTACAGAAATTATACTACTCAGATAGGTCCTGGACTTCTGTATGGGTATACTGCTCAAAAATAATGTATTTAGATTCTCAACTGGTGATGGTATCACAGCTTTTTAAATATGACAATGGGTTAAATTTCTGACAAATATGCAGGATTACTAATGCTCATTGTGTGCCGCAGGTTGGAAGTGAAGCTTGTTGCTCTGAACAAGAAGAAGTGTGACCTGCAGGAACAGCTGCAAGAAGAGCACAGAACCATAAACCATCTGAGGAACAAACTAACTGAGAGTGAACAGAAAATGCACGAATCCAAGAGTCAGGTGAACTACCTAGAAGTCATGTTGAACAAGTATGAACAAAGAAACTATGACCTGGAAGAGCATGAGGTGGACCTGAAGCATCGCTTGCAGATGCTTGAGAATTCAATGCCTTTACTTCTTATATGGAATATGTGGAAACTCATGCAAGTCACAGGAATTTCCTGCACTGACACCAATGCAGCAGTGACCAATGCTCTTGTGAAGGTTAAGGGTAGGAACCACCTTGGTGATAGACACAGAGACAGATCAAACAGTTCACTCAAGCTCTCAGTTGGAGAGTGTCCTCCTTGCCTAGACACACCAGAATCCTCCACACTTCAAGATAATGAACAGGAACAACAAAGAATCCTGATTGAAAAAAACAAAGAAGAAAAAATGTGGTGGGTGACTGAAGAACAGCTACAGTCTAGGCTTCAAGTCCTAGAAACACAGGCAGGATCTCTGAATGCAGCTATACACTGTTACAAAGAATCTGAAGAAAAATACAAGAAAAGAATTACAGAACTGGAGAATGAGCTTCATGCCATGAAGAGTGGATTGCAGGTCCCAGGTATCAATACTGCATCTGAATTGGCACCTAAGACGAAGATTGAGATCCAAATAAGCCAGAATCAATTGTCTAAGTGCCGGTCTGTATGTTGTGAGGAAATCGAGTGCATGAAGAAGCTGCAAGAACTAGTACAATCTGAAAATGACATGAAGGAACATATCAATCAGCTGGAGAAGGCCTACATGGAGACGCTACAGCAGGCAGACAAAATGTGGTCTGAGATGGAAAATTCGTTCAAGAGACGCATTTCTGATGCCGAACACAACGAGGCTGTGATGACTGAGAAGGTTAGAAAGTTAGAAGAGAGCGAGACAAAACTCCGACAGGCATTCCAGCACAATGAGGAGAATGAGATGCTGATGGAAAAAATCCAGAACATGGAGAAATGTGAGAAGAGGTCTGCAGAAAGAATTCACATCCTTGAAGCAGAAAAGCATCAACTTACTGAAGAAATAAATCACCTCCGTGAGGCACTCCAGTCTATGCAGATGGAACTGAACAAAACAAAAGAAATGGTAGCTGGACCACTGAAGGAAGAGCTCCTGAAGGAACGCAAGTTGTCTAGAAGCCTACACGATGAGATAAGCACAATGGAAAAAGAGTCACATGATAGATCAAATGCTCAACAGACACAGGTGGGTTCACATTGCAATGTATGTGTTTGCATCATTGAAGCTAAAGAAGCATATACATGTTGCACTTCAAGAACAGGGAAATTGACACAGCATGATTTCTTATATACTCTTTGTTATACACTGCACACACTTTAAATGAATGTGTGTGAATCAAGTTCGTAAATTGGTGAAGAGATGACAAAAGAAAGTATCTCACAAGCATGACATAACTGGTGTAGAGCTCTCTAGTACAGTAGCTACCAAATCCTTAATCACCACACAATTTCACTTTATTTTCATGTATATCATTTAAGTCAGGTGGTTCCCAAAAAGTATGAATGCTTTCAATTTTGAGATAGAGAAGACTTTCTGAAGTTCTGTACAGTAACTAGGAACAGCTATGTACAATGCCTTCTGAGGACAACTGAGATGGGTTGGTCCTTATGCTTGAGACTAATTGGCTTAGATTAAGGTACTCCCACAGGCATGTTATTGAGCAACCTGATATAGTATGAGTCACTGTTCCAAGTAGAAATCTATTTATCAATACCTTGCCTGTTCTGTAATCTTTTAAATTCTTAAAATATGCTTTGCAAAATTTTAATAAAATCTGGCAATAAACAGAGATCCCAAATAATGATATGTAATTTAAATTATACAATACTTTGATTTGAAAACTGTGTAACAAAACCTAGATGAAATGCAAGAATAATTTTAGAATAATTGTCCAGAAGTAGGTTGTGAGGGTGTAATTGGTTTGGCATGTTTCAGGATAAAATCTAATGGCAGGCTTTTGTTATAATGATTATGAACTTTTAAGCTCTACAATAATAAGAGATTCCTTCCTCAGTTGCCACTTATGGAACAGTTTCCATTGAGTTACTTTCTCATTTAGGTAGGTAGGTTGTTAATTAACAAGTTACCCAGCCAATTAGGTAATTAAGCAATACAGTTTTGAGCTAGTCATCCAGTCAGCTGTTTAGTTAGACGGTCAGTAAGTCACTTTATTAGACATCCAAACAAGTAGTCAGTCATCCAGAAATTCAGTTAGTAATTCAATAAGCTAGTCAGTTAAGCAGCTTTTGACACAGCCAATCAGTGAGATATTCAGTAAGTTAGTCACAAGCAAGCCAGTCCATCGGAGAGCTAGTTGGTCAATAGTTTAGTCTGCAAGTTATTCAGTTTATTAAATGTATCTTACTGTGGGGTCCTGCACCAGTTTGGTGCACAAATTCAGTTGCATAAGATAATTCATACATGTACATAAATGTATTTAATTCAGATAAATTGCCTGAAAGTACAACTGAGCAAGACATCCCGAGATCTGGTAGACTTGGAGTGTACCAATGGTGAGCTGAAGGAAGAAGTGGAGACGTTAGAGGTCAGTCATTCAAGTAGCTTTTATCAAATTATTGCAAGCTACACATACTGTATATTGCATATCACAGCATTAACAACTTGCCTTACATTCCGGACACTGAGGCTAATCAATTTGAAAGTTGTTTAATGACTCTACATCAATAGTGGTGATTACTTATTGTCAACCCAGCCATTATGATAGTAAATGCAAGTTTAAAATGTTTTGTGTTGAAAATGTAGGCAGAAGTCATGACGAATAACAATGCTAAAGCAAATGTTAAGATGCTCAGCTGTGTGAGTTTGACACTTTTTTAAACATATAAAATTCTGTGTTACAGTAATTTTTGTTTTCTACCCTTCTAAGTGACAAATGATAATAGCACCCATTTCAATTTTTATAACAATATTATAAACTCTAATCACCTTTCATTATTTTGTCATGATATTCTGATGAATTTGTACCAGTGTTACATTTGTTATGAACCCTTGCACAGTAACTGAACAGTAATGCTGACATGAACTAATCAACATTACTTACCTTCATAAGATATCAGTGACTGTCAGCATGTAGTCTGTAAACGTTCCTGTGTTCTCTTAATTTTAGGGCAAATTCAACAAAGTCCCACTATTATGTCCAATACAGTTCATTCCTGATTAATAATTCATCCAGTGCTATTATTATTATCTTTGGTTACAACTCTACTGTATCTAAGATAATGAAGTATAAAATGATGATTTTTGTTCTGCTTGTTACCTTCATACACAAAAAAGCTGAATGTGCTTCATAGTGATCTATATTTCAGGCTAAAGTATCAGAACTGAAGGGCATTATTGAACAACAAAAGCAGAATGAAGAAAAGTTAATCATACAAATGTCTCAAACAATCCTAAACAAAGAACAAGAACTGGAGGAAACAAGGCGGGAAATGAGATTCTCGTTAACTCCTAACGCCCAGAAGGAACTGAATGATGTGGATAACTGTGTCCTGCAGAACAACGGAGTGGATGCAGTGAAGAAAGAAGAAATCCTTACACCAGCAGAGATGGTACAAAATGTAAGAATTGATTCTGCATTCATTTTCATCCCAACAAGCTTGTGTTTCCAAGATATTCAAACTGATGACTGTATTATCTCTCAAAGGCAAATACAATTTTCAACAAACATATGCATATAATTTAAAATTCAATATTCATTAATCATCCTATTATCTGACACTACATAAGTCTGGGCTAATGACAGCACTGTTAATTAAAACAAATAAAATAAACTGAATAATTTTACAGATGCCTACTCTAACACCAGAAGAGGCCCATCACGAAGCAGTACAACCACAAGACAGCCTTTCACCTGAAACAGAGTATTCTTCAAAACAGGTAGTGCATATCAGACATTTTAATTGGTGAGTGGAAAAGGGGAATATCTTCATCTGTTTACAGTATTAATAGGAGACAGGCAAGCTACATCTTTTGAGAGAGAGGGAGAACAACTGAAATATTATTGAAATTTGGGCTTAAAGTACTTGCTGAGCGGAATAAGGAAGTTACTCCTAGAGTAGTTTCTTTTTGTATACAGCAAAGCTTTAGGTACATCTCAGATATAAGACAAAATTATTCAAAATCTTGCAATACTAAAACTCACTGGTTAACAGCAAACTTTCTTGTTATTTATAACTCTGTTCAGTGGGAAAGCCTATAATGTAATTCTGTATTTCATGAAAGAGGAAATGTTAAGTATTGGATCATTGATGAGGTTGTCAAATAAAATCCAGTACTACTTTGAAAAATATATTAAACAATATATATATATAATTTGTTGTGTATGTAAGTACAGTGAACAAAGACATATAACTTTTCCAAAAGATATAAACCCTACTCACATTTACAAATGATGTATGAATATTGAACTTGTAGAAGACACAAACACATCTCCAATGATGGTTGTAGGACATACCTCTTCAAAGACTATTTATTATCAAAGTTAAAAATGTATGCAGTTTTACATCCATTCCTCCATACATCTGAATGGAGTAATGCTTAAGAACAGTGGCAACTTTGTTTCATGCATGTTTTCACACAGTACAACCTATGATGTACTAGTACACCATACATTCCAGATGGTGAGAGGGAGGGTGCTTGAATACTTGTCTCTGTTTCAGATCTTTGTCAATGGTTCTTTGGCACACAGGGTTTGCAGTCCATCCCTCAACAAGGCTATTTTGCAGCGCCCAGACTTCAGCTACAAGGTTGAGATCACAATGTATGTGCTTACTCCCCAAGGACACTGTTCTGAGCCAGCCTCTATCATCTTTCAGGAACCCGAAAACAAGAATGATATCAGGAACATGAAGTACGACTGACAGCCCCTGGATTTCACCACAAGCACGAGATGTTTCTGACAAATCTAGTCCACTACAAATAATTCCATTTTATCGACTATTAAAACATAACAAGTGTAGATGTCCACGTTTTCTACATACATTTCAACGAATGTGTCAGCTTTCGATCCTACATTAGATATGTGTGATGACTAAAACACAAACTAGAACACATCAATATGCTCTGTGCACATGTGTGTGTATGTGAGATACAACATTAAATATAAATTTCTAAACATATCAGTTAGTTCTAATGTCAGATACCGTCAGCAGTTATATTTCAGAGTTCAGCTGTATATCATTGCCTGGTAAGACCAGTAACTTAACACTTTTGTGCCACATTATTTTTATATTAATTATAATTAGATTTTTATAATAAAGTTACAGTTTAACCAAAAACTGTATTAGTGTCATTGTCTGTCTCCTTTTCTCACCACCTTAATTTGGGAAATGCTTGCTACTACTCACTTTTCCCATCTAAAACAAACTATAATTTTACATGCTTCTTTTATATCAGAGTGAATCTTCGTCTCTGACACTAATAATAAGGGAAGGACATGGACTGAGGATGTCTGAAAACAGGATAGCCTAATATTTGGAACCAAGTACAAGAGACACTGTAGCGATGACAGATGAACCACACAAAAATGTCCATCTTCAAAAGCCAGAATGATAAATCTTTTAAACTACACATAAAATAAATTCTCCATGGTTCTATTCTTCAACAAATGCCACATTCTAACCTTCAACTCTCAGGACAATATTCCTCATAGACATTTTTCAGTTTGAAATTTCAGGTTCTGACAGGGACAAGTAGAAAGGCAGTTGTCTTCTGGGTTGCTGCAACGTGTAATCTGGTAGATCATCAGGCAGATTCCTACTCACCACCCTGATGGAGGCAGCAAGCACCTCTTAATCGTCAGAACTCATACCAGACTACAAGTTGCAACATCCCAGAAGACAGCTATCTTCATTTTTTTCACTGTGATCCTCTCCTCCCATTTCTTCCAGGTTTGCTTTATCCTGAGATGGTACAGAGTGACTGGCAGATAAACAAGTCTGTATAAACTGTGATGTTATGGAGCTTTGAAGGAAATGATAAAGTGGTTATGTATGGTGATTTGGAAGGAGAGGGGAGCCAATTCAAGCAGTGGCCTTCAATACACAATACAAAGATTTCACTTTTAATCTGCAATATGCCAAATATGAATTCTACAACACATGAGAAATGTGGCATATCAAATAGCTGTACAATCTGCATAGACATAAACGTTTCATATCATACGAAACAGAAGAATATAAAGTATAACTTACAAAAATGCAGACAGCAACAGCATATAGATACAACACATACTATTTTAATTAAGTACCTATGCCATGAAATAATATTTTTGTAGAATATTTGAAGAAATAAGAAAGTGAAAAAGTGATGTACGAGGCGCGTCCACAAAGTAAGTTTCCCACTCGTCCCACAGCTAGCAAACCTTATAATGCGCGAAGCGACTGTGCGTACGTGATAGAGCAATGACGTAGCATGGCGCATGCACTAACGGCACTTCCCGCGTTCTCACAGTAGCATCGTTGCAGCTGTTGAAGATGGAGGTTCTTATTCCAGCTCCCGCCGACTGTGAAGTGCGGTCAGTGATAACGCTAGGCCGCACACGGCTCGACGGACAGCGAGTCTCCTGCAGGAGTTCAGCTGGGAGGTGTTTGATCATTCACCCTACAGCCCGGACCTCGCTCCCAGTCATTTCCATCTTTTCCTACACCTCAAGAAATTCCTGTCCGGTCAGCGTCAGCGTTTTGAGAATGACAGAGAGGCGGAGATGGTTGTCACACAGTGGTTCCAATCCCAGGCGGCAGACTTCTACGACACAGGTATTCCAAAGTTGGTCCCACGGTATGACAAATGTCTCAATTCCGGTGGCGAATGTGTTGAAAAATAGCTGGACACTTGCTGTATCTGTTGCAATAAATATTTCCATGAAATTGTGTTTTGTTTCTGTAAACGGCCCCAGGGAAACTTACTTTGTGGACGAGCCTCGTATATATCTTTAAGTCATGAAATTACAGAACTTCATGTATACAAGAGTTCTGCTTTAACGCAATTTTTACTTTGTTATAATTGCCAAATAAATACTTGGATGTCATTTTGTGGTCTCATTTAAAGCGCATACAGTGCAAAAACAAAATGTTACTCTTGTCTAATAAGTATTTAAATCTTGAGAAGGTTAGATTCATAGCAGCAAGATCCCCATCAGGATACCAGATTAAATGCGGGCATTTAGTAAACTAATAGGTTTTAAGCATGATGCATAATTACATCATAGCAAAGTATTCTGCAAGCAGATCACAGTCATTCAGCCAATAAATTCCTGTTATGAAACCAAATGGTTCACAACAGCCTGCCACTGGACCCTATTCTAAGCCAGTTACTCCAGTTCACATCATCGTAATCTATTTATTCCACATCCTTAATAAATTATTCTGTCACATCCAGATCTCCCAAATTCTTATGTAACATCCTTACTGTTTGTTGAAAACACAGATATGCAAGTAGAATGAAGCTTTAAAGTTTGTATTCAATGACATTCCAATACTGAAAGTGTAGGTTAAGTATAAAAATAGATTACTAATTTACATAATTTATAATTTGTATGTTTGGCTCCATTCATATAGAAGCATTTAAAAGAAAGTAATCTTTGCAAATTCTTCACAGAACTTCTTGTTTATATAGACAAAACCCGCTTTCAGGGTCTCTGTTGTGATCCTCCATTTCTCATCTATCACACTTACATATGCCTTTGGTGTTTCAATGAATAATTTTGGAATGTATGTCTCGGCAGCCAAGGACTACAAACTACATCACAATCACCACAAACTATTGAGGTGATGTATAAAGTTACACTACTCAAAATTGGTAGGCCCATTGTACTGGGAGTAATAATCCATAACATATATGTGTTTTGCTTCTAACAGTATATAATTCTGCCTCATTCTATTAAACTCAGAATAAATAACAGAAAACACGAAAGCTGGTAAAAACTCCTCAGATAATCCAAACTTCAGATAAAAATTTAATTTTAAGAAAGAGATTAATGTTGAGTGAGAGTTTAGTGGGAACTCCACTTCAAGAAACTTAACATGACCATAAAACACAGTGCTTTTTTGTTCAAAATTTTGTTGAAGAACCAGAAAAACTACAAACCACTGTTATACTTTTTATGGTACAGAGAAGGAAATCATTGGCACAATACCAAATATTACACTTTCCTTTAAAAGAATAAAAGCAGGACAATCTTAAAGTTGCCTAAATTTTAAAATTCATAGAAAATGTAATACTGCAAAAAAAAAAACCGGACTATTTAAAACCTATAAAACTGACAAAGTTCAAACAGACTCACAAGTAAAAGGTGAATAAATCAAGCAAGTATAACAAAGATGGCTGTCTTCTGGGTTGTAGTGCCATGTAATCTGGCAGAACCCAGTGTACTCAGCTCTGTGAGAATCAAATCCTATCAAGCAAATACACATTTTGATCCACTTATTTGGGAAAAGAGAGGCATAAGGTAAATTGGTGCTTTACCTTGTATGAAACACTGTTAGTTGCCCCCGCTCATGACAAGGAGAGCACGCTCCACTTCAGCTATGGAAGGATGCCTGGTATGAGAATTTGGAGGAGTTTGTGTTCCTAACACCTGGACCTTGTGTTTGGATGAAGGAATACTACCAAGGTCCAGGGCATCTGCTACCTCCTCAGGGGACATTGCACCTGGTTGGTCCTGAAAAGATTAAACACCTGATCAGATAACAAAATTTATGGGTCCAACATCATAAAAGCAGCTTTCTATTAACAATTCTGTCTTCATCGTGTTACAATTGAAGAGGTTTTCTAGATCCTGTCAGACAAATGATAGGACACCTTACACTGTGCGTCAGACTATCACAAGGCAGCAAAGAAAAACACACCAGCCCCAAGATGATTTCAAATTTATGATCACAATATTTGTGCTGTCCAAGACAATGAAGACACTGGTACCAGCATTGTAACTATTACTGACATGAATTGTCAGCCATTTTGATTGAATGTAACACAATATATGCACATAATATTTCAGTAATATTAAAGCATAAATGCATAAGCAATTTGGTTAACAAATCCATCTCTTGTGTAAATAATCATCAAATTTTTTGCATCAGAAGTAACAGTTTCATAAAATTTAGTATAAAAAGTCATAGTAATGCAATTATCTTACTTCCTCTGCAAGACTAATAACAGCAAATCAGGCATTAGAATGTGTATTCTAGTTACAATGTTGTCAATGCAATGTTATATTAATAATTAAATAAAATCTGTTTCTGAGGACTTACCTGCTTGTTAGCTAATACTAAAATTGGAACTCTAGTGAGTCTGTCATCTCCCAGCAAAGTTTTAACTTCTTTAACTGCCAAAGACAAGTTATGAAGATCTGAAGCATCCACCACAAACACCAGCAGGTCCGTGTCTTGCATAAAATTTCCCCAATACTTCCGCACACTTTCACTACCACCAACTGTATGAGACATAGTTGCAGAGATTATTAGGTTCCGAAAATGACATTGGTGCTTAAATCGATATATTAAAAAGCATTAATACACATAAAACCAAAATGAACACTCACTTTCCCAAATGTTGATTGATATGCCTCCATTGTGTAGACAAGTTACATTGAAACCTTCAGTAGGCTTCACATCATTACTTTTAAGTGTTCCAGATGTCACTTGGGCAAAGATTGTACTTTTCCCAGCATTCTCCAAACCAAGTACAAGAATTCGCCTTTCAGGACTCTCTTCCAACTACGACATGATAAAAATGACAAACGTTGGTAACAAAATATGGTCTCGAAATGTTAACAAAAGCAAACAACTGTGACAAGTACATTCTGAATCTAATGCACTCCATTCAAATGAATTCGAAGAGAATACACAAGCAATTAACTGTTCGGGAAATAATAATGTCGGTAACAACCACATAATTAACGATAATGATATAATGCATACACCATAGAAAAGCATGTACAGTGTTATGACAAGTGCAGGTTAATGTACTTTCAAATAACTTACTTTGGAAACATCTTCAAATCCTTCATCAATACTTTTCGATTCTCTTCTCTTCCAATATCGGAACGCTGCATAAGCACAAGCCGTTATTGCAATACCAGATCCAAATATCACTAAAGACTTAGCAACCTTACCAGACCAGCTGGCTTCCATTGCGTTCTTTACGTAGTAGCAATAGGATTGTTTTGGTCTCATAAATTTTCTCTCGCTTCGATGGTAGCACTGTGTAATACATAGTGTGACATTCAATTGTTACCCGTTGTTTATATTGTTACCCGTTGTTTATATTGGACCAATAGCAAATGAAATCCGAATTAATTACCCCAGAATATTAATTTAAATCTTTATACAAGGACCGAAATGACAATACATTTAACATTTTAGAATACTGTTGTACTATTGTGGTATAAATAAAACACCATTTAACGAGTGGGTGCTGCCATCTCCTAGATGGACATGTAAGCATATCTGACGTGAGAGTCGTGAAATTTAAACATGTGGCGAAAATGAAGCGCAGTTTTGACAGCAGATTTTAAATTTATTAAATGCACCTAAAATGCAGTGCCTGTGAGAAAATGCCTTGCATGTAAAAGTAACATACTTAAATTGCGCCAAGTGACTATTTAAGATTGTGTTCCGAAGGACAACAGTATTACAAAATAAATCATGAACTTTTCACCCGGAACGGCCACACTTCTTGAAGAACTGGATAGTGTGTAATATTCTATAAACTTACTGAAGTGTATTATGTTGTAAACTTTGTTGTAATTATTATAAACCTGGCGTTTTGAGTGTAAAATACGTTAATGTTTTAGATGAAAGTTAATGTTTGCAATTTTACTTTCAGAAAAACTGATGGTACTTCTTCGAGATGGAAGAACGTTAATTGGCTATCTTCGTAGTGTAGACCAGTTTGCGAACTTGGTGCTGCATCGCACAATTGAAAGAATCTATGTTGGAAAGGAGTATGGTGATATACCTCGAGGAGTCTTCATTGTACGAGGAGAAAATGTTGTGTTGTTAGGTGAAATTGTGAGTCATTAAAATGTATTTAATTACAAACTCATATTCACATTTAACCTTTCTCCTGGATATTATTCAATTTTGGGTAGACTCTAAATAAAATTATTCAAAGTTAAGATGTGCTGTACAAGTATATTATGGAATTTGCAGTCATTTGGCCACAGGTAGCTTGCAAGATGTGGGTTACTAGTTTACATAAATCAGGTATGCATGATTAGTTAGTAGATACTGATTTATATGTAGGGAACTACTGTAGAGTTTCTTAGCAGAGGTAGTTTGTCACTAGTCAGTACAGGAAAAAGATGACTCAAATACTAACAATTTCTGGCTGTGATTATATTACACTTTTTTTTTTTTTTTTTGCAAGCCTTGTGGGACTTGGATGCCTTCACTTTAGAATTTATTTCTTCAAACCTAGTGACTATCATTGCATCCCAGTCAGCAAACTGTTGCACTTTATTGAAGGTTGCTGATAGTATAAATGATGGTGACAATGCAATCATGATTGGTTGTGATGTAAGTCTGCTCAGATACCAATCCTGTTTTATTTTATTGTGTCAATTCCTTTTCAATCTGTATATCTCACTTTCAGGATAAAGATAAAGAAGGAGACCTTCCTCTTCAGCAGGTCTCAGTAGATGATATTTTGGATGCCCAAAGAAGAGAACAAGAAGCAAAGCAAGACCAGGAAAAGCTTTTAGTAAAGGCTTTGAAAGAAAGGGGGCTTCATTATATACCTGATCTTAGCCATGATGATATGTTCTAATGCAGTACAAACTGAAAACCTTATCAGATGAAATTTAAGTATGGAACTAAAGTGATTACCAATTTATTTTTCTTTAGAATGAGAGAAATTTCATTTTCAAAACAGCATATTGAGGATACGAGACAAAAATATGCTGGAAATTTTTCTGGTTTTGTTTTTTTTCCATTTTTTTTTTTTTTTTTTGCAAGCCTTGTGGGACTTGGATGCCTTCACTTTAGAATTTATTTCTTCAAACCTAGTGACTATCATTGCATCCCAGTCAGCAAACTGTTGCACTTTATTGAAGGTTGCTGATAGTATAAATGATGGTGACAATGCAATCATGATTGGTTGTGATGTAAGTCTGCTCAGATACCAATCCTGTTTTATTTTATTGTGTCAATTCCTTTTCAATCTGTATATCTCACTTTCAGGATAAAGATAAAGAAGGAGACCTTCCTCTTCAGCAGGTCTCAGTAGATGATATTTTGGATGCCCAAAGAAGAGAACAAGAAGCAAAGCAAGACCAGGAAAAGCTTTTAGTAAAGGCTTTGAAAGAAAGGGGGCTTCATTATATACCTGATCTTAGCCATGATGATATGTTCTAATGCAGTACAAACTGAAAACCTTATCAGATGAAATTTAAGTATGGAACTAAAGTGATTACCAATTTATTTTTCTTTAGAATGAGAGAAATTTCATTTTCAAAACAGCATATTGAGGATACGAGACAAAAATATGCTGGAAATTTCAGGGTTGTCACTGCTTTTGTTTTCTTAAAAACCTTATTGTTTTTCAGAAAATATATTTGTATAAGTGGTGAATGGGAATATAAAATAAATGAAAATAAAGTTTTTTTTATTAACTTACTGTTCATGTATTCCAAGCCATTTAGTTTTATCAGGGTCATTTTGTCATATTGCCATTTTAAATGCATTTTTCAAGTGTTATACTTTCAACCCCAGCATTTACACATCATTCATGTTCAACTGATATAAATTTAATTGGGATTACAAAAAGAAATAATTCAGTTACACCATCCTATCATGTATTTAAATGGTTTTATAATAACAAATAGTGATTCTGTATAGTTTTCATACAGTGACAGTATAATTTATAAGTGTCATCAGTAGCATGGGCAATGGGAAAGATTTTTACAAGAAATTAATGTAGTCCAAAGAAATATTTCAATCAAAAATATTGACATTGTAGCAGATGCCATTAACACACATTTACCAGCTTGAATAGCAAGAGAAAAATGACAAGATCTGAGGATGCAGTTCCTTAAAACTGATAATGCACTTTGTAAGTTTACAAGTCATCAATCTGAATGGAATAAATAGTTTATTAAACTTAAAATTTGCTAGTAATTAATGGATTAATATTTAAAATAGGATCTAACCTCACTTCCCACTCCCTTTGTCTATACATCACCAGTGCTAGACAATGGATATAAACTAAGAAATCACAAAGTATGACTGCTAGTTTACAACCTGTTATTTCATATTGCCTGTTTTCTAGCAAAACTACTACTTCAGCTTTACACGTTATTGTGTAAAAATATTTCTGCACATTTTTAGAAATACTGTGTCATTTCCTCAAATTTTAGGAAGTTCCCCCCTTTAGCCTAGCACTAGTGAAATGTCAGAGGTAAAAGGAGAAAAACAGGTTGGTGTTCAAGTTTTGGTTGTAACTCAAGAAGACAGTTATGTCAGTATAACTGTTGTATCTAGAACAGAGGAAAGTCCACTATCAAAATCAAGGTTAAGTTAATGTGCAGTATTAATGTTTTGATTTCATTTCTGTAATATTTTGGCAGTCACATCAAACCATTGCAGTTTAGTTAACATGTATTAACCAATCTAATGGCAAGAGATTTCTAGCATCAGAAGTAAAGGCACATTTGTTAACATAAAATTACATAGGACACTTTAATGTGGAATAAAAACAAATAGCAAACCAGTACTACTAAAAATATTAGTACTCTATATTTCACAGTAGCATATGCCAGTACCTCTGAAATTTTAATGGCACCTTATTTAATAAAATATACTGTCAAGTCTTGTCAGAGGGAAGTTTCATATATTATGTTTTTACTAAATTCTTCTGAGTCTGATATTAAAGCTGCTTTAGAAGTTACTTGACATATCTTCCCATCGTCATCACTTCTACTACAATACTGCAAATTAGTCTCGTGTACTCTGGGTGTCTCCTTTACCAACTGTTCCTTCAATACTGTTCCTGAGTTTCTGCTGCCATCACAGCAACTGCCATACATATCATTTACCTGTTCATCAGTCACACCACAAATGGATGGCTGGTTACCATCAAGGCAGTATAACAGAGATGTACTAAGTGTTTCTCTTTCCAGAATCTTTTCCTCATCATCGCTTTCTGAAGTATCAAAGTCTCCTGTTCTACTTGAAAAGCTTAGATCTACTGGGCTTGTGGTAAGTACACTGCGGTTCAGGAGATATGATCTGAATGTGCTTGTCAGTGAACCACTGTCATTAGGCATGTATTTGCTTGAAGCAGAACATATCTCTTCAGTCTTAAAATCCTCATTTTCTCCGTCTTCTACCAGTGCCTGGATATGTATGGCATCATTGCCTAAGGTTTTGACTGAAACATATTCCATACTATAACTAGTATTGCAGCTACCCATTTGGCAATCTTCTTTGTTATGTACAGTCTCCTTGTCTTCTGCAATAGAGTTGTAACTACCACCATTCCCTTCCTGGCAAGAATGTTTTTGTCTAGTCCCCAATGTACTAATGTTTGCCAAATGACACAGGTTTGACCCTGATAACAGAACTACAGGCTTTCTACATCGGGGTGTCATCATCGTTTCCTGCAAAAGAAAGTGAAACACATAAGCATCCAGACAGACTTAACCTTTACTGTCTAAGTGACACAGCTGTAAAATAAGGTAAAAAGCAAACATACTGGAGAGCAGAGCTCATAAAAATGTTTAAATTACTTTTAATGTATGAATAAACAGCTCAATGAAGTAACAAATATTGCCTACTTTCCTTTAAGGAAAGTCCCCTTTAAACTTTTAAACTAATCTTCACAAATATAATGAATTCTTCTCGGGCTTACCAGGCATGTAAGGTGGTTTAATGGAGAAAACACCAATGCTTCATCCTTGTCATCAGAGTACTGAACTTCAGTACCCTGAGGATGAGGATGGCTCTCGAAACAGTGTAAAACAATACAGAAGCTGCATGCGGTCTGTATTTTGCTTTAATTTTGATAGAGATAAGTAATGAACCATTATAACTAGGCAAACAGGCAGATCATAAACATACTTATAAATTCTATATGAAATATTGTTTATAGGTTAATAAAAACATGATGGGGTTATGTCTAACAAATGTAATGGTGACAGAATCTGCACTTACATAAGAATTGTAGGACTACAAGTTTGTTCAGTAGGGATATAGGCTTTAAGATTTCTGCCTACAACTCTGTTTTTACAAGTTTCTACATGTGTACCTATCTGAGTACATGAGTTGAGATGGCTGTAGGAATTTATTCAGTTGATTATAATATTTCATTTTTTGTGTCAGCTACAACTCAGCTGAAAACCTTGTCACTTTATGGGTAGCTGGAAATAAGCTGTCAGTCACTCAAGTGCAATGTGGAGTTAGTTTTTGGGATAAAATTGATTTTGATTCAAAGTCCATACCACATACACTGAGAAATTTACTGTTTCTGGCTCCAACATTCCAATCTGTAAAATTGTATCCAGCACTATTAAAACTAACATTCCGAACATCCTTTTCCACATTTAAATAACTATATGAAGTTTCATTAAAATTTTAGTGGAATGGTCAGAAATAAGATCTATAACAGGAATATCACTGAACACTTATTAGAAATTACTGCAGCAATTCGTTAGAGACTAATGAATTAAACATATTTTCATAAATAGTTTTCTACTTTTCTTTTATCTTTTGCAGGCATTTTTCCCTACCAGAGTGAACAAGACACACATACATGCTTAGGAAACAAAGAACACTAGACATAACAGAGACATGCTTACCTGCATGGCTTTGGACATTTTCTGTGTTGATCTGGTAATGGGCGACATAGAATTACTTTCATCAGCTATTGGGGTAAGCAAGCAGCTGCTTTGGTTAGCATCAAATGGGCCTCTAGTACTGCAGGGAACTCTCAATCGGGACTGAGATGCTGGCGTACTTGTAGTCAGGAAACCAGTCAGAGCATTCCGAGGAGTTAATCTAATGTTAGTGTGTCCCAGAGGAGGTGAAGGGGAGAAGAAGCCAGGCAAAGCAGTTTGACAGTCAACAGAAAAATCACATGAGGCTGGCAAAGCAGCAGCAGTAGCAGAAGGATTACTCACAGGCCATATGTCTGTACCTTGGTTCTCGGCTAATGACTGGCAAGGTGTGGATGGAGTACAGGATGAGGAAGGCAGGTTGAGGTCTGCAGAACAGCAAGAAGCCTTGGGAGGTGAGATGCCATTCTCACATGATGACTCAAAACTGGTGGTTGATACTCTCTTCCTTGAATCTAAAATGGAACCAGAAAAGAGTTCATTTTTCTTGTCATCATGATGGTTTGCAGCAATCTGGCTTGCCAGTTTTTGCAGAATTTCTTCTGTGGCAGTAGTTTCAGTTCCGTGAACTATGTCTTTGTTGTTGGAGGAATCGGAATGCCTTTCAGGCTTGGAGTTGTTAAGCATAGTATATTGGAGCTGAAGAGGAACACAATTGGTACTACTTATAAGTGACTTGTGCAACCTTGACATCTCATCTTGCCCAACATAAGAATGTGAGTCTTCTTCCATGCTCTTCTGAAATAGCTTCATACAGGTTCCTGACTTCTGTAATTGAAAAATGTAACATACAGGAATACAAATGTAAAGTTTCCAAACAATTTTAAACCATAACATTTTTTTCAGTAAGGTAAATTTAGTACATACATTTATCATTTCCTGGCTTAGAGAACGTGACCCATTAAATTGACTTTGAGTATTATTACTCTTTTGCTGCTTTGTTCCTTTGTGGAAAATGTGCTTCTGCAACAAAAAGAATTAATTAAACACAACAATAATAAAAATAAAGTTATTCCTGCTCACAGGTACAGCTCTGTATGCCCCCCATCTCATGAAAACATGTAAGAGAAGTGTGACCTTCACTATCTAACCTAAGGAATGACTATAATATAATTATGTACTGTTAAACCACTAAGCATCTAGGGAAGCAACAAAATATATTTAAAGGAAGAAGTACAGAATACCAGAAACAGATAACTGTTTGCTTCCATTCATTTAATTACACAGTATTCTACAGCTTATTTCCTTCTCAGTTTCCAACTAGTAGTTAAAGGAGCAAAATGCTGAAACTTTCGATCTACAAACTGTGTGACTGTGTTACTGATGCGTTTATTTCACTTTGGCCTATAAAGCAGTTACGGTTGCATTATTTAAATACAGAAAATAAAATGACACCTTCCACAGACATCATCTGAAAATAGCTTTCCCCTGACAAAGGGATATTATTTTGTTACTCAAGTATTACACAATTTTTAAACTGAAATGTTGTCCTACTTTAATGGAATCCCCAAGACTTTTGCTCCTCAGATGATTCTTCCTTCTGATGTTGACCTGTAGTGGTGTGCCCTGGCCATTTTCCTTGTTAAACTGTTTGATGAGTTTCTTTTTCTTAGAAGACTCAGGCAAAGACTGGATATGTGCATATAGCTGTGCTAAAGCAGCCTCTGTTGGGTTGACAACATGTGCCAGGGCTGTACGCTCCCGATCCACAAAAGTGAATATTGTGTTAGCTGCTGTCCCATCACACACACTCTCATTCAGCTGGAATACAACATGAAAGAACTGCTGAATGCTCAAAACATACCAGGATTGGTTGAAACAAGAGTGGAAAACTGTACTCCAGTTTGGAGTAGAGATAGTCTCAAATTGCAATTTCGAACCCCAAGTTCCTGTGAGAGCAAACTGTTAGTCAAAATTTTACATTGCATAAGAGTATAAATTAATCCATCCACATATTACATTAAATATTTGTTTTCAGATAAGAGTTATACAGTTTAATGACATGTATTTGCCACTGATTTTTGCATGACTGACAAATTCTGAGAAGTCTAATAAAACATTCAAATTTAAAACAGGAGTTTTCTGGTCTGATGAGGACTAAAGCCAAACTATTTTAATAAAAAATCTGTAATTACTGACATGATTACAAATTTTCATGTGTTTCATATTTATAATGATAGGCACTGTATAAAGAATTTTGTAAAGTCATGCAATGAAGGGAATTGCTTCTAGGATGTGCATGTATAACACTGATATTTTGTTACATAGAATTACATCACCTGAAAATACAGAAACTTCACAAGCATCCTCACACTGATCACATGGCTAAAATTACACACCCATATTTTGAAAAATAAGCTGAATATGACATTTATATACCTCTTTCTTTGGTGGCAGTTTTCTTCTTTCCCGCTCAGCTAGATAAGCACGAATGTCAGTTGCAAGTTTTGGGGGGATGTTGAATAGTGTTGTACCTTGTTGAATCATAAAAGCTATCACTCCTGACATAGTCTGTGAGTTAATATGAATAGCTTCAGGACTGAGCTGAAACAAAGACTCAATATTTATTTATTCATTTATAGTTCATTTAACAACACTTTTTCAGTAGCTGAGACTATATAGAGTTGAATGAGAGGATAATAATGATTTGAACCTGGCACCTCCCAAATACAAAGCAGGAGTGCTAACCACTCATCACAACATTTGGTGATAGACCCAATATATATTCAAAAAAGGAAACAATTTGCATTATACTCAACAGTAGCAGGTAAAAAACTAAATCAATCAGAATTAAGAAATTAATGTTCTGCAAACTGTATAACTTGTCAAATAGCCTTCAAATGACTTTCTCTTCAGTGCCAAGGTCAGTGCTAGAATACATTGTTTCAAGCAGATTTACATAATGCAATAAAATCTATACTTCAGCAATTCTCATGTCTAGTAGTTATCAGATATTTTCATGTGCTGATGTAACTGTACCTTGCGTGGGCAAAGTAGATGAGGTGTGAAGAGTGTGGCCAGGCTATCAGCAGACATCTTATTCTTTCCCTCATGACTAGCTGTTAGATGCAGTAATTGCAGGATGTCTTTTAGTAAGACACGATTCTCTGTTGGAAGCAGCAAAAACAATAGTTGCAATGCCCTCAGCAGACGGTTCTCACTGTTTTTACCACTTGGTTGATCTGAGGAGCCTGGTATACCTCCACACATTTCTGCAACCACAAAATACAACATAATACTGCAGTCAAATTGCATGTGATAACAAAGCCTCAACTATGTAATCAATGTGAATTGACTGTTATTATAAATTCTGCAGTGTTTATGAATGACCAATGTATTCTGTTTCCATGTAATCTCTTTTGCAGTTAAAACAGATGTGCTACACTGGACTGTGCCAGTTCATTATGGGTCTCTGGTAAATCACTATAATCAAATTATTAGCATTAATGATAAGAGTTTTGTCTAATCTGCCTTACAGAGTAGACATATCCTTCCCTCTTGAGCTTGAGAATGTTGTATTTCTTTGTATTCAGACAATGGAAAATATCAAAAGAAATTACTCATGACAATCTGCCATAATGTCAAAATTTCAATTTGAAGTCTAATATATTGCCACAATCTTAAAGAATTAATCTTGTGTTGAAGATTTCCGAAAATTAATGCAATGAAGAAATGAGACTAGACTGCAGTAGTTCCAGGTTCAGAACCAAAAGAATAAAGATAATGTAAAATTTCATTGAATGGATTATTACAAAAATTGTATGTTTAATGCTAATGAGACAGGAATTAAAACCTGGCTGTAACCAGGTAATCAAAGGTGTCTGATGTAAGAATGGTGAAAGGACAATTTATAAAATGTATCTGGCTTTATGCAGTATTATGCTGTACTAATATATGAAAAATTCATTGTTTGAAGTGCAAACACTATGTTACCTCCTTACCTGCTATCTGACAATATGCTGGATAATGAGCATCAGTGAGCAAAGATTCAGGAAGTTCTGCCAGAAAGTTCTTTAGCACAGAAGCACAATCATGGACTGAAAAATGACCATTATCCAGGTTCAGTGGCAGTCCTTGATTTAGCAGCGATTTCAGCTCTTGCTGACGAGTTATTTTGCCACTACGTCGAAAGATTCCTTCCTGGCAGATATCTGTAAATATTAATAAATATAAGTAAAGTAATTTTGTAACCTACATCAATTTTTAAAAATTGTATGACGGAAAATGAACAATCTTTGATAAATGTATAAACATTCAACACTGAACATGATCAAATGGATAGCACTCCTACAACATATTTAAGTCACAAGCTAAAATCTTAGCCTGCAGACTGGCTATTCTAACTGAGGTTTCATGCAATTGTCCTCAGGCTCTCGGGGCATGTGTTGGTATGGTAAATTAAATTAGGTCACAACTGCTTTCTTCCACATCCTTTCCAATTCACTCTTCAATTAATCCCATCAATTTAATGCTATATAATCCAGGCAGCTGAAAGCATAGTTAAATAAACCAGTAATATAAACATTCAACAGTTAAATGTAGTTATCAAATATTTAACGTACTAGTGCAAGTCATAAGAGTGTTTTTGTATCTTACCAGGAACTAAAAATTTTCTTTAACTTTATGATTTTAAAGTGTCCTTGTCAACTGCAGGACCCTACAGAGAAAGGCATTTCTTGCCACAGCTTTATACATAAAAAATCATTCAATGGAGTTAGGATTATATTGGTGGTGAAGTTCTGAATTGTGGCCTTCTGGGTTAGTATGTAGTGTAGTCTTGAGGGTGGTTACCAGGCTTTCAGAAGAACACATTGCCTCCATCTTCAGAGGATGGAAAATCCTCCAAAATCCAAAATTTATTATAATCATTTGAGCCTAATTTGTTTAGAACTTCATGAATTCTTTTCAGGAGTAATATTCCTGGAAAATCTTTGTCTGCCACAGCTACAGCAGCTATTTATAAATTGATAACCCAATTTGTTTTATCATATAAGTGGAAAATTCAAAACTATACAATCTCAAATTACTTTCATCCAACAGGCAAACAGAGCAGCACACAACTGATATCACAAAACTAAACAAATGTAAACTATATGCATCTTAATTGATTAAGCATGTTAGAATATGTACTTGTATATTCAATTTATTATCATTTCCACATAAATATATGGACATGCACATGAATGGGTTAATATACAACAGTTCATAATAAAATGTTTTTATGATATTACTTTGCTCCTTGCTGAGGAATTCGATAAGTTGGTAGACTTGACAGATACCCTCCTGTGTAAGTGGTGCTCCCTCCATTACACCTTTCACAACACACTTCCCTTTCTTGGAAAATGGAACAAAACCCCATTTTTGCAGACGAGATTTTGCCTTCTCCGAGGAACATTCACAACTGAAACAGTCAAGTGCCTAAATAAGTTGATCTCATACATCTTAAAGCATTTTCAATCATGATGCCATGTGGATTCATAGGCAAAAACCAATGTTTTGGACACACACATCTCAATCTTCAAGATTACTTCAGCCATTAAGATGTAGACAAAATGTTTCTCCAAAATGTTCGTTATGTGTCCACATGACATCACAATCCAGAAGAACAACTTCTTCACTGTCATGAGAACCTTGTATCTCACAACTTGTTACTTGAGTGCTATCAATGTAGGAATTATACTGACATATGGGACCTAATTGTGACTCACCATGTATTTTAAACTTTAAGCAACATTCTGGTGGTGGGATACTAATACATCAGATAACCAAACCCAGGGTACAAATTATTTTACTCTTTTATTACATATAAGTGAAAGAGACAAAAACATAGCATGTATGATAATAACCTAAATCTTATGATAATTACTTGGTATCTGCAACTAGTTAAAATTATGTATTCTTAATGCCAGAATTTATCAGCTCAGCTAAATCATATATTGTATTTACACTGTACACACAAAGCTGCAATTCAAATTGACGTAACTATACTTCTCAGAATAGGATTGCCAGGCAGTCATACATACATATTATTGTATGATAAAGATTTGTTGAATAGTCAGGAAAAATTGACTCGACTTCACTACTTTAAATGCCCCCTGGTTACAACAATTATTTTATTCAGGCTACTAGAAAAAACAAGAAGTAACATAAAATTTTATTAACGAAACCTGCTGGAAACTACCCCTTGGTAAAGGAGGTATAAGGTTAGAATTAAAGTGGATCTTCAAGAAGTAAATTCTGAATGAACCAGATTCAAATGACTTATGATTACATCTAGTAATAGCAAAGTTGAACGTCCAGGTTGTACTGCCTGAATGTCAGGAAGCCTCCCATGTTAAAATAGTGTGTACCATATTTTGAAAATATAATAACACAATACAAGCTTACTGTACAAAATGCAACATAAATTAGCATACCATACAAGTTCTAAGCTGCTAGCATGCTGTTCACTTTGACTAGTTTGTAATGACTGCACACAGCAATATGAATCCTTCCATATACTAGAGAGTACATGCATCACACCGCCAAGACAGTGGATGGTGGAGACATGCGATTCAGACAAACAGCTACAGTACAAACAACAAAATCTTAAAAGTTATTCAGCAACTTTACATTATGAGAGTTGTTAAAATGAAAACCATTTGTGGCATTGCTAGCAAATATGACCAGTTGCAGGTAAACATATGGTTGTGTGCATGACTCAGTAGCAGCTGATCACAAGCTGCACAAGAGAATGGATGTTACAGCCAATAGGAATAGTATGACACAGTTTCATGCCAGCTTTTCAGTTGCAAAATCCATCCAAACAAACGTTTTCTACCACATCAGTTGACTACCGATGCCGATGTCAAGGACCCTGACATCACGATGAATGCACGACACTACTCTGGAACCGAAAACTTTGTACTGCCATCAGTATCCCTCCATGCTCATGAGGGGTGCCATAATGTTGCTCTGCAATGCACACTGTCCAGGGTATTCTGTGCTCCATGCACTGAAAGGCATCGAACCATTCCCCACACATCCTAGATCTGTCACCATATGTGTTTAGCCCCCTCAAGATAGCACTAAACGGTTGTAGATTTGGGTTGGATAAAGGCAGCAAAACCACAGTGGTCATAGTAGCAGCCTACAGAGTTCTTTGCAGAGAAAGTCCAATTGCCTTTACTCCTTTGCCCAGAACAATCCACAAACAGGTTTCACTTGAACAAGCCTCGTACATTTGTAGGGTTCAGGTCAGGATTAATTAATGAGCTACACTTGCACTTATTGTACTTCATACAGGCATAAATGGCACTGGTTAAACTGATTTTATTTAGTTAAAATTGATAATCCTTGAAAATCAAATTTTTAATAATTATTTTACTATGTGAGACTACTGGCACATATAAATACTCACAAATACAACTTCATAATATTTGTATTTAACCTTACGTTTCATCCATACCTCAAACATTTTCAGGAGTTACTTCACCATATGTTATAATTTAACCAGACTGAGACATAGATAAAAATTTATTTGGCAGTTTTTATATTTACCAAAACACCACACAAGCTTTAATTTTTATTACTTTAGTAAATCAATTTATAAAAAAATAATAATAATTGGAAGAAATATGTGATTAATATAACAAAGAATAGAATATAAAGAATAGGATATGCAGACAGTGACATCTAGGAGAAAAATGTGAATTCTGTCATGAAGAAAAGACTACTTCATCATCATCATCCATAGGTGTATATTAAACAATAAACTATAACGTTTCTATGTCAAATCTTAAGGTTTACTGTACATGCACTTCAGACTACTATAATAACAAATCATGACATAAGAGCTTTATGTTCCACCACATTTCACAATATGTTTATTCAGTACTTACTCATCAGTGTTGAGGTCCAATACAAATGATAAATGCATTCTGACCAAAATGTGAAACTGTTCTGGGTCTTCTCTTCTAAGCCTTTCGGCTAGAGCATTATCACCTGAGACTTCCATTGGCTTTTACAAGACTGCACTATGTATCTATATACATGATGATGGTCACATCCTAAGAATATACTTATACATATTAACAATCAAACAAGGCTTTAATAGGACGCCATTCACCGTAGCATAATATAAAAATAACTATTTATAAAAAAGCATTAGGACTCTAATCTACATGAACAAGGTTCAGAGAAACATGTATAAAAGTTTTGGCATAACAAGAAACTTTATTCTCTTCAGGCAGTGCTATTTCTACCTTTCTATTTTAGTGTTTAAAAGTGAAATATATGCTGGAAGTACTTGCAGAATTTGTCCTTTATAAAGTGACAAGAAAACAATTTAATACATAAAATAATTTAAAATAAAAAATTGCAATGATTTAAATTCTGTGAAAAAATACATAAAATATCGTCATAGTTCCCTATTCATTAGGTTATGATCATGAATATGTTAATACAGATTAATAACATGCAAGTAATAACTGTTCACATGGTTCTTTTCTAAATACTGCACACACGATAAATTATTCACGCCCTTCTAAAATTCCAATAAGCCAAACCCTCCTCCTGGAGATAGTTTTAGATCGTACTGTAGATTAATAGCTTTCTGTATCCATCTATACAAAGTAACATTCACGACAAATTTCAGGGTTTAAACTTTCAAATAACTACGGTTTACAAAAACGATTATTTAGAATACTGGTTGCTAATCAAACATCATAAACAAATATATTTATTGTAGTTCGAATTTAACTGTATTGTATAAAACATACGTTCAAGATAATCATAAATGTTTTAAAAAAAACACTGAACACTTTCAACTTACAGACGTGCCATAACCGTTTTGAAATATGGCGGAACGGAAGTTTCAATTACTTACGTTTATTGGTGGAACAACCTAACATCTGCCATTTTGCATAATATTTGCCATCTGGCGGAAAGAAGTAGAAAGAATATGTCAGACATGCCAACCTAATGCCAACAGGCTGTACTCCTGTGATACAATGATAAAACCTCGCTTGTTCAATTATATGTTGTATTGAAATGCGGAATATACAATTACGTAAATGAATTACTCTTATTATAGTGGCATGTGGCGATTCCATTATAATATATTGCTTGAAATACCAGAAAACAAACAGTTACAGAAAAAAAAACATAATAACAGCCGGTCATGAATAGCTGCTGAGCCGTAGAATTAAGACATGACAGTTTTCGAAACTATTTTCTTGTCGATATTTTAGAGTGTTTCATGAGTTAGTAGAGATCTGCCAATTTCTTTAATTAGCTCTTCATATGTTATGACAAAAGGCGTCTTCATGGGCAGAAAAATTGTTGAATTATTTGGAACAGTAGTCAGGAAAGTACCTGATTTATCTCTAACTGCTTCTAAAATTGTGTTCAACAATAACCACAATTTCAAACGGTATGATACTTGTTGCACAAACATTTGACTAAAGCATCAATTACAAATGCGATTTTACTCGCTATTAGCCAGCGTATAATTCTGAGCTTCTCTCTTTTGGTAAAAACACTGATCGATGTAATATTTGTATTTAGACACGTGATAGGGATTCTTGGATAGGGGATCAGCCCGTCGCAAGAATTGTATCTACACAGGATCCGATTGTGCGAACGATCAAGGCCCACGCCGTGGCAGGGGTTCAACGTTACCTTGATTCATGGCAATTTTAAATATACCTATCACACCAACAACATATTTATTTTTTAACTTCGGTTGACGTGACTTTAGGACATTGTATTTTAAACCAGACAATGTCTGCTTCCATCCCTACCCTTCAGAAGCAATTTATTAATCATAATATCATTCGGCACTTTGCAATCTGAGGTACGGAATTTTCTTAGATAAACTGCTAATCCATTTACTACGTGTACAACTCATCGTAAATTCTTTGGATTAATACCAGACGTAGAAAGAGCGAGAGAAGGGGGCGAACTCAGGAGGACCACGTTTTTATTATATGACACAATATAACCGCGACAATTAAAAATATATCAGTAATGTTAATATTATACAAAAGCAGTTCAGTTATTTCTTATCACTCTGTACAAGTTACTGCATATGACCGGCAGATGCCGTAGAAAGTTGCTGCATCATTTGCGTGAGACGAGTCTGCGAAGATGAACTGAGATCTCTCTCAGTGCTCTTAAACGCTTGGGAATTACCACATCGGCAGCGCTTTGACAGGGAAAGTGGATTCTGCCGAGAATCGTAATCGGTTAAGGAAGTCATCTATCAGGTAACGAGCAATCCATATTTTAAGCCATCTAATACATCATGTCATGCATTTTTTGTCTCCTGTAAGTAATTAATGATGATGGTTCACTTATAGAGATTTCAACACCCTACGACATAAAAATGTTGTTGTATATAATGATTCGCAAAGCCTGAAGGGCAGAGACCATTTGGGAGACCTAGACATAAATGAGAAGATAATATCAAAACTGGTCTTGAAGAAACAGCGTGAGCAATTGGACCTATTAGTCTGGCTCAAGCCAAGTCCAGTGGCGGAGTCTTGTGAACAAGGCGGGTACCATAAAAGATACGGGATTTCTTGAGCAAGTACCAGTTTCTCAAAGACTGTACTCCATGAAGTTATATTGTAGATTTTCCGCCGGTTTCATGAATGATTATACTAAAATTTACAGTTTTAGCTTTAATAAAGTACACTCCAAGGAAAGAATGGCCATTTTAATTTATTCTGTGACGTGACTGCAAAATTGAAATTACCAAATTTAACATCAATTCCGATATTTAATTAAAATAATGTTGGTGCGTGTGTGCCGTAGAGAACAGCAATGACTTTGCCTTTATGCAAAATTTCATGATATTAAAGTGGGTATAAACCCATAGTTACACTTTGACAGGAAATATTAATGTCTCACAAGTATTATTTATATGAAGACCGGCATTTTATAACACACGTTTGTTGTATGGATAGCAGAATGGATGTTACATTCAAGGACCACTCAAAAGCCTAAATAGGGATTTGCGTCTTTCTGTTATGTAACTTATTTTGATGAACTTATAATTTTATATGTAGAACCCGATTCTGCGAGTTAGATAAAGAGATAAGGCACATGACATGTCAATCCAGCAGTGTAGGGGTAGTACTTTAAAATAAACTACGACCGATTCCTTCCCTATCCTTTTCAATTGACTATATACAAATTTATTTTCATCGCCGCTAAAAACCTAAGTAGCTCACATAGCATTGTTAAATACAGGAATGAATTACACAACTACGTGTCGGGCCGTCCTGCTCATCGGTTATGAACTGGAAATCCCGCAGTTAGGTCATCCGCATAATTTGACTTTAATATTTATGGATTTTCCTAACGAGAACTACACAATAGAAAATTTAAGTTATGTGAACAGACTTCTCCCACATAATATAAAACGTCTACAGGTCACACGCAACACACACCTGAACTACTTGCTCTTTTATCTTCAACAAAATATAAAAGCTAATTAATTAACTATGGAAAAGTCCTTCAAAAAACGACAGCCGTTTAAACGGTCAATAAATTCCTCCCCTCTTATTGAACTTGACATTTTATTATCCTATTCACAAGACCCATCCACTAGACTCTGTATTGAGATAGACGAATCCATTCCACAGCCATTTTAGCCCAATATTCTAAATCTTTCATTTACTTGCAAGTGATCTCTTCCGTTGGAGTGTTCAGACCTGTACGCATTTCACAACTCCTAGTTCATATAATTTTATTTCAGCTCATGGAAACAACGTTTAGCAAACTGGTTCATCATGCTCACTTTATTTTCGCAATCAATACTATATAGGAAGCCTACACATCACTAACGCAGATACACATCCTGAAGTTAACCACAGAGGCTGGTGTTAAATTAATTACCGGCATTTTATAGCAGCAGTGTTGCTGAAACTGCCGATTCCTCTTGTCGCGTGTTCTTGGGTCCTTCATTCCCTGGTGTTGAGGTTTCGACTCCTGTTTGGAACACGGGCATGCATTTAGATGACGTCTTCTGGGTTGTTGCGCCACCTGGTAAAGCTTTCCAACGTTTCAAACGCAATTTCTGCCTCCATCATCACGCATTCATCGTCTTTATGATGGAGGCAACAAGCACCTCTGAAACGTTGGTAAACTTCTACGAGACTACACGGCGCAACAACCAAGAAGACAGCCATCTTAATTCACATTCGCCGTCGCGAAAACCTGAAATCTCACAACGGTCATGTATTCTTTTTCGTTTTGTAAATCTGTGTAGATGGAAACAATGTGATCCTCTGATCTTACATTCAGAGAATCCTGCAGCTTATTTTGGATTTAACAAAATCTGTATAATGGGAGCTCTGGGTCAAATCTGTTCGTAATGTCTCGAAGGATACGAAGAGAGCTGCAGAAACGGGCACATTTTAATAGTCTACTAAAGTGAGTCTTAGCGGCGACTAACATTTAAGGAGGGCAAAGTTAATTATATATATCGTATCATGCACGAACCAGACGTGACCTGAAAACACGTAATAAGGACTGCGTGACTCAGAATAGGTATTACGAACCTTATGAAAATTGCCGTAATACGTAATGGTGTGTACACGTTGTATCGCTGTTTTAGGTTCTTCTGTTCTCGATTTGTATTAGGTTTTATCTTGTGTCATTAGAGGGCGTCGCTCTTGGCAGCGAGTAATGCACATTATGTGAACTGCCTTTCACTTTCTAGCTTGTCCGCCCTCAACATATCACGGCAGGGCCTAGCAGTGGTATTCTTCCACTCAATCCGGCCTACATCTTCCAAAGTGGTGACCTTATTTGAAGCATAAAGGAGCAAGCGATGCCACTTTACAAAGACAGAAATAAAAAAAATGTACACTCAGAATGTTGTAAATGTCTTCATTACAGATTTATATCTCTCATCAGACCTGAAATTGGTAAAATTTCTTGAAGTTATTCTATGAGAAGCTAGTAATCAGTCAGAAGTTTCCGTGTAGTTTATGGACTCTGCAGGATCATTACCGTCTTCACAAGAATATGTCACTTGAGCAAGTTGAACCCAACTTACACTATCACACCCTACTTCACTGAGTCAAAAATTATCTGTTTTGCCAATATCCCTAAGTCTACTAGTAGTTTCTTCCCTTCAGGATTTCCTGCTACAATTCTGCAATCATTTTTCATTTCTCCCATGAGTGCTACATTCCTTGACCGTATCATTGCCCTTGATTTGATCGCCTTAATGTATGGCGAAGGGTATGAATTGTGAAGCTAACTAAGCAACCAATCAACTAACTAACTGATGTACTCCATGGAACATTCTTGAGAAGCTTAAAAGTTGGTCAAAAATTTCCACCTTTTGTGGACCTAAAAGGTTTACTACCACGTTCGTAAGAGTCCGCCTCCAATCTCTATCCTGACCCATACAAATCCAGTCCACATTCTCCCAACCTGTTTTCATAAGATCCAGTTTAATATTACTTTCCCATCTATGCTTGTATCTTCAGAGTGTTGTCTTTCCTTCAGACATTCCAACAAAAACTGTACACACATTCTTGAGTTCCGCTATGTCCACCAATCTCTTCCTCCTTGATTTGATTATCATAATAATATTAGGTGAATGATATAGCCGATCATTCAAAACCCTTCCTTTTAAACTCACTCCTACCATCAGGTTATAACCGTGCCTAATTTCTGTTTCAATCGCATTTAATTGTCAGTTGTATTTCAGTCATGTGTTTCATTCACTACTCTTCCAACAGCGCACTATGCAACTTCAATCATTCACAAAGTTTCTCTTGCTCAGATTTCTACTAAGTAATTTTAACAGAATGCCCCTAGATGAGAATGTCTATAATATGTGAAAGAGGTGATGAACCCACTGACGGTGGAATGTTGTGGTTTCCAGGTTGTGATGCAGTGACACTTATAAGTCA